AGTCAGGTGATGGAGAGAAAAATCCTCTGCTGCCCAACTTATTTCCTGTTAGTGTAAACTCTTTAATGCTGGTAAGAATGCTTAAATATTTAATAAATTGGGTATTCCTTGTTTCAGGCAAAAAACTGGCAGAAAGCACTGGAGCTCTATGAATATCTCAAATCCACTAAAATTGAGAAAACTGTTTCAACTGTCAATGCTTTGATCACTGCCCTGTGTAAGTCTCTAAACGTTACCTTATTTCCTTTTCAAAATAATGTCAATTGGTATGATAACAATTCCCTTCTGTTTTATAATCCTAAACTGTCACATTATCTGAGGCGTGTATATAAAATATGTGTGTGTATTAGCTAAACTTGATTGAGATGCAAATAATCACACTTCAGGTGATGGGGATCAACTACAGAAGGCTATGGAAGTTCTATCCGAAATGAAAGGATTTGGATTGCATCCCAACAGCATAACATACTCCATACTTCTAGTGGCAAGTGAAAAGTGAGTCTTCTAGAGTTGATGCAGTGTTAAAGACAATGTTGGCGTGTATTCTTGTCTGCAGTAAAACTCAAAACTTGCACCTGTTTAATTGTGCACCCTGTTTGCAGAAAGGATGATCTAGAAGCTGGCCACATGCTCCTTTCTCAAGCCGAAAAGGATGGGGTTGCTCCAAACCTTGTCATGTGTAGATGCATCATTGGTGAGTTTACAGTATAGTTAGTTCCAAAATTCTTTTTGTCAGTTTGTCTCTGATATCTGAATGAATATAGGTTCATTTTGTCTCACAATGATTTGCGAGATGATTCTCCATTGTAATAAGTAAATAAAAACAAGATGGCCTAACATGTGAATTTGATTGATAATAACCTTCAATACAGCTCTAGGGAAATGCTCTTCGAAACTTTTTTTCATTTGGTCCGTTGGATGTCTAGTCTAGCTAGATAATCAAAAGCTTTGCTTCATACTATTCTGATGTTTCCACTAAAATTTACAACTTGAAAATCATAATCCAAATCATTACTATGGTCAAAGATAGAGACATAAATACAATTTAATTAGAACATACCAACATTGTTACATAACAACTTTTCTTGTGTCCAATAATTTCTTTTTACATATGAGTTATACATAGCATGCTTTGATTCTGTGCTTTATTATTTGAGCTTCAAGGAAATTTGAATTGGACAGTTGACTTCAGTTGGTGTTTGGGGTTTTCAAACATTTTCACATCTTCATATTCTGAATTATTGCAGTGTGTTGTCTTTCATACATTTTTATTCTCCTTACATTTGATCTTTTTGAAGGCATGTGCTTGCGGAGATCTGAGAAGGCATGCTCACTTGGTGAACCTGTCTTGTCGCATCATCGACCACAAGTTGATAGCAAATGGTATTTGATTCTTTGACTCTATGTGATGATCATTAGACATGTTTTGTTGTGGGGAACTAGGAAAGCAACATAATGTACTTGGAAAATGCGCTTCACTTATTTTGTATGTGTGAATTTTTCTCAAAAAATGTAGCAGCAAGAGTTATTTTACTGATTTTGAGACTGTCGGTTCTGTACTTGTCTATAAAGTTATGCATTTGTAAAGAGTTTTCTGACCCCAATAAGTAAGCATGAAAAAGGGGAAAAAGAATTAAAACATTACCAATCTGTATCTTGAAAGGAAACTTTTTTTTTTATTATTCTTTATTTATATATCTTTATGTCCGTCTGAAAAGCTTTATATGGTTTGATATGTTCCTGAATTAGTTTATTTTAAAAAGTCATGATTTTGATTTCTAGGCTAAAATCAGTCTTCTGAGCAGTGTTTGTCTATTGCATTGTTTCTATAGGGCATCACTGGCCTTAATGGTCTACCGCAAAACGATTGTAGCTGGTATTATGCCTACCGTTGAAGTTATATCTCAAGTTTTGGGATGCTTGCAGCTCCCTTACGATGCATCATTCAAGAATAGACTTATTGAGAATCTTGGTGTAACTGCCGACACATCAAGACCTTCAAACCTATGTTCATTGATAGATGGGTTTGGTGAATATGACCCTCGTGCTTTTTCATTACTTGAGGTCAGTTGGAAGCTGAACTTTTCAGTGCTTTTCAATACAATTCCAATTATAAAAATAATACAAATTTATAAATAAACCCAATTCTAGACATGTATTTATAGAAAAACCCAAGCACTATTTAAATATAGAAACACACCCAAAATCAACCCCAAAGTCAACTTTTTGGGTATGTTTATAAATGAATTTTGAGTGTGTGTAATGATGGGTTTTGGGTGTGTTTATATGTTTAAATAGTGCTTGGGTTTTTTTATAATTTAAGCCCCCATTTTGGGTGTTTTAGTGAAACTCCCAAAAATAATTGGAAACAATCTTATAATGGCATATACTTGAAGGAAGCTGCATCTCTTGGAATTGTTCCATGTGTATCCTTCAAAGCAAGTCCTGTTGTTGTTGATGCAAGGAAGTTGCAACTTCACACTGCTGAGGTAAGTTCTTGTGTTGTTGTTGGATAGCTTGTCTTCCTTTATTTAGTAATATAAAATTCTGTCTCAATGAGTAGGTCAACACTTGATGAGCTTAACATTCATGAAACAGTAGCTGTAGTGATCTATTTCCCCCTATCCCTCTTCCCTTCCCCCCACCACCCCACACCCCCACCCCACCCCCCTCCCAACCCCCAAACGCAAACAATACAAGAGAATAATAAATTACATAGCACGTGCTACTCACAAAAATTACTACTCATCAACTCCTGTGTGAAATTTGCCAGGTCTTCATCTTGACTGTGCTAAAAGGTCTCAAACATCGGCTTGCTGCTGGTACTATAAACTACATCTCTTTTCTGTTTATTCAATTCTTTGAAAAGAAAAAAAAAGGTTTAGCTTTGAGTGAGTTTAGTGCAGTAAAAAAAAAGGTTAGCTTTCCGTTGTATAAAGCCTAAATCTTACTCCTTTGTCGTTGCATATCTTGCAGGTGCAAAGTTACCCAACATGACCATTTTACTGCCCGTAGAGAAGACACAAATTATGTCTCCGAAAGGGAAGAGAATCAACATTGCAGGAAGGTGAAAATTGTTACTTAACAATCACAGTTAGGGATATGAATGATCAACTGCGGGCAAGGTTTCTGGGATGAAATATGTTTTAAAATCACTTCCACTTCATCAGAATTCGGCCCCAGAATTCATGGAATTTTATATAAGTGTATATTCTTTATTTCGTTGACGCAAATGTGACATCTTTTGTTTAACAGGGTTGGCCAGTCAGTTGCAGCATTATTGAGAAGGCTTGGGATACCTTACCAAGGAAATGAATCACATGGAAAAATAAAAATCAGTGGGTTGGCCATGAAAAGATGGCTTCAGCCAAAGCTTGCTTCTTTCACTGGAAAACCAGGAGAATTCGGCTCATCCCAGTTACAATTAGGGAAAGGAATCACACATCAGCAGCGCAACATTCGAACTGGCAATCTGTCCTTGGAGTAAGGGGACATAATATATGGATGCTGCCCAGTAGACAGTTTAGAAGCATCTAATCCAGTTTTCCTAACTTCGGCTGATGCTCTTTACACTTTTTATATCAGTGGTCTTAAATGCCTATACCTACCCTGAGCCTAACTCGCTACCCCATTCTCAAAAATTGCTCCGAATATGGGATTCCAGAAGTTGAAAGTTTCTTCCTTGCATAGAGTTTGTAGAAGAGTATCGAGAGTTAGTATAAAAGTAGCGACAGCCGGGGATTAATAGAGTGAAAGAAGCTCCTTTTATTGCAAAGAGGAGAGATGCATGATTTTCAATTCTGAATGGTTTGCTACAGCAAACCCCACCCTTCCTGTCTCTTTGTAGGTACCTTGCAGTTGCAGCTGGGTGATGACTGTTTAATAGCATCATGGGAGTTGAAAAATGTATGATTATGTCTTATGACCGCGTTAAATATAAAGTTTGATGTAAAAAATAAACCTCCATTTTCAGTATAGAGTTATGGTCTTTGTTTTCAACACCATCATGGGAGTTGAAATGTATGCTTATGACAATGTCAATTACTGCGTTGATATATAGCTGAGGTAAAACACCTTCGTTTGCACTATCTCGAATTATTTGGTAATAAATTGATGAGGAAGACTAGTTGTTGAAGAATGTAAAATTTCAATATCGGAAACTTGGCAAAATAAAATGCAAATATATAAATGAATAGTTTCAGACTTACTAAAGCCGTTGGGGCCTTTTGTGATAACATTACTCACTACTAGACTAGAAGGTGGTTAAGTTGGGGATAGCATCGGTGTCGGTGTTTCACACTTGTTGGGGCCTTTTGTGATAACATTACTCACTTACTAGACTAGAAGGTGGTTAAGTTGGGGATAGCATCGGTGTCGGTGTTTCACACCTACTGGACTAGAAGGTGGTTAAGTTGAAGAGGGTATCGGTTAAGTTGAGGACAGAGTGTTGGACCAAGTTTAGCCGAAGTTCATTATGTTGAAATTGGGTTCGATTTGAACTATAGTTTCTCCCCAGCAGACCTTTAAAAAACTCATGGCTTTGCTAATAAACTGAAGAAACTTTCTACTTATTGAAAACCTGTTGAAGCCGTCATCAAATTAATGAAAACCTGAGGCTGCTGCGTCATAAAACCAAAGCCAACCTGCATGCACTGAATAAAACGAAACCAAACCATGTGATGCAATTGTGGTAATGCAATATGTGAGCTGCTGGTGCAACACTAAACAATTGATGGAAGGTTATACTGATATTGATCTCTTGCAAAATATGTTAGGAGAGCCATGAACCTTCTTCAAAATTGTGCTATAGAATTAAGGACCAAAGTCACCACATCACATTGCAATTTGACGTAAATTTCCCTACCTAGTGCCCTACTCATTTACATGTACAAAATCTCCGGGTTTGGTTCCCCATCATTCCTAAGCCTACGAAAACAAAACCCAAAAAGAAAAAAGAAAAAAAATTCAAAATTGTGGAAGATTGCTCTATGATCCAATCATCATTGTTTTTGTCTGGCACCCAACTGAGAAGTGAGGCTAATGAAGGTCTCTTCTTTGCATGGAATTGTAAGACCACCCATTGGATGGTTGAAGCCAAACTCTTCTTCTGCTCTCTTAAGCAACACTTTGAAAGAAGGGTGGTTCAAGTAAGAAACTGGAACCACATACCTCTTCTTTCCCATTTCTCCTACATAAACTGCAACATGCCCTTTTGGAACCTCATGAGATTTAGGCTGCAGCTTCAGAATGTGCTTCACTCCATGTACCATAGAAGAAGGCAAACGAATCATCATACCCATAAAATGATCACTAAAACTTTGCAAAATATAGTTGAATTGGAGAGAGAGAGAGAGAGAGAGAGAGAGAGAGAGAGAGAGTGTGTGTTTTCGCTGAATTTGCTTGATGTAAAAGCTAGGAATTGTTTGAAGCCCAAATTAATTTTGTACCTGTATTTATAGAAGTTCCCAAATTTCTGTACAGTTGGATAATGAGGTCACAGTGAGACTGTGTGGCAGGGCAGGCAGCAAAAGCTCACATGGGTTTCATCATCTTAGCTTATTAGCAACCGACTTAAATATCCAAATGCCCCACTTGTTCTTCTGAACAATATTTTATGCAAATGGCCCTGAAAATAAAAACTCATGGCTGCTGCCAGTGCCAAAGAGCCACTATAGGCCCATATGTCACCAAACTACAATGCATATAAAAAACTAGGGGCCCTAGCTACACCAGAAACCATGGAAGCCACTCAACAACTTCCATGTGATTAGTTTTGTGAAGCATAGAATTGCAGCTTAAAATAATTAGACGAAAATGCTCTAACAAGGTCCCCCCCAACACACACACACACACACACACATATATATATATATATGTATATAATCTTTATTCCCTAATGCTCACAACTTCTCAGTGCTTATCCATATATATCAAAATAAATATATAAAAGTTAACGAGTCTATGCCAATGAAAAATGACATTAACTTATAGACCAGATGTCTCAGGTTTGAATCTCCACAACATCATAGTTGTGTGTGTGAGAGAAATTTATCTTCACCGCTCCTCTAGTTTAGACTATCGCTTGTACTAAAAAATATAAGTGCTGATTTTTCCACTCCCTTTTTGTCCACTTACACTTCTTTAAAGAGAATTGGAAAAATCAGCTCTGAAAAAAATTATATATATAAACATCCAATCAATATTTTTCGTTTTGATGTATTTTCATTTTCTGACATATAAATGCAGTGCGGGCCAAGTTGTTTGAATTGAAGTACAATATTATCTAAGCCCACCCAAACCTTATCTAACCGGTTGATTGGGTGGCTATAATTTACTGTTTCATTTTGGCATTTTTCACATGCGCAATGCTCTGCTCTCTCATCTGAAATAAAAATTAGACCATAACCCCCTCCTCCACATGCATATTGTCTCAGCTACTCCGGCTTGACTTGTCTCCATACATTGGCCTCACGTGTGTAACAGTATGTGTACAGTGTTTTGTATACATTCAATCTATTGATATAATGGTTAACCTGTCGTTAACATCGACCTCGATTGAGGAGCCTATTTTTTTGGCACAAGCTTGAAGAATTTTTTGCGTAACATCATCATATGGTGTTATCAATTAACAGTTAATATGTGATGTCTAGTTAACATGAATATTAATTGAGGATTTTTTTCACGCAACCGTTACTCGGTGTTATCAGTTAGTGATTAATATGTGATGTCCGATTAACATGAATCTTCATTCAGAAATTTTTTGTGCGTCACATAGTATTATTAATTTACTCATGTTATAACATATGTATATATATGTATATATATATATATGTTAACGTATAATATAAACTCACTGTTCCTACTTTATTTTATAACACGAAATAACAGTATTACTATGACAAACAAAAATTTCTCCAATCCAACGACTTACCCGAAAAAATGGCCAATCATAGGTGCCCACTTAAAACATCAATAAATGTTCGAGATACTGAATTTTAATCCCAGTCGGTGTATATTTGATGACAAAGAAGGTAACATGCATTTCTTATTTTGTCTGCCAAAATTGTCTCCATATACATGAAATTTGCCATGAAAGAAGTTTAACCCTAAGTCTCAGTGGCAGCCTTGAATCCTTTACACTGTTTACAATTCAGAAGAATACAGAATTAGATTGGAATTTGAGCTTCGTTAATTAGCTCTCTTGTTGCTAATTTATTCGAGAAGTGAGACTAGTGAACTCCTCTTCTGAGCATGGAAGTCTAATGCCACCCAATTGATCAAAACCAAACTCGTCAGCTGCCTTGTAGAGCAAGTCTTGGAACAAAGGGTGCTTCAAATATGATATGGGCACGACATGCCGTTTCTCATGATTCTTTTCTTCTGCATCATTCCCTACATAGATTGCAAAATGGCCTCTGGGAACATCAACAGGACAAGGAGTTCTTGTGGATCTCAAATGATGCTTGGCATGAAAAACCATCTCTTTCAGACGAAAGCCCATGTTTGCCTTCTGCTCTAACCACAAAGACACAAGGAGAAATAAGTAATTTTAGGGTTATGGCTATGGATGCTATAGCTTGCTTGATGGATTCTCCAAGCATTTTTCCTTTTTTAAGGTATATATAGGAACAAGTTTTCAGGCATGTCTTTGTTGCAGGTTTGCTTTGTAGGCTTGTGGGACAGTTTGGAATTTCATCATTATTGGTTTTTTTATTAGTAGGGTTGGTTCAGTTTCAAACTTGGTCAAGTTGGGCTTTTGTTGCTCACTCCAATGTGATGAGTGTACTTTATTTCTCTTCCATATAGCACATGGCCTTACCTCAAACCAACGGAAATTAAAATGTTGGTGATGTAAGTAAGAGTCAACAATAATGCATGTGGGAGTGAGAGTGAGAGACTGTGAGTGTGAAATTAGTAGCCAAACCAATAAATGCTAATAGAAGAAGAAGATGATGATGAGTCAGTCAGTTATGGAGTCCTCATGGCTCTGAATTAGAAATTAATCATTGCGCAAATAAGTTGTGCTACCGTCAGTTGTTGATATGCGGGTCGTTTCTGATCACTAATATATGTGAGGTATGCTTCTCATTAGTAGTCAGAAATAGTCCTTGTATCTCGCCGACTCATCTTAACAAAATCCTTACTCGAATTACTTGAGACTGAATCGTCACGTCTCACGTGTACCATAAATGGCTGATTTGTTTTTTTCGCCCACGGTTTTCCGCGTAGAAACTGCTGGTAATCAAGTACTGCAAGTGTATGCCTGGTTTCTTTCTATAATGTTTTGGGAAGTTGGGGGGCATATGCCCCTCCATCCATTGGTTCAAAATTCATCTGATGATCCTGGCCTGACCTTTCTTAATAAGTCGGTCAATACCCAAATAATATGCAGAGTATGTGGGCACAAGAAATCATTTTCATGATAATATGGCAGAGCCGCGCGCAGCTAACATTTGCTGCTGCAGATATATCTCTGACTCTGAGCAAACCACTACTACTGGACGTACACACAGGAACATTTTTAGATAATACTGTTGTCAGACCAGAAAACTAAAATTTAGCTCTCTTCGTCGAGATGAAGTAGCCCCTAGATATGGAGAAACACTTGTGTGAAATGAAGATAGCATTATTTTGCTATCCTCAATTAATCATGGTATGTCATGTGTGATAATTTTTCCACGTGAAAATTTGTGATTGGTTAAGGATAGCAAAACAGTGCTATCCTCGTTTTATACAAGTTTTTTTGCTAGATATGGCCACAAAGGAATATTGGGATCTTCCATTTAATGAGGATTTGAGTTAATTGCTCAATCTTTCACTTCATATCAAATTATCAACCTCATCAATAAGCCTGCATACTAGTTTGCGCATCACAGTACAGATTTTTTAATCTTTAATTATGTGAACTAGAACTTGGGAGCACCTCTTCACCAAATGACGAGAAATACCACTAAACTAATACCTAGTTAGTCGCGTTACAATATACAGTTGAATCTGCTACAATTTGATACTTACCAAACAAGCCTTTAATCTCTCTTGCAATTTTTCTCAATTGTACTGCCTTAAATGCTAATTACCTCTTTCCTAATCAGAGTTATAATCGTAAGTGTACCCATTAATACCAAATGGCGAAGTTGAAGATGATGAATGCATAATTCTCTGATGTTGAAGTGAATAATTTCCTCTGTGATTAAAAATTGTTTGCATGCAAGAACTTTTCGTGGGTTTTTTTTTATATTCCCCCCTTTCTGTTTCTTGTTGTGCAATCAAAATTTTGTGGCAAATATCATATCCACATTCTGTTTTTGCATTCCAAGTTTCTTGTTATCTTTTGTGGTTCCTACACATTGTTATTTCAGAATAGGCCAAATTACAAAACATATAAGGCATTTCCAGGGATTGTATTTCCCAGAACTTACAATTAATACAAAACTGAAGAGACTGATCACTTTTGATCCAAAAAAAACTACAAAATAAAAGAAGAGACTGATCACTTATGATCTCAAGTTCTGTTTCTTTCAGTTGTAGGATGAAAGGAAAATTAATTAAAAGGAGGAATTAATTGGTTAAATAATTGACCTATAATTGGAGGTCATATACAGAAACATTATCATCTATATGAACAATTTAGAACTGAAGTTACACTAAGGAAGTAGTCTTCACTGCATGGAATTGTGAGACCCCCTGTAGGATGATCATATCCAAACTCTTCCTCAGCCTTGGTTAACAAGTCTTGGAACAAAGGATGGTTCAAATATGATATTGGAATCACAAATCTCTTCTTCTTGCCTTCTCCAACATAAACAGCAAAATGGCCTTTCGGAACCTCAGCATTAGTGTCTGCAGCTGATCCATATCTTGCTGAAAGAGTTCTCTGGAGCTTCTCCTTGGCATGAGCTATGCCCATCAATTTGATCCCCATACTCAGAATCAACAAATAAAGAAATGCACCTCAAAGGTTGAAATAGAAAAGTTGTTTTAGTGGTTAAGTGAGAGCTGCAGATTTTGGGTTGAATGAGCATGTCATTACCTAAAATATATAGGGGGGAGGGAATAGATAAAATTGTAAGAGCCTTATTAAGAATGTTGAGAAACATATCAGGTGAAGGACTTGTGGAAGGTTCACATGGACATTACCTTAATTATCCAAGACACCCTACCCTACAAACTTTGGGACCGAATAAAAGAGTGGTGCAACTTGAAAAATACATAAGAGTTATCTGAGTAATGTTTCAACTAATAAAGTAGAGTGACCTTTTTTTATGCTAGCCATGTTCTTGACATCAGAGGCCAGGATCAATTAAAGAAGATCTTCTGAGGCTCTGAGTCATTGTGCATATTATGAAGCACTGAACTTGGACTTGAGCAATTGAGATAGCTTTTATAATGACAGCCAACCAATAAGCCTTTTGTGCTGATTAGCTCCCACAAGTAAACCAATACATGGTTTTCTGCTTTGTGCTTAGACATTCCCTTTAGATTATCTAAACCATTACTGGGCCCTCTCTTGACTCATTCACATGGACACTCTATTGACTAGGCAAAGACTAGAGTTGAATCAATCATCTCATCCTATACTTTTGGTTTCAACTTTTCAACAAGCTTTTCTAAGAACAATTATTTTCATTGATGATGTAATTTTCTTTTTTCTTATAAACAATTGCTTGTGTTTCTGTTGACTATATTATATATTATCTATTGATTTGTTTTTAAAGTCATATTTTTTGGTCCAATATAGACCCATAATCTCACACTGCATAAGATTCTATTAGTGAGGAGGTAATTGTATTAAATTTGTTGGATCATGATAAATATATTCCAGATTCTTCTGGGAATATTCCATATTAGAGAATTGTAGAATACAAGGCTGAAGCATTTTGCACTTTTTTGGTGTAAACCAATATGCTTTTTCTCTATTCTGTAGATAAGCAATACAAGAAAGTTCTCTTATCTGGTTAAGCAAAATGCAAGTTTTACATTTCCACCACACATAGTAAAGTATATTATCTGGACTTGTTTTATTGATGGATGGTGGGGACTAGATATAATTGTATTCTATTACAGATTGTTATTTAGCTGTCTTTTGAGAGCATGTGAAGAAGAAGAACCCTGAAAATTACTGGAAATTTATTAATATACTAGTTCAACATTTTCACCTCTATTTTGTTGGGGTAAGTAGCCAACATTGCAGGCTTTGCTGCATTTCGAAAGATTTTTGTGATGAAGCAAATAATTTTGAAAGCATGAGCAAGAAATTTGTGAAAGAGAACTAAGAATTGGTTTTGAATTAATTTCTCAATATTAGAATACAAAGAGGACATTTACAAATGATTTCAACTCTTCAGAGCACAAAATTGAAGAGTTTGGTTCAGTCATGTTGGCCATAACATTAGAAGGAATGTAAACAAGAACTGAGACCAATGAAAGCCTCTTCAGTGCATGGAATGGTGATGCCACCCATTGGATGAGTGTACCCAAACTTCTCTTCACTGCAACTTAGCAAGTCTTTGAACCACTGGTGGTTCAAGTATGATATTGGTACAACAAGTCTCTTTTTCTGCTCTTCTCCTATATAAACAGCAAAGTGGCCCTTCGGGACATTCGTCATAGCCATACTCAATTGCTTAGACATCAAGACAGATCGTCGGATGATCGATAGCAAGCTCATACCCATGGTTTCTGAGGATTGTTATGATTAAGAGTTAAGAGATCTTTGGATGAGGGAAAGCTGTGACAATAGATGATGTGGTGACTTGGGGTGATGATTTGTATGGCTATGTTGCTGTGCTTATATAGGGATGGAATTATGGATTGAATAGTTAAGAGGAACCTAACTGGAAGTCACATGCTTCTGTCCTCTGATTAATTTTCAAAAGCTGATCGGTCAATTTTCATGTACCTGCAGCAACTTGCAAAATCATGCCCTTCCATACCCTACTCCTTACCTTTCCATGTCAAATTCAGATGCCTACAGACTAATGTACCTACTCTTTATGGATAAGTTTGATCTTCCATGTATGGCCAATATTGAAATATCAAACTTGACCAAATATAGATCTTTCAATGCTTTAGATCATAGTGAGATATTATGCCAGCCATGTTGGTTCTCTGCTTCCCATCAACCTTACCATCCACTTAAACTTAGGCCCAAGTTTATATCACCACCAGCTCCTGAGGTGATAACCTTGTTGATCAATAAATTCAACAACCCGGTTTCAAATGAAGAACACGGTTTGATCCACCCTACTAGTTGCTAAATAATAATCTTTAGTTCCTGTGTTTTCCAGGTTTTTTTTATTTATAGGAAACTCCAGGTCATATGTTGTAGTAGTCGGCATATGATGGTACATAGCAAATAAATTCAATCAGTATGAAATCTGTCAAGTCTTATCAATTAGTTGGGAGACAAAACCATGTGAATCCTCATGAAATATGTCCTAAAACAAATCTGAATTATATATTGTAGACTAAAGTTTCTGTTTGCATCCCTTGGTGCTAATTTACCAGCCTTTGCACCACATTCAAACTGAAAAATAAGGGTGCGGTCCTATAATTTTCTGGAACACATGTGACAAGTATTGTAGTGTAAATACAAAACACAGAAGAATTACAAGTATTTAGCATGTTGTCGTCGTTCAAGTTGGTGTGTGCAGTGATGGGATGAGTTGTAGGTCATGGTTCATGTGAACTTCAAGAAGCCTGTATTGCAAGTTGATGAATTTAGGACTAAAGACAGTCTTCTTCTGCATTCTTATCGGCAATGCCATCATTTGCTTGCAGCAATATCATCCCCCAGTTAGTTGTCTTATCAGTAGCTAAATGTCTCAAGCATGTCTCTAATCTAAGAGGTTTAGGCATATATTTTATAAGGGCTGCTCTTTTATCTGAATCTGTATTTTTATTGGGTACTTTGCTTTTATCTAAATGAGGTAGGGCAAGATGTTTCTCAGGAGGGTTACAGTTTGGCCAAATATCACATGAAGCCCTCATGACATTAGTGGACAGACCAATCCATGTGAATTCTCATAATCTTATGTCTCTATTGACTTAATTAATAGAGGATTTTAACTCATACCCTTTTCATCAATATAACCTCATTCTGTTTTACAAGCAGCATAAGTCACACATTCTGGGCCATTTACAACTTCAACTGTTCTGCAAACTTCTTTAAAATGTTTCGCTTGCTCCTCCTAGACAAAAAAAAAAAAAAAAAAAAAAAAAAAAAAAAAAGGTGGGTTTGTTTTCGTTTCTTTTTATTCGTGCAAAGCAAAATCTTCGAACTCTCCCTAAAACCAAGCTGCCTACAGATGTACCAAAAGGCTATTTTGCAGTCTATGTTGGGGAAAGCCAAAAGAAGTGGTTTGTGATTCCAATATCATGTTTGAACCAGCCTTCACTCACAGAATTGCTAAGCCAGGCTGAGGAAGAATTTGGATATGATACAGACTCCTTGACCTCATTTCTAACTCAAGAATATGAGAGTGCATGTTAACATACAGTTTTGACAACGATTCTTGCCGAGGAGGATGAGAGTCGGAGGCTAATAATATGGATTTGAGTACACTTAGCGTAACAGATATTCAGAAGATTGCTAGTACATTTTTGGTTTTTCTAGTCCACATTGTATTGTCCTATAAAAATAATTTGGGAGTAACATATCTTCATCTTAGTCAAATTGATTGATTTTTCTTCCTATTGATGTCCATTCACCAAAATCAACGAATACAACGTTGCTAATTTATAGAGTTAAGCATTGGAAACCAAGAAACTGAACCCAGTAATACTAGCATCAATATCTTGATTGTTGACTACATAAATGCCAGACTTATGCTGATACAATTAACCTGTGGTGTGGTCTCACGTTGCTGTAAGCCTCCACATTTCCCACAAAGGCACACAAATTAGCAATCTCTTATTTATTTTTTGCTAAACATCAACTAATTAAATGAGAGACAAAAGATGTTTAAATCATGCCTCTTCACATATGTCGATTATGTACTGACTATGAATATGAACTTGGATAGAGAGCTGTGACATCCCAAATGTCCCACATGTTGGAAAAATAGGATAGCTAAGCTAAGTCAGGCTGAAGCATTTGATACTTCTCGGTATAAACCAAGGTGCATTTCTCTTTTCGTCCCCCAAACGCAATGACGTAATCCGGGATTTAATTTTACATTTACATTATATTTAATTAAGTATATTTCCTAGAATTGATTGATTGAGGAATGGTGGAAGCTAGATATTTGTAGTCTAATACAGATTGTTTTTAGATGTCTCTGCAGCATATGAAGAAGAGCCCTGAAGCTCTGTATTGATTTAAAATACATTAGCTCAGATTTATTCTCTTTTGCTTGGGGTAGGGAGAGAAGTATCTCACATTGACGGCTTTGCAGCATGTACTACTGTTAAATCTATGTTAAAATCATGAGCAGGAAACTTAAGAAACAAAACTAATATAAGAAGTGGTCTTGAATAATTTTCTCAGTATCAGAATATAAAGGGGACATTTACAAATTGAACTCTTCAGGGCAAAAAATTAAAGAGTTTGGTTTTTGTCATGTTTGTCATAAGATTAGAAGGAATGCAAACAAGAACTGAGACCAATGAAGGCCTCTTCAGTGCATGGAATTGTGATGCCACCCATTGGATGAGTGAACCCAAACTTTTCTTCACTGCAACTTAGCAAGTCTTTGAACCACTGGTGGTTCAAGTATGATATTGGTACCACAAGCCTCTTTTTCTGCTCCTCTCCTACATAAACAGCAAAGTGGCCCTTCGGGACATTCGTTGTAGCCATACTCGATTGCTTAGACATCACGAGAGATCGTCGGATGATCGATATCAAGCTAATACCCATGGTTTCTGTGGATTGTTATGCTTGAGAGTTAAAGAGATATTTGGATGAGAAAAGGCTGTGACAATAGAGGATGTGAGGACTTGGGGTGATGGATTTGTATAGCTATGTTGCTGCATATATAGGGATGGAATTATGGATGGAATAGTTAAGAGGAACCTAACTGGAGGTCACATGCTTCTGTCCTCTGAATAACTTTCAAATACTGATTGGTCAATTCCATGTATCAAGGTAGCAAACTTGCAAAATCAAGCCCTACCCTACCCCTTACCTTTCCGTGTCAAATTCAAATGCCTTAGTATTTGCTCTTGATGGATAAGTTTCATCTTCCATGTATGGCCAATCAGTTGGAAATATCAAACTTGTTCAAATGAATAGAGAGAGAAAATATATATATATATATATATATATATATAAAAGCCTGTATCTTTCAATGTTTAATATCACAAAATGATATTATATCAGCTAGGTTGGTTCTGTGCTTCCCATCAACCTTACCATCCATTTAATTTTAGGCCCAAGGTTATATCACAACCAACTCCTGGCATGTTTTCGTCACAATACACCTCACATGGGGTGATAACCTTGTTCCTTCCTGGTAGATCGACAAGGTCAACAAATCGTTTTCGAATGGGGAACTTCTGTTTCTTGAATTTGATCCAACTAATTTCTACATAATAGTCTCTAGTTCCTGTGTGCTCTAGGTTACATAAGTCATAGTGTCAATTCTGCAACCATAATTTGTCTATTGATGGTAGGCCATGGTATAAATTGTGAAGCAACATGAAATCTGTCAAGTTAGTTTGGAGACAAAACCATGTGATTCCTCACCAAATATGTCATAAAACAAATCTACCCTAAAGTTACCGTTTGTTTCCCCCCAGTGGATTTAGGTGTTAAACTCATGAGCAGAACATATCCTTGCAAAGCCGGCTAACAAGGAGAGAATGGCATATGCTTATATATATGCTTCACATTACACAGGCAACCAGGCGATGTGTTACTATTTCAACATTTAACCCTGGGGTTAATTTACCGGACTTCCTACCGCGATAAGAAGGGCTTGTGACCCTTGATTGCTTAGGGGGAAAGAAAGGGTGCAATGTTATAATTGTCTGGAACACACAAGAATTACAATTATCTAGCCTGTTTTGGTTGTTCAAGTTGATTTGTGAAGTGATGGGATGTGATCTTAAAGAAGCTTGTATTTGCAAGTTGATGGATTTGGAACTGAAGACAGTTTTTTTCTGTATTCTTATTTGTAATTCCATGACTTTGGACTTCTGCCGCCCCTCTAGCAGTTAACATGTCTCACTATCCTCAGCTTTCCATATTTGACTATTGCCCCACCATTTTGCTTGCACCCATATCATCTCCCATTTAATGCTTCTGGTATTAGTTGTCTTATCAATAGCTAAATGTCTCAAGCATGTCTCTAATCTTGGAGGTTTAGCTCTATATTTATGAGAGCTTTCATTGTGTTTGAATCTGTATCTTTTATTGGGTGCTTTGGTTATATTTAAATATATGAGGTAGGGCAAGATGTTTGTCTAGAAGGTTACAGCTTTACCAATTTCACATGAAATCCTCATGACAATAGTGGGCAGACCAATCCATGTGAATTCTCATGAGGGTTTGAACTGACTTAATTAATAGAGGATTTAACTCATACCCTTTCATCTATATAAACTAAATTGGTTTCACAATCAATCTCCCATTCTCGACCATTTACAAATTTCCATTGTCAATTTCTTTGAAATCTTTTGCTTGTTCTTCATCTAAACACATTTAAAAAACATGGGTTTTCGTTTGCCCAGTATTATTCATGCTAAGCAAAATCTTCGACACTCCCCCTCGAACCAAGCTGCTCCGAAGGGCTATTTTGCAGTCTATATTGGGGAAAGCCAAAAGAAGCGGTTTGTGATTCCAATATCATGCTTGAACCAGCCTTCGTTCAAATACTTGCTAAGCCAGGCTGAAGAAGAATTTGGATATAATCATCCCATGGGTGGTATCACAATCCCTTGCAGTGAAGACAGGTTCCTTGACCTCATTTCTAGCTCCAGTGGATGAGACTGGATGTTCACATACAGTTTTGACATCAAGGACAGCGGAAATGTAACTTCTTGACATCGATTATTGCCGAAGTCGATGGGAGTGGGAGGCTAACATTATGGATTTAAGTACGGTTACAGATATTTTTTCATCTGAGAAAACAGCCATGTAAATGAACTTAGGGAGTAACATATAGATCGATTGTTCTTCCTTTTGCATGGGTGTTTCTCTTTTATGACCATTTCACACAGATTAATGGATACAAGTTTTGCTTCTTTGTATCTTGATTCTTGAATACAACTTAGCAATGTTTTATTATTTTCTTTCTGAACCTTAAATAATTAAAGTTGACAAAGATCCGTAAAGTTGACAAATTATGATTAAATCAGTTTAGCTTATGCGACTGAGAAGATGAAAATAACACAACCAGTGGAGCACCTACCTTTTGATTGGAAAAAAGAAAATGCTAAAATGCCTCCTTGCAATGGCTAGGAGTACAATGCTTGTGAGCAATATAATTTTATTGATTCATCTCCATTAATATAAGCACAACCTCTCTCATGTAAAGAGAGTTCCATTACAAAAGAACAAGGCCTCCGGAAGAATTAATATCCATTACAATAGAATAAGGCCTCCTGAAGAATTAATATCTAGCCAGCAGGCCAATGAAGGCAACGGACATAAATAAAAATACGTACAAGATACAGATGATTACATACAACAGCAAAATTGTCAGCTCTGCTGGATTCCACTAGACCATGTCTGGTTCTTCACAGGTTTCAGAATAGCTTCAACCTCTGCTAGAGTTTTTTCATCCTTCCCAACAGTTTCAAGCTCCACAGCAGCAGCAACATTTTCCTCAACCTGATTAGGAAAAGGATAAAACAAAACAGAGACCAAAGAATGATCTTCATAATTTAGAAATTTTATGAAATAATGAAAGGAAAGGATTTTCTATGGGATGTCGATGTGACATGAGCGAATAGGTAATTCGTTTCCTTGACATGATCATTCGTTCATGCTACTATAAAGCCATAGAGCAGGGTGGTATAGCACCCACTGTGCAATCCTGATAGAACGTACAAGTTAGTGGTAAATGATGGATCAGAACCTGTTTAATGGAGTTCATGCCAACAAGCACTGAAGAGATATCCTTGTTGGACAAACTGTATTGCATAGCTAACTTTGAAATGTTCTTCCCACTCTCTTTACAATAGACAGCAGCAGCTCGGCACGCAGACTGTCAAAAATATAAAACACATTAATCAGTTTTGAGTTTTCAATAATGGGATTGCATGTGATATGGTGATAAAGAAGAGGATTCACTAAGGTCTGAAGTAAAATGCCAGCTGGAACTGATGTATACAGAATGTCTACCTTCAATTCAGCAGATGCTGGGTGCCATTCTGGAGGACCACTCTCGGTTAGAAGGCCCATAGCAAGTGGAGAAGCACTAATGACACCAACACCTTTGCTCTTTAGGTATGGTAATAAATCCTCCAAAGCTGAATCATTAATACCGTAGTGGCAATATGACAGAACCACGTCCACTGTGCCAGGTGGTACCCGATCGAGAACGTATGTGAAAATTCCCAATGGAAGTCCTGTAATACCAATGAAATGAATCTTCCCTGCTTCCTTGAGTTTCTTTAGGGCAGGGATGGTTTCATTGATAATCTGTTAACAAAACCAAACCAAACAGGAGAACACAACTTGGTCATTAGGCTATAACAAATGAGAACAAAACTTGACCATTACCCCTAAAACAAGAAATGCCAAAGAACCTGATCTAGAGACCCAAATTCAATATCATGGCATTGCAGTATATCAACGTAATCCAGCTGCAACCTTTCCAAGCTCTCATCAATGCTCTTAGTCACTCTATCCGCACTGAAATCAAAACCGTCAGCATAGCGCCCACACTTGGTTGCCACAATGTACTCATTCCTTGGGACGCCTAGAGCTTTTAGTGTTTTACCAAGCACCTTCTCTGACAAAGTCCCGCCATAGTACCTAACAATTGGGAAGCAGAAAGGGAAACTGAACACTTAAGTATGACACCCAAAAAAACAGCAGAAATAAGATGGAAAGAAGGTGACTTCAATACAAAAAGTTCTGTGATTTATGTCATAGATTAGTGAAGGAATTTCATTTACAAGGTCAGAACAAATACAACCAAATGGGTTTTCTGGGTCACAAATAATTGGTAACTCTAAAGTATCAAAAATTATTTTTGATCTGCAATCTCATAAATGAAAAACCCCAACTCTTCATTATCTTATATTGCCACATTTTTCTCTAAAACCAAACAGAGCCACACAGATCAAAATCACACGCTAAGAGAAATTCTCGAAAATTCTCTACAAAGTTTCAGACTTTCTGGCTGCATTATAAGTTTTAGTTTGCTCTTATATCCAATCATGTGAAAATAAGTTCAATTTCACGAAATTTTCTTTTAATTATTCACAATTTCTCAGCAACCGAATAGAACAAGCATTGCGCACAAAAATTGAGAACTTGCGTGTTGCGTGAATAAAAAAGAAATTACATACGGAGAGGTGTCGAAGAAGTTGATGCCACGACGAAAGGCTTCGCGAACGGAGCCGATGGCTTCGTCATCAGAGACGGGACCGAAGACGTTGCCTAGAGGCGAGGCGCCGAAGCCGACGCAGCTGAGCTTGAGGCCTGTGTTGCCCAGTTCTCGAAGTTCTACTTTGGGCAGCGCTGGCAAAGCCATTGTTTTGTTGTTTATGGAGGAGGAGAGATATTTGAGTGGGATTTTGGTTCAGGAAGGCCAGGAAGGAAGTGGCGCAGTGGAAGTGAAGTGAAAGATATATGGGTTTTCTACTAACTGAAAAACAGAATTTTATGTTTCCTAAAGCCAAAAAGTTCAAAATTTATATTTGTTTTTTAAAACCCCAAAAAGTTCAAATTCATAGGCACACTAATATTAACTGATACAAATTATTACTCTTGGACTACTTATGTGGTTTTATAATCTAAAAAGTTTTCTAATATCGCTTGTATAAAAATAAAAAAAATTCAATATTTTTTATATTTTTTTTATTCTACTTTTGAAATTATTTATTTGAAAAATCAGCTAAATTGGCAATCAACGATTGGATGGGGTGTTCAGTGTCGTGGGTACAAGATCGAAAATTCATGCGAGATGCCCAAAGACTCTCATACATTTCTTGGTTGGACCAACCAAATTTTCGACAAGTCTTTCTATTAAAACAAGAAGCGGAACTAGAAATGAATCTTAATCATTATGGATAACCAATTCATTTTCAAATATTGTTGGGAGACTTTACTCAAGAAATGGGTAAAAAAAATTGAAAGATCAGAACGTGGGAATAGGTAACCATTTAGTTATCATCATGATTTTTACAATAATTTTATCGAAAATACTTTGGTTGACCACATTATTACGTTGAGCATAAAAGAGTGAGTGATGTCATGTTAACGTATACAGTAGTGAGTGGCCAATAGTTATGAATCGTTTGCTATGCAATTGTGTGGTGAGCAATTAAAGAGAGCAGAGGGGCCCAAATTAGAAGTTAGTCTTAAAAAAAAAGGGAAAACCTGTAATTGCTCACCACACAATTGCAATTAAAGAGAGAAGAGGGGCCCAAAGACTTTTGTTGACAACGAAATTTTGGTGCTCTTAGACTCGGTCATGCATGCTTAATTTCAGTTTGAGGAGATATAACTTGTAAAACCTGCAATAATGAAGAAGAAAAGGACGACCACAAAGTGATGCCTAAGTTTAGTCGATTTAATAATACAAAACCCACTTACACTCTAGTGTGTAATCAAGCTAGCTGCAAAGTGCATAAATTTTTTTTTTGGGTTAAATACTTTTTTGGTTACTGGGTTTTACATACAAATTCAATTTGGTCACTGGGAAAAAAATGTAGCCAAATTGGTCATTTTATTTTCCAAAATTTACAATTTATAGACATTTTGTTAATTTCCGTGAAGTGTTTTTTTTTTTTTTTTTTTTTTTTTTTTTTTTTTTTTTTTAGGACGCTCAATCTTCTTCTTCTAACTCCACGAGTTATGGCATATTGTGCTATTAGGGTTTAATAAATTGGGGAAAATCTTGGGTTGAAATCGAAATTATGAGGTATAAGAGCATCTCCAGGAGTCTCCAAATTTTAGTCAAATTCTAGCTAAAATAGCTAGAAAGCTATTATAGCAAACCACTTAAAAGGTGTTTCCTCCAGCAATGTTCTTTATTTTGACTAATCTGAAATATTTTATTATTATTTTCTCTTTCTCTTTCTCCCTTTTTCTCTTGCAAATCAAATATATTTATAAATAAAAAAAAGTAGAAACCCAACCCAACCAACCTCCTAAATGTTTCTATCGCTCTCTTCCTACCCAAATTCTCTCTCCTCCTCTATGAGGAGCCAAAAGTTGGTTCTCCAAAATAGAAAACCAAGTAGGGAGTCTGCTTGAGAAGGATTTTCCTTCTTTTTAGCCAAAGTAGCTAGGGATGAGAGAATATAAAGTCTGTTGGAAATGCTCTAAGGTCACAAATTTGATGCTATATTGAAGCCTAAATCGATTGAGTGAGCACTTTATTGTGAAAACTGATGGCAAGGAAACATAATCAAGGTGATAGAATGTGTATGAATTGTAAACTTTGGGAAACACAGTGACTAATTTGGCTAAATATTTTTCTTAGTGATCAAATTGAATTTTTCATGTAAACCCAATAATCAAAAAAAGTAATTTTTTTTTTTTTTTTTTTTTTTTTTTTTTTTTTTTTTTCATTATTAAATTAATTGGGGTTTGCATAATTTTCTTCTATTATGGACTTTGGTTTTTTTTTGCATTGTGTAACTTAGAAGTTAGTCATTAAAAAAAAACAAATAAATAAAGAAATCCCAAAGAAAATTGAGGGCAAATCAGTGTATGAGTTAAGCAATAGATAAAGAGATGCCCACGAGGACAACAGTAGTTATGTAGAACCAAATTTGCAGGAAACTTCCCTCTACATAATAACTCCATTGAAATCTTTGTCCTCCCTCGGCCAATGTGGCTTTCAATTTATTTGGTAACAGCCAAGACGCACCCCTTTTCCGGTTACGCTATATTGTTACATATAAATTAATATAAAGTCATCATCTTGCATGTGTTTTGTTTTTCATTTTCCTTGTATCTTTTTTCTTATACAAGATATAGATTAATTATAAGAAAGTGACTCGAACTTGCGTACAAGAGGACGGACTCACATTTTTCGGTTGTCTTTTGTATCTTGGTTTATTAGCTAAGCTATAGTCGCAATCACAAGCAACATTTAGGAGAGGACTCTCAGATAATCTTCTAGAAAAATTTGAGTGCTTGACATCAAGGTGTGTGCAAATCTTTTTGAAGTATAAAGTACAGATCATAGTCATAGATTCACCAGATTTCAACGCGCTATCATCCCAGTTATGTTCCTTGAATTGGTTTCCAGCATCAGAGGTCCCCAATGCTCACACACAACACAGTTCGTATAATATTGTATCTTTATTATCCAAGATATACGTATAGGAAATTATTTGCAAACACCATGCATTGACATCTACACTCTTATTATTATTTCTTTATACCAATATAAGACCTTTTGTTATCCCATGCATTGACATGCACTCATTTTCTAAGATCTAAACTTAGGGCTCACCTTAGCCAACAAATTATGACATAAAATAGTTAGTTTGAGATCACGACGATTTGGCCAAACAGGTCGAGTAATAGATTTAGAATATCAAACGCGTCGAATCAATTGGTAATGAGTAGAGTGACTTTATATCTTATATATCGTGGTGCAATATTTTAGTTTTTCGATGTAGGATAATACTCTCAAGTGTACAATGAAATGAACTTGAATCGGAGTATTTAAACTTGGCCGTCCTAATTGGTTCGGAAAGGAGCATAGCAATTAGATGACCTTGAATGTGAAAGCAAGAGAGCAAATGCATGCGAAAGTTCAATTTCTTAAGACAAGTCTAAATAATAGAAATTGGAAAAGGATCATGAAACAGTTTAGTCAGATCACTCATGAGCCGACCTCTTAATGGGCCGGTTTGACGGAATTTGTCGGCCCAACAATAAACCCATAAAGTAGCCAGGTGTAGCGTTCTGTAGCACGCGTCAATATCCTATTGGGTCAGAACAAAAAAGTCAAGGGAAGGTTCCTAACACAATCAACATCATTAAACCTTTTTAAAATTACTTTCCACACCAATCATTCTCTAATGACACGTCTGAAATCACACTTTGATTTAATCACTAACTTAACGAGATTGCATAATTATCCAGCTCATCATTATATCATTGGCTTTGGTTTTGAATGTTAAAGAATAGGAAACAGTATCAGTATCGTTATGATGTCATCGTAACACTGTCATGTGGTGTTACTAATATCATTTTACCATTGCCTTTTGATTTTGAATGTTAAAAAGATTAAAATAAAATAAAAAATTACGGTTTGAATACGATCGTAACACTATTACATGACGTTGCTAATACATGTATTTTATACGGTCTCATAAGAAAGAACAATAATAATGCAAGGTTGGCTTTGGTGATTAGGACCTTGTGTGGAGGGACCACATGTCTAATATTTTTGTTGCTTCATCAGCAACCTTGGAAAGAAAATTTCAATGGCTAGTTGGTGAAGATCCCGCTTAAAGTCCACAAAGCAACAAAATTGAATTTCTAGTCTGTATATTTTATCAGCTTAGAACAACCACACTTTGGTAATAATTTTAAAATTTCCTTGCTAGCTAATAGCTACAGTTAACATTAATTCAAACAATTGAGGAATAATATCATGGTCAATCAGTACCAAGATAGAATAATGGGAACAATTAATCAAGTTGTCTGGTCCCAGTTTCACATCAGAGAGCAATTGTTCAAAGGTGAGCTACGGACAGGTGAACTACACAAGCAAACTGAGCAAGAGCCAAGAGCTAGCTATAAAAGTTGAACCAGGTCAAGGTCTTGTAAGCTCTAGGGAAGAAGAAGAAGAAGCCTTCCTCATTGTTGAGTAAAGGGGTGTGTTGTGTGTATTGTTCTGCACGGCCCAAGTAACTTGTTACAGTGATTTTGTTTTCCAGGACCCTTCCTTGAGCTCCAGAACATCAAACAAAAGAAGCAGACTTGATGGCGATTTCGTCAATAGGAGGGATGTCTGAACTGGTAAGGAAATTCTGTACCACTTTGTCTCTTACTTTGGATAAAGATAAACAACATGCTTCTGGGAAATTGTTCTTTGTTTTGGCCTTTTTAAAAACAGTTTTATTTGTTATGTAAGAGATTGAGGCTCACTTGAAATACTTGACTTGGTTTTATCTGTTAGATGAAATGTCTTAAGGAGATTTTTTTGAACTTGCAGGGAATGGAAGATCCCTACTTCATCAACCAGTGGCACATGAACTCTCTGGATGAAGTCAGCATGCTGCCACTAGCAGCTGCATTTGGAGAGAACTTTAACCAGTCTCACTTTCACCCAAATTTCAATCTTAAAACTTCTATGGATAGTTCTCATAGTGGCATTGATAGACCCATGAAACAGCTCAAAACTGATGGCTGGAGTTCATGCAAAACCGATCAACACGGATTGAACCCGCAAGTTGCTTCCTCTCCAAATATCCTTTCCTTTGTCAACTCTAATAGCACAAACCAAATGGGGGTTCTTAAGCCTAAGGAGGAGGCAGCAGTGTGTTCAAAGAGCAACAACGGTCTCCCTTCTGATATATTGCTCTCTCAAAGTTCATTTGGCAACCAAAGTTATTTGTTTAAGGCCAGTCAGGGAACAAAGGGGGTCAACACAAACACTAGGCTTTCTACAACTCAAGATCACATTATTGCAGAAAGGAAAAGGAGAGAGAAGCTCAGCCAACGGTTCATAGCTTTATCTGCAATGGTTCCTGGCCTAAAGAAGGTAACAAATTCTCTTCATTGTCCTGCTCTGATGCTTCCTCCATAGTTTTGTTTATGTTATTCTTTGCAGTTTTTATTTAAAAAATGTTTTATTTTGCTTGTCTTGCTTGTACTCTAAGCAATCTATAGTTTCTGGGATAGCTTAAATCGGTTCTCAAAGTAACGTTTCATATTTTCTGAACCACCTGAACAGTTGTTGAAAAATGCAGACGCTTCTTGTTCAGTCTCTTGTCAAATACTTCATATGTTATATCCTGAAATGATCTGTTGCAAATTTAGGAATTTGGATTGTTTTAACTTGCCGAATCGCTCTCTAATCCTAAATCGTACCCTTGCTGTGACAGATGGACAAGGCTTCTGTTCTTGGAGATGCTATCAAGTATATCAAACAACTGCAGGACAAGGTAAAGACACTTGAGGAACAGACCAGAAAGAAAAACATGGAATCCGTCGTCTTTGTGAAGAAAACGCAGCTCTTTGCCAATGATGACAACTCATCCTCAGAAGAAAATAACTCCAGTGGCCCCTTTGATGAGACACTGCCTGAAATTGAAGCAAGGTTCTGTGACAACAATGTCATGATAAGAATTCACTGTGAGAAAAGAAAAGGAGTTGTGGAGAAAACTATAGCAGAGGTTGAGAAGCTCCAACTTAAGTTCATCAATAGCAGTGTCTTGACATTTGGGGGCTGTGCTCTTGATGTAACCATTATTGCTCAGGTAATTTTGTTTTGATCCAGTTTCTTCATGCTTTAATGGGATGACTATTTCAATTAAATTCATTTGAAACCATCTTGATCTTTGTCAGATGGAAGTGGAATTCAGCCTCTCAGTGAAGGAACTTGTCAAGAATCTACGCTCCGCTTTCGACATGTTCATGTGAAAAAGAAGCCTCAACTAAGTTTCTATGCTGCAGCCAGAAGCTTCAAAATAAATAACAATATGTCTTCAAATATCCAACCAGTCCAAGTTTACCTTTCTATGAATTTCTGTTTACAAGGCCTGCAATCCTCCACCAAGTTCAGAACCAGTACCTTCAAGCTTGTTTGCTGTCAGATTATTTTGCAGGAGGGTTTTTTACTCCAAATTTTTTTGCATGGTTAACTTGTTGACCATGTTCAGTTGCCCACCTGTTTAAACAAGTGATCTCACAGCTTATCTGAGCTTTTTTTTTCAAAGGAGTTTGCTTATCCTAACTTGTTGGCAAGGGAAAAAGTCTTTTTTGTAGGTGAGGATAAGAAACAGGCATTTGTTTTAGCAGTTTGTTTGGTCAGTGTTTTAGAGGCATCTTGAATTCTAATTTCTTGAGTCTCTTTCCCTTGTAATGTCCTTTTCTATATGTAACCGTTTGGTTAAAAGTAATGGAAAATAAGTAATTTCATGTTACCTCCCATATTATTGGCATAGATATATCTTATTCTACGTGGGAACAGAAATATCCCTTGTAGCGATAGTCTAAGTTACAAAGTGGAGGATTTTCTCTCACACAGACACTATCAATGTGTCATGGGAATTCAAACTTGAGAATACTGGTATGCAAATCAAGACCATTTTTCATTACGTTACCCCGTTTGCCCGTAAGATGCTCTTTAAACCAAAAAAGAAAAAGAAAAAAGAGAGCATGATTTGATAAAAATCACAGGGATAATAGTTGAGTGTGCCATAGCCTAAATCAAATTATTGCAGCATATTAGTTAGGGGTACAGGTACAGCTATGCTAGCTCAGCTGGTTTTGGAGATTGTGTGGATGGTGGGGTGAGACTTTGAAGGGTTTTCAGAGTTGGAATTTTGCTCTCATAATTTAGCACGTCACACTCAATTAGGTGAATAATTAAAGGACTTCATATTCTTCTCGTAGCCCCACTAAGATTGTGATCTCTAGCTACGACTTTATGGAAATCTCTGTCGAAAAAAATAATTTCCCATGTTGATGTTTATTGAGTAAGATTCTTATGAGGAAAAAATGAAGTTAGACAAATTCCAATATTAACTAGCCGTTCAAAAATGAAGTTAGACAATTTCCAATATTAACTAGACATTGATGTAGATTTCATGCATATCGTGTCGTGAAAGGAATGATTTTAATTGTTGACTCGCGTAATTAACACTCGATTTTTTGTAAATCAATAGTTAAGAATTATCTATGCATGCACGCATCTACCATTGAAGAAAAGCTTAATTTAACCACAATTCGAGTTGTTAGGTCATGTCATTAGGCAATCAATTCCTCAATTAAGGGATGATGAAATATAGGAAGAATCTTCATTTTCCTACTTGACACAAACATTTTCTTTGCTAATTTTTCATTTTCCTACTTCTTCCTCGTTTCATTTGTTCAAATATTTTTATATATTAATAGCACGAAATTTGACAAAGGTAACAACAAGGTTTCGTGGTGTAGTTGGTTATCACGTCAGTCTAACACACTGAAGGTCTCCGGTTCGAACCCGGGCGAAGCCAATCTCTAATTTTCCTTTTTCCTCAATCCCATTCCATTTTGAAACGACGTCGTCAGATGGTTCCCATAACGGTATTACCCAACCTCAACAAAACCCCGCGAAACACGCGGCGAAACCACGCACTGTGAATCCACGTCATCGGGGGCAGTTTCTAATTCCAACAAACGAGAACCAATCGCGCAAGCCTTGACATAACTTACTCTCTTCCCATTGGTCTGTCTCCTCCACGTCAGCACCCTCTAGATTCTTCGCAGCTAATTTTCCCAAACTTCAAAAGTCACCCAATCAAACCCACCGCCTTCATCATTCCCAAAATCACAAAAAATTAAAAAATAAAAAATCCAGTCCTCCAAACAATGGCTCTCCAAGCTCTGTTTTTTATCCTCGTAACAACGCAGTTCCTACCATCTTCTTCTCTAATTTCCAAGCCCGATTTCCACTCTCGCTACCCTAGCCCCAGAGCCATCTCCGTAAGCCTTCTCTCTGTCTTCAATTTCGAATTTAAAAATATATATATATTTTTTTTTGGGGTCGGATTGATTGAATTTGATTGGTTAATTTGCAGGATTTGAAGGAGAGTATTGTGAAGGGATTAGGGTTTCCGGCGGAGGATTTGAAGGTGTCGGGGTTCGATTTGAGGGACGCGCAGGTGGGGCATTCGGTGGCGTACGAGTTCGACGTGGAGGTGGACAACAAGGTGCTTCCTTTCAAGCTCTTGGAGGACGTGGACCGCTGGGATTACGTCGATTTGCCGATTTTTCGGGTCGAGGACGAAAATGGGTTGGTCCAGAAAGGCAAATCGGGTACTGGGTTGCCGCCGGTTTTGGCTCCGTTTCAGCTGGCTGGGCCTATGGAGCTCTGGATTCAGGACGCCAAAGACATGAGGATCTCGCTGCCTGTAAGTATTGGGGGCCATTGCGCTATTAGCCTATAATTAGTGTTTGATTATTTAGCTCAAGTTTTGATTTTGGTAGATGTAGATGAACTAGACTCGCCAAATTTGTTAATCAAAATGATGTTTCAGTATATATGTACATGTGATAATCTTATTGAAATTCAAGGTGGGCTCAAATTTGAATAATTTAAAAACTTTTACATTATTTAATTAACAAAATTCGGTTAATTGACAATTGCAATTAAGCTCAAATCAGGATTCCGATTGAGTTAATTTACAGAATGTCTATTTCGGTGTTACATGCGCATATCAAATTTGCATTTTGTGAGTTAAGTTGATGAGAATTGTAATTTGGTCTTAATTTTAGATACATATGATTGACTGGTTTAGGATTGAAATTTTGAACTTTGGAAACTGATTTGTTCAATGTTATGCAGCATGATGTGGATGCTGGTGTGTTGAAGAAGGTGATGTTGGCAGAAGGCGCTGTGGTCACAGTGAAGGGTGCAAGGTCTGTGAGTCTGCGCCACCCTCTTCAGCTCCCATTGCCATTAAACCGAACCAACAATGGGTTTGCTTCTGGTCTTGTGACCTTGGCTGAATGGCTGCGCCATGCTACTCGAACCCAAACATCTCCATTGCTCTCTCTCCGCATTGTTGGTCCTACTTCCCTTGCATCACCTTCACCAACTTCTTCCTCCATGAACAACAAGCTCAAGCTTAAGCGCCTTGCCCCAGGCCTTGTGGAGTTGTCCTCACCATCAAACACCAAACCCATTTCTGTTGAGCTGCAAAATCAAGAGACCACTGCCATTTTAACCCCTAGCTACTTCACCACAGTTTGGCCTCTTGCTTCCATCAACGGGTCAAACCCAAATTTGCTGGGTTTTGAGGCACTGCTTTCGTCTGTGTTGGGTCCTAAGGCCAATAAAAAAGGCTCCTTCAAGTTGTTGAAGGCAGATGTGTCTGCACAAACGTTTTTGAAGATTGGGTTTGGGGTGGAGAAGAAGCTGAAAGAAGGAGATGGTTTTGATTTGAAAGGTTTTCCAGAGTGGAGGACAAAGCCAGAGACTGTAAGGATGCATTTTGAGGTGCTGGCTAAGGTTGATGGTGATAAAATCGTGCCGGAGAGAGTGGTTCCAATTAACCCTGTGGTTCTGGAGGACACTGTGGCACCTAATGAGCTTTTGGGGAATGTCAGCATGTCCACAGTCCCCATTGTTTACCCTCCGGCGAACCCCTTGACCTTGTAAAGTTTTTTGGTTGGGGTTACATATAGAAAGCCTGAAAGTGTAAAGATGAGAAGGTTTTGTCGTTTTCTTTTCCTTAAAACATGATGAGTTAGATGAGGTCTAATGCTGTAAAGATTTAAGAAATGGAATGACTGAGGGTTTAAATTATGTTCTCTCTGTTTGTGGATCATTTCACCCCTCTTTGGTAATGTAAGGGTGCCTTAGACAGAGAGAAGCCCTAGCTTTGTTTTTGTTATGTACGCATGAAAATGAAATGAAGACTTGATTGCATATATTATTAACACAGCCTATATGTAGCAGAAGTTCAAATTTTGTCAGAGGGACTGATGATTAAAATTGACAATTTAATCCAAGTATATTCTGAGTACAACAGCAACTGCTAAATATAAATCCCTGTAAGAAACATGAGAAATTTACTTTTTGATGAAAGAAACCCCCTTCTGGATGCTTGCTGCTAACTCCCTTTTCGCCTTCTCTAAACCAACCCTGTTCATGAACCAATAAGATTTATCAAGAAAGGAACCAGCCCTGTTCATAAACTCTTCTATTTTGCAGCAACAAAATTGTAGTGTTTGTATAGCAAAGCACTACATACCTCTCATACTCATTCAGAGGCCCAAGTTGGTAGATTTCATCAGCTCCATTTCGACCAAGCCGTACCTTGGTTGCGAAGAAAGGAAGTTCGGTAACCTGCCATAAAGATTGAGCATTTTGCTTGGTCATTAGAAGTTCAGAACTTGATTTTGTAAGACAAAGAACACCAGTACCTCAGAAGCAACAAAAGCACATTCAACAACGCCAGCATCTCCTCTCAAGCCACGAAGGCATGCATCCGCAAACTTCACAGCTGCATATGCCTGCAGATATTTTGTAGTTACTTCTAATGCTTGTATTATCCCGAACAAACTCAGTGTATATGATTAAGCGAATTGAAATGGCTAACCATTGACAATGTTGCGGAGCCAGCCCCAGCTTTTGCCTGCAAAATTGTGAACAAATAACTTAAGGGAATTGTGGTTTTTGTTGAAAAATAAACACACAAAAACAACCCTTGGGCTGAAATGCTGGACCGATGAGACGATTGATTGAGTACAGATGTAGCAGATGAGTACACGGTAAGAGAATCTAGTCCCCTACATACATAAATGCATCCTAAGATTAAAAGTGGCATTACCTCAACAACTTCTGTTCCACCATTTTGAATGCGGTTTGTCAGATATTCTGTTTCTTCTTTGGAGAAGGAACAAGGAGGCTTGACCTGTAAAGACAGACACCTTCTTGAGAATCTTTCCCACTTGTACTGCAGACAGTTTACTGTTTGAAGGAAACATAAGAAACATCTAAAGAAGCTGAAACTTGTATAAATCTATGTAAGACCTGTGACAGAAGTGGCAAAATGGTCACTCCTGCATGACCACCAACGACTGGAACATCAACCTCCCTAGGATCAAGTCCCAGAACTTCGGCCTACGACAAAATTATGAGATTGGAAAATGAGAACCATGAACATCAATGATAGTAAGTACACACAAACTTCATTGACTAATACTTACAACGAAAGTATTTGCTCTCACAACATCAAGCATCGTAACTCCTAGAAGTCGCTTTGGGTCATAAGTTCCGGTCTTCTTGAAAACCTCAGCTGCTATAGGAACTGTAGAGTTCACTGGATTACTGATCAAGTTGACAATTGCCTTAGGGCAGGCCTTTGCAATTCCCTCACAGAGGGTCCTGACAATTCCGGCATTGATGTTGAAAAGATCATCCCTTGTCATTCCTGGCTTCCTTGGAACACCGGCAGGTATGATCACAAGGTCTATGCCTGTGAGAGCACTCTCAAGCTGTGGCTGGCCTAAGAAACCCCTCACCTAAATTCCAAGTACATGATATTTACTTGGTAGTTAGACAATGGTGGCAGAATGAGGCCCTAAGTTTAGTACTTAATCAAAAACTTAACTTCAAGACTTGTATATCAGCCGTTAGATCAGATATGGATGACTAAGATGAATCTCATCCACTTAATTAAACTGTACATATTATCCGTTCATATCCAATCTAACAGTTCATATGCAAGTTCCATATCTCACAAACATCAACAGAAGAACTTAAGCCTCAGTGCAATATGGAAATGTAACGACATTTTTATCAAAAATAGATTGAAAGCTAAAGTTGATGAAGTGTGAATTACCACAGCACCAGTGTCCATGTGACTAATGTCAGCTGTGACACCCGGGGCATTAACAACATCATAGAGATGAAGAACTGAAACCAGTGGGTTCATTTTCATGAGCATCGCAAGAGGTTGGCCAATGCCTCCGGCAGCACCCAAAATCGCCACGTTAAAACCCGGTGCCCCGCCTTTGGCTCTGCAATCAGCTCTTCTCAAAGCAGAACCATCCTCCATCTATTTTGCAGCACACAATCCAGACATCAATACATATATTGTTTAGCAGCATCAATCTCAACTTAACAACAAATTGAACGTTCCTGATTGATAATTCTAAGTTAAACAAATTTGTTTATGTATCTAATGCAACAGAAAATAATTAAGTTAAACCAAGTAGAAAAGAAAATGAAGGCATGGCATGCATTTGTATGAAGCCAAAGGCACCATCAACTTTGTAGCAAGCAAACAGAGAAACCCAAGAGAGAAAACCTGGAGATTTGGTGGAAACAGATGAGCTGAGATCCTTGCAATGCGTCCATTAGCTTCCACACTTGGCTCCATTATCTCTCTGTTTTCTCAGACAAAGGGAGAGTGAGAGGTTTAAGTGTATAGCTATAAACAAGCTTAGCCTATGCCTTGCATGCCATGGACAATAAATAATTAAATAAATCCAAAGAATTCCATTTAGGAAAAAAAAAAAACAAAGAGATAATTTTGAAGGAATGATACATAATTTTTTTCCATATTTCAATTGTGTGGAAACTAATTATTTTGAATTCTTATCCTATCCCATTTCTCAATTGTGGCTCTCACAATTTTTAAGTAAGAAACCTACACCTGTCTGAGTTTGATGCAGACTTTGTTATAGTGACGTGGTCCCATTCCTAGATGTGGCCCACCAATTTTGTTCATCACTATATTTTCTTGGATAAATAGCCAACCCAGAAAAAGGATTTGCAGGAAAAAAATTCTGGGCCACCCAAGGGCCTATAGTAGCCCAAAACTACTGAGTTAGGAGACTGGAAAAGTAAGGCCCATTGGACTTGAGAATTCTACCAATTCTCATACAACTTACAAGATTGGAAAATATAGGTAAAATAGACACATAAAAATTTGTACGATCAGCAAAAGAAAGTTGAGATATTTAGTTATATACTCATTCTTAACACTGGTGATATATAAATTCTATACTATTTAATTTCTATAAACAAACCCAAAAAATAACAACTGACCCTATTAAATTTAATTTTGATTATTAAATTACTTTGATACTTTACTGAGTGTTCTAGGTTTTTTTTTAATGAGGTTTTGGGGTTGGGCTTGTTTTAAGAAATAAATGACAGTTTTGTAATTTATAGGAAGTTCGAAGCCTCTTTGTTATGTTGTAAATGGGTTTTGAGTGTGTTTTTAAAATTCATTTTGTGTGGGATTTGTTTTATAATTTGAATACTTATATTGGATATAATAGTGAATCTTCAAAGAAAGTTTAGGGTGTATGGAATTGAAAACTTAAGTTTAGAACTGTTAATATTATTTGGTGATTTTCAATTGTTAATAAATGTGATATTTACAATTTAAATTAAAATAATACTTATCAACGATTATCAGTCATCCACGTTGTACATGCGCGTAAACTATTAATGCTAACAATTTTGTTGAATTTTCGGCTACAAAGTTGAAGATAAAGAGAAAAAGACACCAGAAAAAGTGAGATGGGATGGGATGGGATTGGTGAGGCAAAGAGGTTTTAAAGTCCATGAATCAAAGAAATTTTTCTAGGATCTTTTGTGTTCATGGTTGTTGGGTACATGGGGCCACAAGTTTGGTATGTCTTTGACTTTGGGCTTGATGTCTAGCTAACATTCACTGAACTAGTTCCCAATAGGCGTAGAGATTCCACCGCCTCTTTTACTCCTTAGTCATTTTGACTTGCTCACTGAGTTTTAGCATCATCAAAATATTTTACATTTAACTTCTTCTTTTTTTTTAATAAAAAGTTTAGGACACTCATGACCAGGGCAAACTCCAAATCTTTTCGAATTTACAGAGGAATTTACATATTACCCACCAAATACGAAACTGCTAACAGCAAGACTCACACACTGGTGGAGCAACACACAATACAGAAACTTTATCAACTAAACCAACCCCTCTTGGTAATTACATTTAACTTGAGCAGCAAAGTACCCTTCCTTTCCTCAAAAGATACTTTTAGAAAAGATGTATCAAATTTATTTATTGTAACTTCATAGGATGTTTCAAACAAAATGAAGATTGAGCTAAAGCTTTCAGTATTATATATTATATGCCAACAGAAAAGGGACAATAATGAATTGTGTCCAAGGATTGGTATTAGTGATGTGATGACCGGTAGTGGTACAAATGAAGAGATCATATATTATACATAAGAGATATGGTTGTTGCCTTTTGAATAAAATTTTCACTTTAATCATACTACTTTCATACACCACGGCATCGTTCAGTGACTCAACGTGAACGTAAAAAATTCCACATAAGATAATTATTAAAATTAACACATTTGAATTATCAACCTTTGAAGTAAATATAGTATTGCAATTAGCTAGTAAATCCAACTGTGTCAACTTCATACACTCATCTTGTGTATATTTTTCTCCAATATTGTGGAATTTTCTTGAGGCCTAATCATTCATTTATAGTTCCATGGCTACCAGGTAACCAGTGATGCTTACGTGGCATCTTAGGCTACACGTGGCAGAAGGTGAAAGCCCAGTCAACCCTGGCGGCTAGATCAGATTCTATGTCTGTGCCTGCCCTGTGATATCAAAGGAAACGTATTAACACGTGTTTTTATTTTGTCAACCAACACATGCATGAACAGGTGAGAGTCCAAAGGTTATTAATTGCTTTGTATCCCACTTTCTTCTTCTTCCTCTCTTTTCTTCTGTTCTTTCTTTCATTGCTGGTTTTGGAAGCATTATGCTACAAGTCTCAGTGTGAATTAAACAGCCGACTAGACTTTTACTCACATTGGACTGATTGGACGGTGGGGGAACTGCTTCTTTTTATTTAAGACTTTTGTTCTGAAATTTTACAATCCTAATAAGCCAATGCATTTTTAGTGTAAATACACTTTTTTTCTCCTTTGCAATTTGAACCTCATTTATTTAACAAGAAAACATATTGTCATGTAACACATTTTAGTTTTTTTAAAATTTAAAAGAACTCAAAGCTGCTTTCAAAAGAAATTTTAAAAATCTCAGAGAGTTTGATAGCGTGTTATGTCTAAAACCGTTAGATTATTATAATGATGTGTAGCGTAACGCAGAGAAATACCCAATATATACAAGCTTGGCATCCTTGTGATTAGCAGTATGTTTAAAAGAAATCCAGTTATCTTGGATAAACAAAGGAGTTTTTTGGATAATCAATATAAAATATAGGTTCCACTTTTAGACTGAACAATATTGGGCAATTATTTAATGGAATGCATCCGATTTATGAAAACCATGCTTCAAAACTTCAACTTTGCGTACCAAAATTTTCTTCTTTCCCCACACTGTCTCAGCACACGTGAATGTCTCTCTCTTACACTGCGAACCCATGAACTCATATTCCAAGCCACCGTTTTTTTCGTTTTCCACTTCCCTTCCAAGTTGCCACCCCATGACAACCAAAATCTAACAAAACCTTAGCAATCCCCCCCAGCTTCACACCCACCACCACCGGACGGCATGTCGTTCAGGCAACGGCTTCCTCCTCCGACACCTTTTCTCATTCTGCCCTTCCTCTGCCTGTGCCTGCTTTCTCCATCCACGTCAAATGAGCTTGAACCGCTCTTCAAGCTCAAGACCGCCCTTCAAAACTCAAACCCAAGTGTCTTCACTTCCTGGACAGAAGCCACTCCCATATGCAACTTCACTGGTGTTGTCTGCAACTCCAATGGCCTCGTCTCTGAAATCAACCTTTCTCAACAAAAGCTTTCTGGGTTTCTTCCATTCGACTCAATTTGCTCGCTTCAATATTTAAAGAAGCTTTCTTTGGGCTGGAATGGCTTGTACGGAAGCCTAACAGACGACTTGAAAAACTGCACGAGTTTGGAGCAGTTGGATTTGGGTAACAATTCATTTACAGGGAAAGTTCCTGACTTGTCATCTCTGAGCCAATTAACCTTCTTGAGTCTGAATGGTAGCAGATTTTCAGGAGCATTTCCATGGAAATCACTAGAAAATCTTACCCAATTAACTTTCTTGAGCCTTGGAGACAACCCATTTGAGCCAACCTCATTTCCTGCAGAGGTTATAAAGCTTGACAAGCTTTATTGGCTGTACCTCACAAATTGCAGCATCACTGGACAAATCCCAGAGGGTATTGGAAACCTTACTCTGCTTGAAAATCTGGAGCTTTCTGGTAACCAACTGTCTGGTGAAATTCCACAAAGTATTTCAAATCTCAAGAAGCTCAGGCAGTTTGAGCTTTATGAAAATTTGCTTACTGGGAAACTCCCAGCTGGGCTTGGTAGCCTTTCAAGCCTTGTGAATTTTGATGCCTCCACTAATAAGCTTGAAGGTGATCTCTCTGAGCTGAGGTCCTTGACCCAGCTTGCCTCTCTGCAGCTCTTTCAAAACCAATTAGAAGGAGAGATTCCTGAGGAGTTTGGGGAGTTCAAGAGCCTTGTTAAGCTCTCACTTTACAAGAACAAGCTCACTGGTACTCTTCCTCAAAAGCTTGGTTCTTGGGCAGGCTTGGATTATATTGATGTATCAGAGAACTATCTGACTGGTCCTATCCCACCTGACATGTGCAACAACGGAAAAATGGTTGATTTTCTTCTGCTGCAGAACAATTTCACAGGTGGGATCCCAGAAAACTACGCCAATTGCAAGTCTTTGAATCGGTTTCGTGTGAGTAACAATTCGCTTTCGGGTAGTGTCCCTGTTGGAATGTGGAGCTTGCCAAATGTTATCATCATTGATCTTGCTATGAATCAATTTGAAGGTCCTCTGGCACCAGATATTGGTAAGGCAAACTCTTTGTCATTGTTGCTCTTAGCTAATAATAGATTCTCAGGTGAGTTGCCTGATACTTTGTCTGAAGCTACCTCATTGGTCTCAATTCAGCTGAGTGTGAACCAGTTTGAGGGTCCAATCCCAGAAACAATTGGGAATTTGAAGAAATTAAGCAGTCTTCATTTGGACCAAAATATGTTGTCTGGTACCATACCAGACTCATTAGGCTCATGTGTTGGTATCTCTGAAATAAACCTTGCCCACAACAATATTTCTGGCCAAATCCCATCAAGTCTTGGATCATTACATAACCTAAACTCCTTGAACCTATCTGGAAACCAACTTTCCAGTGAAATTCCTACCACTTTGTCATCGCTCAAACTCAGCCTTCTTGATCTGACAAACAATCGGTTGACTGGACTCATACCGGAATCACTATCCATTCAAGCCTTTGGTGGAAGCTTTGATGGGAATCCGGGTTTGTGCAGTCGGAACATGCAAAATGTGAGGTCTTGTTCTTCAAATTCAGGAACTTCTAGAGGACCCCGAATATTCCTGTCCAGTTTCATTGCTGGAGTACTTGTTCTGCTTGTTGTGGTTGCTGTTTTCTCGCTCTTGAAGCTGAGGAGGAAGAGTCTTGACCATCCATTAAAGAGTGATTCTTGGACTATGAAGCAGTACCATGTGCTAAGCTTCACAGAAAAGGAAATCCTGGACTCAATCAGAGCTGAGAATTTAATTGGCAAAGGAGGGTCAGGGAATGTATACAAAGTTGCACTGAGTGATGGGAAAGAACTTGCTGTAAAGCACATTTTGACCACTTCAGACACCTGTGACCGAAAAAGTTACCGAAGCAGCGCTTCCATGTTGAAGAAGTGCAAACCCAGGTCCTCAGAGTATGATGCAGAGGTGGCCACACTGAGCTCTCTGAGGCATGTGAATGTGGTGAAGCTCTACTGCAGCATAACAAGTGAGGACAGCAATCTGCTGGTTTATGAGTACTTTCCCAATGGGAGCTTATGGGATCAGCTGCACACAAGTAACAAGATGAAGATGGGGTGGGAGGTGAGGCATGAGATTGCATTGGGGGCTGCAATGGGGTTGGAGTATCTTCACCATGGCAATCACAGACCTGTGATACACAGGGATGTGAAGTCTAGCAATATTCTGCTGGATGGGGATTGGAAGCCAAGAATTGCTGATTTTGGGCTTGCCAAGATTATGCAGGTTGGTGCAGATTGCACTCATGTCATTGCTGGGACAGTTGGGTACATAGCTCCAGGTAATTTTTCTTTCCTTTTCTTTTCCTTCATGAATTAACATGTAACAGTTGACACTGAAAAATCTGATTAAATTTGTCTTTGTGTTTTGTGGTTCAGAGTATGCATATACATGCAAGGTCAATGAGAAGAGTGATGTTTATAGCTTTGGGGTGGTCTTGATGGAATTGGTCACAGGGAAGAGGCCAATTGAGCCTGAGTTTGGAGACAACAAGGATATAGTGAGCTGGGTTTGCACCAAAATGCAGTACAAGGAGAGTGTGCTTGAATTGGTAGACTCAAGCATCTCAGATGATTTAAAAGAAGATGCCATCAAGGTGCTGAGCATTGCAATTCACTGCACCGCTAGGGTGCCGGTTCTAAGGCCCTCCATGAGAATGGTGGTTCAAATGCTGGAAGAGGCAGAGCCTCGTAAACTCACCAGCATAAATATTACCAAAGGGTAAAAATACCCACAAGATGGCACAGAAGTAGCACAGTTGAAGGCAGAAGTTATGGTTCATTTCATATATAGCCCATCATACACAATACTAAAAATACACAAGCAATGCTCTGTCTGTGAACTCCAATAGTCTTCCTACCTCCCAGAGAAGCTCCTGCCTACAAAACTTGGGAAGGAGCTCTAGTATTTAGATCTATGCTTGCAGGAGAGTTTAGTTTAGTTTTTTTGGTTTTTTTTTTTGCCCCCTCTTCTTTTTCCTGCTAATTCAGAGGGGGTTACTTTGTAATATAATTGTGTAATAAAGCAATCACTTTGGTTACATTTTATTCTTATTTTAATTTGGATTCCATTCTATCCATCCTCTTTTTTTTTCTTTTAAAAAAAATTTAAAATTATAATAATTTCCCTCCTATTATTATAGTATAGAATATATAGATTCCCATTTTGTCTTATAAAATAAAAAAATTATTCCATTCCATTTTAATTTGGATTAGCAATTAACCAACGCCACCTAAGAAGAACAATGATGAGGTTGAGCATCTTGGGAATAGCATTGAGTTCCAATTCCTATTATTGCGCATCCCTTTCCCTCATTTCACCCATCTCCACTTCTTCTTCTTCATCTTCTTCTCTCTCGTTCTCCAAGAAGTTCACTCCTTCAGCTTCAGGTCTCTCTCTCTCTCTCTCTCTCTCTCTCTCTCTCTCTCTCACACACAAATCCCAACTTGACAGGAAAGTTTGTAACAGGGAAGAGGAATTTAGTTTTACGCGGGCAAAGTGTTGGCTTTGAGAGTGAGCTCAAACCAGGTGATTTGATGGAATCGGAGAAGGAATTCCCGGAATTCAACCGAAACCTTTACCCGAGTATAGAGCCGTACAGTTCTGGGTTTCTGAAGGTTTCGGATATTCATACAATCTATTGGGAGCAGTCTGGAAATCCAAATGGGCATGTAAGTGCCCCACTGCCTATGCGATTTGGGTTTTTCAAGTTATTTCATTTTGAGTTTTTTTTCTTTTCCATCTTGTTCATTTAGAGTGTGAATTCTTCATATATTAAGATTTCAAATTTCAAATCTTTAAGAACTGGGATTTGCAAATCATCTCAAATTAATAGGATTTGCATTTTGTAAATGAGCTCTGCTATTGTAAAGTGTGCCTTCTTCTTGTTATTGTAGCTTGATGGTGCTTGAATGGTTTGCCCTCTTGAGACTTGTTGTATGTTTTAAAACTTTGTTGAAACAGTCAACTGGCAAGGTCTGTTGGTGGAGGTACCTCGTATTGGTTAAGGTTTTCATGTGAGGTCCAACACTGATTCATGTTCACTCTGACCCTCTTGTCCGCCTATGCTGACTTAACACCTACATGTTCCAGGTGAAAAGGAAAAAAGGAAACTTTAATTTTTCTTCTCATTTCTGGGCCTACCCAAATTTCCTTGTCTGTTTTATCGAATGAATAAAATGTTCCATAGTAAGAATATGTGGCTACATATTAGATGGGTGTTGTTTAAAGAAGATGTAGTGTACTAATTTTATATTGTATTTCTGAAAGTTCCATGTTGGTTGGTGATTTTGATACTAAATTTTTGTTTAAAATGTTGTGAATTTTATCCTGCAGCCTGTAGTCTTTCTTCATGGGGGTCCAGGGGGAGGAACTGCACCAAGTAATCGCAAATTCTTTGATCCTGATTTTTACAGAATCATTCTATTTGATCAGGTTAGGACTTTAACCTTTATGCTAAGTTATTAGATACATTTTAATTTCTCCCACAGTTTTATCTGAAATTATTTCCTTATCTCCAGCGAGGTGCTGGGAAAAGTACCCCACATGCTTGCTTGGTAGAAAATACCACATGGGATCTAATTAGTGACATTGAAAAGCTCAGGGAACACTTGGAAATTCCAGAATGGCAGGTCAGTATGTAATTTCTAGCTCTCGATAAAGTAAAAACACGGTTGTTTGATATGCCTGAATACATATAATTTTCTTTACTTTGTCATTCAGGTTTTCGGTGGGTCATGGGGTAGTACACTTGCCCTTGCATATAGCCAATCACACCCTGATAAGGTGCATAACTTTGTTGATTTTACAATTAATTCTTTTGCTGGGATTCCAAATCTCTTGATACAGGTCATCTGCACTTTTAATTATCTACGACATGGTACAGTTTTTTACTATACTTTGATGTTGTTATAAGGTTACTGGCATGGTTCTTAGAGGGATTTTTCTTTTGAGAAAGAAAGAGATTGATTGGTTTTATGAGGGTGGTGCTGCTTCCATATTTCCTGATGGTATGTTACAATTTCTTTTCTGTTGGCATAAGCCATAATATCTACCTTTCAGGTTTTGGTTAGAAATTTCTATAAATGGATGTTTTGAAGTACATTTTCGTAGTTTCCCAAACCCTTTTTGCATTGACTATGATTACTGCACTGTTCTTCCATTATATCAGTCACATAAGAAGTGCAGTTGCGGAATTTCCAACTATTATTATTGAGAGATTCCAATTATTAGATGTTACAAAACATTGTTGGGGGCTTGAGTTTCTGATGTAGTAATGTTGGAAGTTGATAAAACTTGTTAATGATTTATAGTTTTAAAAATCATAAACAAAGACAGTTTTTTTTTAAATTTCCAGTAACTATACTTGGCCTTGGCATGTTTATTAGTTTTTTAAGTGGCCAATTGCTTGTGCTATTTTCAAATATACAGCTTGGGAGCCATTTCGAGATCTTATTCCAGAAAATGAGAGGGGAAGTTTTGTCGATGCCTATGGGAAGAGATTAAACTCTGATGATCAGGAAGTACAAGTAAGACATGCGTGGTTTTGGGCATATGCTTTGAAAAAAATGATATTTTAAGCTCATTCTCTTTAAATCTTTCCAAATTTCTTAGTATGCAGCTGCTAGAGCATGGACCATGTGGGAAATGATGACTGCCCATCTTTTTCCAAATAATGATAACATCAAGAGAGGAGAGGACGATAAGTTTTCATTGGTAGGTTGATTCACAGATGAGTATAAAAGTATCTTTCATAGTTTATGCACTGATGACTGAAATTCCCTTTTGACTTATAATGGTATTTGCTTTGCTGTGTCCAGGCATTCGCAAGGATTGAAAATCATTACTTTGTGAACAGAGGATTTTTTCCTTCAGATGGGTTCCTGTTAGATAACATTGATAAGATAAGGCATATAAAAACTACAGTCGTACAGGTAAATATTTTATATTCTTCCATACATCATGGACATACTCTTTTAATTAGGGGCACGATATTTGGTGACCTAATGATGTATCATCTGCTGTCGCTGGGCCAGTTTTTTTGGCTTAGGGTATCATTTAAAATTTATGAGTACGTTTTTAAGGAATTGGTTTAAATGGATAATGGAGTTAATAGACCCATTGCTTACAGCCCATTTTTATGCATTTATTTCGGTGGATGATGTTTGTGTGCATCATGGGGTTGAAGGCAAAAACTTAATTTTTGATAATAGAAGACTAATAACTGAGATTTGATATTGTAGGAACCTTGATATATTTATATATGTAAATTTTCTCCATTAGTATGATAAATATGTCCAACATCATTTCCACATCCAGTAAACATATGTGCTTATGTGTGCACCTTGAGGGAACATTGTCAATCTAGTATCAATTGTGAGTTGAAAGAACTATAACAATTGATTTTGCAGGGAAGATATGATGTTTGCTGCCCCATGATGTCAGCTTGGGATCTTCATAAAGCATGGCCAGAAGCTGATCTCAAGGTAAGTAGACCATTTATCTTGCTGTAAACTGGTTTCAGCTTTATATACCAAGCATTTGTATTGCTGTAAAATTATTTCTGCATGAGCAAAAAGTAGACTAAAGTTATGTGTTCTCGTGTTTATGAAGCCAATAAAGGGAAATTTTCAGGTGTATTCTACATAATAATTTATTCCAGAAATATTTTATGTAACTGTGTAAGATGCAGAACGTCCTGCATCATGTGTACCGCTAATTTCACTCACCTGAATTGTGGTAGTCTTAGTTCCCTTTTTATGAAGAAATTACTAAATAATTTTGCTCTTAACAGGTTATTCAAGATGCAGGGCATTCTGCTAATGAACCAGGAATAGCTGCAGAACTTGTGGCTGCAAATGAGAAGCTGAAACACATAAAGAAAGGAGCTTAGGAAAACAAAGACAAGACTACATATCAGAGAATAAGTGACAGTCTTCCCCTGTGGTGGGCGTAGAATTCATCTTCAGAAGGAATTCAGACATCCACAAAGAAGCCAAACAAGTCCGTTCCGGCTTAATGCAAATAATTGCTATGGAAGTGTTGGAATATTGTATCAGTTTAGTGTTCCCCTTTGTATCAAAGCTGTTTGGCGGGGAATTGGATGAGGGCTGTTGAATATGTAGACATTCTGTTTGATATGCTCATAAATTTGATTTCCTCTAAATTGAAACTCTACCTTTCATCTCTCAGTCTGGGTAAGAAAGAGGAGAAAACGTATAGAATGGTTTAATTTTTTCTAGCTTTAAATTAATAATTAAAATAATCAACTTTTTCTCTTCTATTTTCCCGCCCTCCTCTCCTCTCTTTATATATATACAGAGAGCTTCCATTGATGAATCCCTCAAATAAACTTATTTGAGGGACACCCTTTATAGGACCCACTTTGGATTGTATTTTACTAATCCAAACCGTATATTTTGTAGATACTCATTCAAAGATCATTTTTACAAAAAATCACTTGAATCTGATATCATTTGACCACTCAATTGAGTTCTTGAAATTTTAGTACTTTCTTGAAGCACCGTGTTCATTGATTTTGGACACAATTAGATGTTGAAACGGTTTTCGATTTGTCTAATTTTTTGAAATTATGATCTATGAATATAGACTTAGAAAATAGATGGTTTGGATCGTTGAAAATAAATTCGCAAGGTACCCTAAAGTGTGTCCCTCAAATAATTTTATTTGAGGGATTCCTCAATAGAAGGGATATATTAATTTATATCTTAAAGATAGAGATGGTTGGTTCCCACATTTCGGGAGTCAGAGAGCTTGCAAATTGCACCAGGTGCATAAGTCTCGGTACCTAAACGGTAAACAATTAGAAAATTAAGGACCAGGTATATTGCCTCTGTCCTTTAAATGAATAAATACAATTCAATCCTCTCTCATGTTTGATTAAAGGGCAAGTGTATATTGCCTCTGCCCTTTAAATGAATAAATATACAATTCAATCCTCTCATGTTTCAGTACGCCCCCACAAGCCTAACAACCAGAATACATATAAGCAAGCAAATACAATTCAATGATGTTATTGAACAAACAAGAAGATACCATACAACAGAAGAAAATAAGTTAGTTTTGTTGGGCATCCATTAACTCATTTTCCTTGTGCAGCCCCGTGCAGCTCTTTGGTACGTGAATACTGTGAAAGTGTGGTTCTTTTGGGATGGTTGCAGGCCTTCTTCCCCTTGACAATGACCTGGAAGGGGTGCAATTGGTTGCTGGAGAAGCACTGCATGGGTTTGCTGCTTTCTTGGGCCTTATATTTGTCCACGAGGATTCCTTTATTACACTGAGTTGACAAGGTGTCTTGGGGGAAACCATTGCCTTCCTCCCAGTTGAATCTACCCTGCAAAAGAAAAGGCTAGTATGATTAAGTTTTGATGAACATAGACCCTTTGTCACTGAAGATGATACTGCAGACAAATTAATTTCGAAGTTTTGAGAAGAAAAAGTACTCACCCTCTCGGTCTCACAAATTTTTTCTGCACCATTGGTGATTTAGTCCTTTCCTTATCTGGTTTTTGTATTCTGTCCAGGCCAGGTTCATTTTGCGGAGTTACTAAAGACAAATTTCTTTCGAAGTTTCTTTTTGAAGTCTTCTTAGCTCCTTTCTTTCCCTGCATAGTACCATAAGAACTTGATCAGATACCTAGGCAAAGACCCTCAAGAGTAATCTATTTTCAGCTTCTCTATGACAACGAGACTTACATTTTCATCTAGTCGTGTTCTTCTGTCAAATCTCTTTTCACTACCTACTTGGGTATCATTCTCATTGTCACTTTGTCCAAGGCAGTTTTTAGTCATCTAATCAGGAATGAATGTATTAGCCTGGAGCTTTATTTATGACATGCTAGAAAGGGGTAAAAGAAAGTTCAACTACAGACTTACCTGTATCACATTCTGTTTATTTATTGGCTTTGCACCAGGGAGCTTGACTAATGTGATTTCCTTAAGAGGTGCATGAACTTTTTTCTCTGAAGTTGCTTCCTTAAGCATCCCTCTTTCCTAGAAAGAGAACCAAAATCATATCAGATATCCTGGACGTTGGGTGTTTATTAAAGAAAATGGTCAGAAAAGGTTTCGCATACATCAGTTCTAAACCTAAAGGGTTTAGGGTTTGTAGACTTTGGTTTCCTATTCTTCATCCCTTGAGCATTGGTGGCAGCAGATGTAGAGCTCTCTTTCTTCCTCTCTTGAGCTTGATTGACCTGCATCATTGTTCAAGTGTTAGCAGGCGTAAAAAAACATGAATGACAAAAGATTAACAGAAACTGATAGTACACTAGAAGATATGATATTATCGTATGATTTTCAAGGGGTTATAAGAAGCCACCTTTTGTGAGTTTTTATAAGGATCATGCTTGCCCAGATTTTTCCTCTTGGAGTGACCATTAGTACTCAGGTCTCTGTAATCACTTGAAATTTTTTAATTACAATTGAGTTCTACAAAAAATACAGAGAACTGAAAAGTAAAGAAGCACAAGTCCACACACCTGTTTTCATCAGAAGCTTTATTATTTTCTTTATCATCACTCTCAAATACCTCATTTTCATTTTCTGGGTTGTCAGAGGCCAAAGCATTTTCTTTATCATCATCTTTGTCCATGTTTTCGACGGTGTTCGCCTTCTCTGAACTTGACTTTATTTTCTCCACATGACCATTTCCATCTTTGGCATTCTCCTTATCATCATTCTCTTCTGAATCCCTGTCTTTGGAACTTGACAAGGAGGTAGGGTCACCTTTGGAGGTCTCTGATAGGACTTCAACTTGATTCTCACCTAGTGGAGGTTTTGAGGTTTTTCCAGTTCCCATACACTGCTCGTCACCATTTACTCCACTACTCTTAGCAGTACCTGACAAGGAGAACCCTTCAAGAGTACCATTTCTTGATTTTTCATCAACCTCCATGTCGGTGGTATCGTTGTCATTAACCCCTTCATGAGGCACAGGATCACAACACTGTCTCAAGTCTGTTTCCTTGTTCTTTCTCTTCATGGATTTGGCTTCCTGGCCCTTGCAATTGTTGGAATGCAATGAATCAAAAACCCGGCTTTTAACCTCCCGCCCTCTGAATTGTTTTCTTGAAGTATCTAAAGGCAATGGCTTTTTATACCCCAATACATGTTTCTTTCCACTGGTGATCTCAAGTTTCTTCATGGCTGAACACATTTTTCCCACAGGACTACCCCATTCCTTCGAAACTTTGGTTCTTACAGCCTTCTTTGGAGAGTGAAATACCAGAGCTTTAGCCACCACCCTATTCTTTGGCACTGCAACATTTTTCAGTTTGGGGTTCCTAACACTTCGAAATGTGTCTGGATTTGAGATGGGTTTTCTATTCCTTGGACTAGTGAGAGCTTTGGCCACAGAAGATGGTTGCTTTGCCTTAACATTTGGGGTTGCACTGATCTTTTGAAGAGGTCTGGCTTTATCTTTGACATCAACCATCTTACGAGAGAACGAAGAAATCAGGGCCAACCTTGATACTCTAGGCTTGGAAGATTTTGCAGGAGCAGTAAGTGGGCATTTCAAACTACATAGCAAATAAAAATAAAAGGGTATATCATTATAAGCCCAATTACAGAATTATGAAAAACAAATTGGAATTTAATCAATTGAAAGATTTGCATATATACCTTGGTGTTTTTCTGTGTCTTACATTAGGACTTCTTGCTGCCATGACCTGCAAAACTCATTATTGTCATATCAAAATAAAGTGAACTGTGTAATTCCAATTCGAACCGGAAACAAAATTTAATACTCACCCGAAGAACAAAGTTTTTGTAGACTGCTTCAGAGTCTAATTCTTCTTCATGCTTCTGATCACACCCTACAAAATAAACACCAACACAAACTTCCTTATCAGACAAAAAAGAGGTTTTTATTTCTATAATTAGGCTTCCTGACTTAGCCCTATCACTGACTCACTGTGATTCTGAATTGCATATTACCATGTCAACTGGATCAACCCATTAAAGTCTTCAACTCAAATTAATTATCTTTTAGTTGATTTTGTTCATTTCCTAAAAAAGAATCATCAGTTAATTAATTTACCCCTTCAATTTCCCAGCAACAAAACAGAGAGCTCCAAATCAAACACATCAAAAACAGAACCAAATATAATAAAGACGATCAAAAGTTAACAGAGACATAAAATTCATTTCCAAGCTTAAAACTTTAAAAGCAAGAGCTTCATCTGATTAGTGAAAAACAAATAAATAAAGGGAAGAGATAAATTTGTGGGTTGCTGGGTTAGAGAGAAACGAACCAACTCGCATGCAGAACCAGTAGCGGTCGTCGGGTCGGTACGGGTCGGGTTCGGTGAAGTCGACGAACTTGGGCGCTTCGATCTTCTCGTAGAACTCGTCCCCGCCTTCCTCGCCGTCGATCTGCACGCACTTAGGTTCTTCGTCCATTTTCCACAGAGAGAGAAAGATAAGGGAGCCTGGGTTGTGTGAGTGACAGAGAAAGCGAGTTTGGATTTGGGAAATGGAGGTCAGCGAAGAAGAGTGTGAAGTGTGAAAGAGTCGTTAGTTTTAAATTTGCCTTCTCTGCAAGTAGCCGTTGGGGAAAGGTTCTGATTTTCGGACAAGGATGTCAATGAAACAGTTTCTTAGGGGTGTTTTCGTCATTTGATTCTTCCCGTCGCGGCGCACCATTTGCCCAGCCAACTGTCAGATCTACCAACGGGGACTGTGTTGGCCCAAGCCCAAGTTGATCCACAAAATAAATATATATTTTTGGTAATTTTTTTTTTAAAAAAAAAAAAAAAAAAAAAAAAAAAAAAACAATTAATTTATTATTTTTTACGCTAGCAACGTTAATAAGTAAGCATATAATTCTATAATAATTCATATATATCATATCAAGAAATTAAAAAACTAATCATTTTCTGTAGATAGTAATACTAATTAAATGTCCTAATCGAGTTTCGATTATTATTATTATTTTGAGTTAGATTGGAGTTCGAATTGAGGTGCCATGGCGAAGGAAGAAGCCACTAGCACTGTGGTTGGAACCCATTAGCAATTATTCATGTTTGACGAGAGATTATAGAATATTAGGGTAGTATGGCCACTTGGTACATCTTGTACACATGTTATAATATAAGTGGATATTTATAGATATTATTCCCTAAAAGATGGGAAAATAAATTATATCATCCACTCATATTATAACACGTGTACAAGATGTACCACGTTACAATACTATCGTACTATTATATAATTTCTTGTGTCACTAACTCAACTCTTTTATTATTTGTGTTAAAGGTTGTATGATATGAGGGTATGTGTCACTGTTAAGTAATAATCAATCCATATCTACTTAAATTGCCATGCGATGGTTTTGTGTAAATGGTTAATTACTCTTTTGTTGAAGAATAAACGAATCCCACATCGAAAACTTAACAAAATTCTTGATGGCTTTCATTTCATGTACAAACTTCATTGTATATTGGGCCTTACCAATTGAGGGTTGCCGAAGAGCTGAAATTTCTATGTGAAAACCCAACGATTATATTTCTACTTTGGGTTCATGCAAGATTTCTTTTCTGCTTTCATTTGTAGGCCCAAGTCTTCACAGTTTCCAACACGTAAGAGGTCAAAACTCAAATGTTTGTTGTAAAAGAGCAAAACTTTGAAACTTGAAATCAATATGGATAGGATTTCAATTTTTCATGAGTGTTTTTTACTGAAGTTTTATTATAGTGATGATATGTCTTCGAATCTCCCTGCTTTAATATCGCTTTTATAAAATAAAATAAAAATACTTATGGTATTGATTGTTAATTGATAATCACAATGGGTAGCGATAGTTTATGTGGGATCAATACAAAGGACACAACTGAAAATATATCTCATTTTATGTTGTTTAAGGTTGAATTAAAAATAGAAAACAATTACATTTTGTTTAAAGACCCACTATTATCATCAAATATATACGGTGTTAATTTTATTAAGAACTAAAAACAAAGAAATAGATAAATACTAGAAATTTAATGATTTGTATTAAGAGTGATTTTATAGCGTTCTACTTGATTTAAAGAGGGCCACCTTCATTCATGTAGGTAGATATTTGAAACTCTCAAACACTTGATGAATATTTATGTAAACTCTTCTTCCCCAATCGCTCGTTCTTTTTTGAGCTATATTAAGGGATGAAGCTTTTTCATCAATTGCACCTAGTGAAAGGAAGGGCAATCAGATATTTGCATGAAGCTTTTACCTACTACGTACGGACTTGACTTGAAGAAAGAAGGCAATTCAATCGCCAAAGATATCTTGTCTTCTTAATAAAAAAACATTTTAAAAAAAAAAAATATTGTCTTCGTCAGAGAAACTTTCGAAAGCAACCAACAAATTAACCTAACCTGGCTAAGGTCCCCTCTCAGACTGTTAACAGACTCGGACAGAATATATACACATTGACTTTCTGGCTTTTCTGGCTTGGCCCATGCAAAGGAGATAAAAGAGAACGATTTGGTTGAGTCAGATTTGTTCAAATAAAGGGGGCTGCATGCATGCGTGGAAAATAGAGAATTTGTGTCAGCAAGTTTTGAAATAAAAAGGGACACCCTACATATACCCATAGTTTAAAATATTGATAATATAAACGAAATATTGAGGATATTATCATTTTTTCAAGTAAATGATATTTTGGAATGTATTCATACACATATTATATAAATATCGATAATATCGGACAATATCGATGTCGATAATTTCTCTCACACTTTAATAATATTTGGCTAAAATATCACTATAATATCGATAATGTCGAGATGATGAAAATAATGAAAAATTTGAAGAGTTGTTTACACTAATAGCCCCTGAGGTTTTAGTTTGTTTTCACAAAACTCTTTTTCGTTGATTGTTTATCCAAAAATTGATGATTTCATTAAAAAAAAACTTATGCAAATGACAAAATTAACCTCAATGAAGTATATGCAATCTAATCTCAAATGCCAACTTTGTCATTTGAAGATTTTTGTGTGTATACAAAATCATCAATCTTTGGCTGAAAATTCAATGAAAATGAGTTTTGTGAAAATAATTTAAAATCTCAAGGAGTTTTGTGAAAAAGCCGAAAACCTCTGGAAGTGTTAGTGTAAATAACTCAAATTTGAACCTTATAGGAACTCTATGTATCTTACCATGTAATGTATAAAGTGTAAAATATTGTAGTAAATCATTATAAATAAATGATTATGGTGTGTTTAATCTTTTTTCATTAATTACTACATATTTTCTACACTCGCAGTGTTTGTCAGCTCGCTATATAATCAACTTAAATCAGTTAAACCCATTATTGAATACATTTCCTTCCATTTTTGTGTGATAAAGTAATAGATAATTGACTAAATAAACATCCTCCAAAGTTTCAAGAAAAATTTCTAAGTTTTTCTTACAATTTCCGTGGTTTCTATTCAATTTTTATCGGTATTGATAATATCCTGATATTTCCATCAAATTTTCCTGTTTTTAGACAATTGATATTTCCGAAACCATCGATATTTTAGACCTTACATACACCCAATCTTGACGAGAATCCTAAATGCTTAATTTTGACACCAAAATTTTTATTTTTATTTTCCCTTTCTTTTGTCAATATATCACTACTAGAAAACCTCTCTATCCGACACTAGTACATCATAAGTTCTTTGTGGCCAAAGTGTGTTGGCCACAAATTGAACATATACATAGTGGTCTAAGCATAATGTTGCCACTTATTTTTCACACAACAAAAAGCATATGCGACCAATAAACGACTGGATCGTTATGGAAATTATAACTTAGTCGATGAAATTGTAGAACAACATGACTGGTCAAAAAGGGGGAGTAGCTACTTTTTTCTGCATAAACAAGATTATTCGTTAGACAATCCTAACTTCCTCATAAGTAACAACACATTTCGCTGCCGGTAGTGACCCATCTGGTATACTTTGGTGTGCTATCATCTTTTACAAACCCCAAAACAAAACAAAAAAGAGAGAGGGAAAAAAAAAGTCCAAAACTGCATGTTGAAGAAATGTCGTGGAAATATAATTGGTCTTGAAGCTGCCACCTACAGCATGATCACCATTCCATGCAAAGTAGTGGATGATGCTATTGGTCAGAAATTGCAGGCCGACTGCAGACCACTATGACTCTACTCTTGTATTTTTTATCCTGTGCATATTATTTTTAGACGTACCTTCACACCACAACAAAGTCAATATAGACACATCCACGCCTCAACCACCACATTCTTTTTAAAAATAAATTTCTCATTGCATATAAAAATATATATGTAAATATAAATAGAACGCCAAATCAAGTTGCGGTTCATATATAATCACATTAATGGAGGTAGAAGCAATAACATGATATGAACGACTGACCTGTACACCGCCAAACTTCGTTACATCACACCCAAGAAAGAGACCATTAAAATCCTGAATCAATTGTCTCTAAGGTCCTCTATGAGAAGAACATTAGAACAACCAGTTCTAAGCAAACAAAATTAATTAAAACCATATTATATATCATCTCTCGATAGCGTATTTGTGCTCCGTCAAACTCTTTGTATACCCTTGTATTGATTTAGTGATTGAAGTAAATAAACATAATTTTAATATTAATTTATCCGAACGCATGGTGATATTCAAAAATATATATATTTTTTTCGGTGTGATTAATTATACTATATGTAGTTTATAATGTATTATCCCTGCAACTTTCTCCATATGATCTATCAACAAATGAATTAACAAACCGTGATTGCTTGGACTTGGCAAGTATGCTTAAGTCGACTATACTGGCATCTTCTTGGTAGCTAGATGGCAACTTCAAGGAAGCAAAATTATTATAGTGGGGATCAACCTTGCCAACTCCCTCCATATATGACCTAGCTCATCCCCCACCTTAGTGTGGCTGGACAATGTTGACATTAACATTAGAATTTAACCATGTCTTTTTCTTTTTGTCCCTACATATATATCATTCAAAGTATATATTCTAAAACAATATATATCCGATGATCAAGACAATTCCTGCGAAACTCTTTCATTTCATACAAGTTTATTCTTATTCTTACAAAGCAAATAGCATTTCCTATCACCCAAGAGTGCTAAATTATCTTAATACACAAGATAATATTGTTGTGTTCTCTAATAATTAGTCCTAATCCCTATCCATATTTCCTGATTCACACCATGAGGTCTTCAAAAAATAAATTTTAATTTATATCAACTAGGAGTCTATAGGACAAATCATTATTTCATCATACCAAACCACTCAAGCTATTAGTATATTGCTGAATAAATTAGCTGTGTCACATACAAAAGTCTCCTCAATAAATGCAGCTTTGTGTGAAAGGTTTCCAAATTATAATTAAAGGTAATATAAAAGTAAGACAAGGCATTGATTGGATTTTTTTATAAAAAAATACAAGTGATAGTCTAAATTATTTGGGAGGAGATTTCTCACACACACGCACATAACTAAAATGTCATGGGGATTCGAACATAAGACCTCTTGTGTGCAAGTCAAAGCCCTTTTCATTGAATTAGACCCATTGGTCATTGATTGGAGTTCAACTATCTATTCTTTTAGCTAGGATGAACCATATTTGGAAAGATTAAGAGAAAAAAAATAAGGGTCCGTCCGGTAACATTTTCGGAGAATGTTTTCTTAGAATATTTTCAGAGAATGAAAACAAGAAAATGAATTTGCATTTTCAGGAAATGAAAATGCGCCTAGTAAATTAATTAGAAAACATTTTCAGAAAACAAAAACAATGAAAATGTGTCTGGTAGTACAATTTGAAATAATAATATGTGAGTTCTTTTTATGAAAATGTTTCCTATGAGAATGAAAACAACTTTTTTTTTCTGTTTTCTACAAGTACACATAAACTTGTTTTCATTTTATGAAAAAATTATCAGTATTTTCTGTTTTTGGGGCTACCGAACGTGTTTTTACCTCATTTTTGTTTTCTGAAAATGAAAACAACCCCTTAAAACATTACCGAACGGGGCCTAACATTTTAGACTACTGTTCGAGTTTTTGGACATTCTTGTAATCGATTTTGAAAATAACAAATGCTACCTTTTGAGTTCTAATTGCCATTCATAGCATATTTGTATAGTAATAGTGAGTAGAATATCAAAGCTTGTTTTTAACAATCAAACAATTCAAATTCAGGGAACGGGGCAATCTATATTTAGGTTAATCAAACCCACAATTCTTACTTCATAATAAAAGAAGAAATTGTTCTACTGGAGGAAATAATAAATATAAACGTGATTAAATATCACTTGACTTGTAGTTGGAAAACGGCCTTGATTTTCAAATCAATAGTCTCAAGTTCGAACCCCCATGACACCTTAGTAAGAGCATTTTCACCTATTTGCTTTGGCAAAAGACAAGGGCATTTGCTGGCTTGGGGGGCCTTTTGCCCTCAAGTTCAACCGCTGAACTTGCTCTAATGTGTGTGTGAAAAACCACTCCTCTTATAATTTTTACAATAGTATGATATGACTTTCTCAATGCAAACAATTCAAGTGAAAGCGGTGTTATATATTTTAATTCATAGAAAAAAGGAGAAAGTAGAGTCGAATATAATTCTTGTTGTGAGTAAAGATATTATATGCTCTGTTGGAGCTAACGTGTTACCTTTTTTTGTTTTAAAGTTTTATTGTTTTTTTTATGACATTTGTTGAATAATTGTTGTGGACCACTTTAATTATCATCCTATAAGACGTAGCTCTCTAACCATAGATGTATATATCATAAGCCCTTCTGGCAAAGATGATTTTCTCGTGTGATTAAGATTTCCTGGTATTGTTGTGTTCTAATGAAATCTACTTCCGACAAAAAAAAAGAAGATTTCCTTGGATTTGTCTTCTCATTGATAAAATGACGCGAAGATGTTGTTTTCTCTCTTTTTTTCTTTTGTTCGAATTCATATGCATTTTTTGGAGGCATTTATTAGATAAAGACAGGAACATTGCGGTAGGCTTGGACTTAAACATAGAGATGTGAAATATTTTCTCTAATGCGGATGCTCGGATGTTATTACCGTCGAACGCCATGTATTTTTTATTACTCTTTCTTATTTTCTCATTATTTGTAATGGCATTCGCACGATAATAGCATGCAGAAGTCCGAATAAAAAGAAGAACCGGAGATGTGAATATGGTGGTTAATGTAAAAACTATTTTATCATATAACGAAAAAAAAAAAAAAAAAAAAAAAATTTACTAAACCTTCAACAAATTCAACAAATTTTTTCATAAAGAGACGAAAAGTCATGATTAATATTTAATCACGAGGACCTTGACAAAGTATTGCTCCAGTCCACACTGATGACTTAACCCAACTTCCCCGTTGCCTTCATATCTCCATATGCCAATGTAGTGCTCGTGGACGTATTCGGTCATTTGTTTATTTATTTAATAATTAATTTTCTTCTATACATATTTAATTATTTTTTGCTTCCCATGGTTTTTAAAAACTATTGAAAATATAACGTTGATTGGGCTTGTAATTTATTTCATATGCCATCTAATTGGCCACGTACGTATCAACCTAGTAGACTTTGACCAAACTTAGTCTCAATTGGAGAGCTAGCAAGCTTCTCAGTGGTAGTGTAACGCTTTGACTAAGTTTTTAAAAATGAATTCGCATGTGTTCAACTCTACGATCTCGGTATGTGATTTTTGTTTAATCAAACACACATGCATTCAGAGCTTTATTAAAATATTTGAAATACAAAAATACATATATAGTGTAGGTGCTAGATTTGGTTTTTCCAGACACGTTTATCTGACTGTTTTTAATCGCGTGTGGCTTTGAATGGAGGTATATTGTATGAGTTTGATATGTTGTTGTTGGATCTTTTCGTATTAGTTGTAACCCCTCTGTGGGTAGTTATAGTGGCCCTTGTGGCTATTGTATTTGTATTGACCTCGTGACATAATTTATTAATACAATCTCCTTCTCGTTTCACCAAAAAAAAAAATTAATTAATTAATGTAAGTTTTACTATTGTTCATGTTATCAAATTACACTTTGTAAGATATAACCCATACATAGTTATGTCATGAATCTAATGGCAAATCATATCATACTCATATGTGCATGTATAGGAATAATTAACTAGTTATTAATCTAACGATATTTCTCTTTCCACTATTAAAAAGATCTTAAACTATAATCCCCATAAAGAAAAGTTTGGCATTCAACCTAATTGTAGAGAACCACCTTATGATGGGCAGTCACGCCCTGACCTAAGGTGGTTCCCCAAATTTTTTTGTTAAGCCTGTGAAAATGATATGCAACTGATCCGTAGAGTAGTGTAATGGCCCCTGCCTTGAACATAATATATCCCGTAGTGCTCCTCGTGGACTAATTTCCTTCCTGAGCTCATGTTTGAGTGTATTATGAGGTCATTGTTAGGCGTTAACGCAAAGATAGTATAAATTTAGATTGGACATTTAGATATAATTATATACGTCTAACTATATAATGGTCGTAACATCACATGTCAAAATCAAAAGAAAATTTTGCCATACGTATACATTTATATAATACCATGGCAAGAAAAGGAGAAAAAGGATCAGATTTATAACAAGTATGTTCAACTAAGACATCATGTTTAAATGTGCACTTCTCATGTAGATATGGACTTAGTCAAATTGACTAGAACGGATGTACTCTCCACTTTACACTCGAGTTCGAATCCCCAATTCCTTGTATAATAAAAAAATGTGTGTTCCTCATTAAACATATCATATCAGAAATAGGATTATTTTATGCACCACAATAATAATATGGTTTCCCATCTTTACTCAAGCAATTAATTAAAAGATTGGGTGTATTCAAAATCCCATCCATATACCACATTTTTAACAAAAGGTTGAATCTCAATAATACAAATTATATAAAGCTGAAGATGATTGTGTGTATATATTAGGTACCCAGCTAGTAGAGTCCAACGATCACTGACCGTTGATCACAATTATATTGCAATTGACGCCATTAAATTGTCCTCAAGTGACTCTACCTTTGTCCTCTAGCCCACCCCATTCTCCCCTAGGCTCACCCACATCAAATCAAAACCCACATAATTAAAATTTAAAAAAATGGGCCTAAAATAACTAATCGGTAGGCGCCTACACGTATTAGTGACCCAACGCTCAAGTAAAACGCAGAGCCCACCTCTCTCTATATAAACGCATTCAAGTTTCATTGCTATCTCATCATAACCATAAGCAGTTCTTCACATTCACAACCAAAATCACACGTAAAAGCTAAAGCAGCTGAGAGATAGAAAAACCAGAGGCAACCCAAGATCCCATTTCTTCCAAAGTTTCAATCTTGACCAGCAGTTTGCGAAGATGGTTTACCAGTATGTTCTTGGTGGGGTCTTGGTTTCTCTGCTGGGCTCTGTTTTTTTCATGATCATAAACAGTACTCTGAGCGGAAAGAAGAAGGCCGAAGATGTCTCAGAGGATGTTAATGGAAATGGGTTTGTCCGGACGCAGCCGGCTAACGGTGGTTGCCTGCCGGAGATTGAGAAGAGTACGGACGTTGTCATTGTCGGCGCCGGAGTTGCTGGTGCTGCTCTTGCTTACACTCTTGGGAAGGTGATAATTAATTCTCTCTCTAAAGATCATCATAATGAACAATATGGTTTTCAAATATTTCCCAAGTTCAAAAGTTTTTATTTTTATTTTCATGAATTTAGAATTTTGGTGGTGAATGGGGTTCTGTTTGGTAACAGAGAAAATCAAAGAAATTTTTTTTAAAATTGCATTTCATTGCTGTACTTAGAAGACTCAGTCATTAATCATTATTAGTATTGCTTTTTCAACTCTATTTTCCTCAACAACCCAGCTAAGCAAAGCTAAGCAGTCAAACCTTCAAGCTGTGTTGTTTCTTTTTTTTTCTTTTCGCCCTTCCCTTTTTTTTTTTTTTTTTTTTTTTTTTTTTTTTTTTTTTCTTTTTTCAGAAACACAGGACTTAGCATATGATATGAATTTTATTGAATATTTTTCTTGTTTGTACAAATCCGGATTCAGTCAATAGATGATGTTGGGGAAAAGCTGATTTCTTTTTTACCCCTTTGATTTGATTCTATTGGGTGCTAATTTGAATAGGGCAGTCAGTCCAAACCCTTTTAATATTTTTTATTTTATTTTTCACACTGGTAAATTTGAGTATCTGATTGTAAATCAAAATTTTGAGAAGGTTGGCTAAGCATTCAAATTGCTTCTTGTTACAGGAAGGACGCCGTGTACATGTGATTGAAAGAGACTTGAGTGAGCCAGACAGAATTGTTGGTGAACTATTGCAGCCTGGAGGCTATCTTAAATTGATTGAGTTGGGTCTTGAGGGTAAGCAATTGCTTAAAGTTGTTTAATTGGTTCAATAATTTGCCTTTGTTTCTGTTCTAATCGATTAATTAGTACTAAATTGGCATGCATCGATTTTGATCAACAATCTGTATTTGTGGCTGCAGATTGTGCAAATGAGTCCATTGATGCTCAGAAAGTGTTTGGTTATGCTCTTTACAAGAATGGGAATGACACCAAACTGTCTTATCCCTTGGAAAACTATTCTTCAGATATTGCCGGGAGAAGTTTCCACAACGGGCGTTTCATCCAGAGAATGCGCGAAAGAGTTGCAACTCTTCCAAAGTAATTCCCATTTTCCTTCAGAATATTAGATGATAGATTTCCATGATTTCTTGGTTTTAATTATTCTTGTGTAATCTTCTTCAACCAACTCATGTCTCACAAATTTTTCCCTGCAGTGTGACTTTGGAACAAGGAACAGTGACAACCCTACTTGAAGAAAAGGGCATCATCAAGGGTGTGATGTACAAGAACAAGGCTGGGGAGGAGATGAGATCATATGCTCCACTAACAATCGTATGCGATGGCTGCTTTTCGAATCTGCGCCGCAATCTCTGTACTCCAAAGGTAATGATTCAAATTCAAGCATTTGTTGCTAATATTAGACTCAATTTTAGCACAGGTGGTGTTTGTTCATTCATGAGACCAACATAGGTACTTGTTTTTACTGCAGGTTGATAGTCCTTCTTGCTTTGTTGGTTTGATCTTGGAGAACTGTGACCTTCCTCATGCAAACCATGGACATGTGATCTTGGGAGACCCTTCACCCATCTTGTTTTACCCTATCAGTAGCACTGAGATTCGTTGTTTGGTCGATGTACCTGGCACAAAAGTACCTTCAGTAGCTAATGGTGATATGGCCAAGTACTTGAAAACTGTGGTGGCTCCTCAGGTATCTATTGTTTGCTTGACTTGTTAAGTTTTAATTTCCAGTCATTTCGATCTCAACCTGACAAACACACATATCCCACCAATCGAAAGGGACTAATCTGAGGACTTGTAATTTCAGGTTCCCCCTCAGCTCTTAAAGGCTTTTCTAGCAGCAGTTGAGAAAGGAAACATCAGAACAATGCAAAACAAGAGCATGCCTGCCACTCCTCTTCCCACTCCCGGTGCACTTTTATTGGGGGATTCATTCAACATGAGACATCCTTTAACCGGAGGAGGAATGACTGTTGCTCTTTCAGACATTGTACTTCTAAGGGATCTTCTCAGACCCCTAACCGATCTCACTGATGCACCTGCTTTGTGCGAATATCTCGAATCATTCTACACACTGCGCAAGGTATAAATCAAACTCCTTTCTTGTATACGAAGGAAACTTTTCTCTTGACAGACAATTTGATATGCTATGTTGTTGTGTCCAGTCCTAAGTCATAGTCTAACAACATAGCATGTCATATATCTTGGCAAGAGCGCATTATCTTTTTGCAAAATGGTATAATGTGTCTGATGGGATTTTCTATAGTTTCTGGTTTGCTGATAATAGTGCTTGGTTTGTCTTGCAGCCTGTGTCATCTACCATAAACACATTGGCCGGTGCCTTGTACAAGGTGTTTTGTGCATCACCTGACCCAGCAAGACAAGAAATGCGAGATGCATGTTTTGACTATTTGAGCCTGGGAGGCATCTGCTCGTATGGACCTGTATCTCTGCTCTCCGGTCTTAACCCTCGTCCGATGCACTTGTTTCTCCATTTCTTTGCCGTGGCTGTCTATGGAGTTGGCCGCCTAATGATTCCATTCCCTACCCCGCAACGCATGTGGCTCGGGACTAGATTGATCTTGGTATGTCCACTCATATTCCCAGTACTTTCACATCATCAACATGCTTGCTAATTACAGATTAACACAAAACAAAGCTAGCTCTACCTTAATTAAACTAATCTTTCTGGTTTTTAATTCTCAGGGTGCATCAGGAATCATATTCCCCATCATTAAGGGTGAAGGAGTTCGACAAATGTTCTTCCCTGCAACAATCCCAGCATACTACAGAGCTCCTCCTCCTCTAGAAAACAAGCTAAAAGCATTTTGAGAAGAAAAAGAAGAAAACAAAGACAAAATTGTTAACCCAGTTCTTTTTTAATTGCTATGGGAAACTAAGTTGTATCAAATCAGCAAGACTTCTCCCAAAAAATAAAAATCAAGGAGAGGGTCAATGCTGAAATGAGGAGAGAGAAAGCAATTATATATATGTTCTTAATTCTTTTTAGCGCATTTGTTGTTCTGCAAATGGGGAACAAGATTTTCCCAAAGAAACTTGTATCAAGATCTCTAGCAGTTCGTAAATAATCTACACTTTAAACTTTCTTTTCTGCTTTATCAATTCTACACGTTAAAGTTTTCAACTCTTGCAAGTTTTCAGATGGCTTTTGGCTTTTCAGAGTTCACACGAATATGCTTTTCGCTTTTCCGTTTTCAAACTAATATGATTTTGTCTCGGCTTGATTTTTTCTTGTGCATTATGCATGACATATCACGTATGTGACGTGAGAGGATATTATATTTGGAGGGACCACCAAAATTTAATGGGCTGAAAATTCTGGTTTGCTTCATTTTCTTCTTGTATTTTTCTTCTTCTGCATCATTATTATTCATGTGTGAAATAATGGTTTTTAGGCAGATTTGGAGTAGGATATCAATTTTGGCGTGCTATGAAGAGCTAAAGATAACAATATATGCGGTGATGTGCGACATTTGAACTGTGCTTAATGTAACGGTCCAAAGAGAGGAGAGGACCATTTAACCTAACACTTGCCCCACCATACTAATTGTATATGGTTCAATTTTGGTAGGTTCAGTCTGAACTTGTCCAGACTTTACATTTAATAATTAAAGAAATAGTTTGTCCAAAGTTAATTCAAATGACAACTTGATAGAGTACCTAACCACGAATTTCAACTCAAACTCAATAGAAAGATGCTTTGACTTATAGATCAGTAATCTCAGGTTCGAACTACTATAGCATATTGACAGTGTGTGTGAGAAAATCATCATCCCCTTCCTAACTTTAGCGTAAAAAAAAACCCAAACTCATCTACATTTCTAATCCCAAAATTCACAATCCTTGTTCATAACTCAATCACATAAGCATAAAACATTAATTTTCGCAATTGGTGAAATCATAAATTGAGTCAGTAAATTGAATCTAAAGGTTGATCTTGTAGAATGTATAGCTCATGAGTTGAATTTTGCGAGTTAGGTTTAATTGAATGATTCGATTAATTTGAGCTTAATTAGAATTTGAAAATTTATTCACACATTGGAGATTAGATTATTCAAACGATCTATATATTTATATGTAGTCCAAAATTTACTTAGGGGCAAGAAGCTCACTAGATTTAACAAATTTAAGTAAGTGTAGACTAGGGAGTAAATTATATTTGATTTTGACCCTCCAATTCCCATCAACCCTCTCATTGCCAACCCTAACCATAACCATAACCATCCTTTGTAGGTTGTACGTTGGGTAATTAGCGAGGGAACCCAAACGTTGTTTGGTTTTTCTGCTCACATTAAACGCTGTCGTATGGCGAAATGTGCTTAAGAAAATAACAGACTACACTTCTTCCTCTTTCCGCTTCCAACGTACATCCATTATCATAATCTGATAGTCATAGCTGCCGCCTTCAAGATTGGAGCTTGGGCTTTTTAGTTTTGCATAATCTTCTAAATTGCTCTCCCATTCTTTTATTTTGGGTAATCATTTTTTCAATTTCCTTTTTTTAGGTTTTGGACATTTTGGATGTTGACCCAATAATCAACGCTGTGAACAAGGAATAGTAAAGCACAAAGAAAGAAGAAACATTTAGAGTTGTAAAGCATAATTATGTTCCAAACCTGCACACCAGCTGTTTGATAATAGTTCTCTAAGAAAGATTTTGATTATAGCTCTTCTTTCTTTTCTTAAATTTTGAATTTCGTAGTTGGATTGCATTATCTTGTGCATTTTGCATATTACGGATACGAAACTTGAATTGAGCTAAGATGGGTGTGAAAGCAGACACCGGCACTCTGGCAAAGATTGTGCCTTTAGATGAACAAGTTTGCTTAGCAAAAATTCTGGGATGGAACGAACGAAACTATATATACGTGTTTCTTCTCTCATCTACCCATATCACGTAATGCTCATGCCCAAGTGATTGTGAGGGGGACGTATAAGCCTCTGCTCCAAAGCCAAGAGAAGAGTTATTGAACAGCTCACTCTATATAAAGGCCGCAAAGTTGAGCACAAACTCATGCACATGAAAAAAAATTCAGAGGGTGCACTATCCCATTTTGTACCATTCTTTTAAGATGATTTACGAAATGTTGGCTGCAGTCATGGCTTTTCTGTTGGGGTTTGTTTCCTCCTACAGTTTAATAGGGAAGAAAAATGCCCGAGCTTCAGCAAAGAATGGGAATGGGAATGAGAATTCTTTGAAGAGCTGTGAAAATGGAATGTGCCAGCCAGAGATAGGTGCAAGTACGGACATTATCATTGTTGGTTCTGGGGTTGTTGGTTCGGCACTCGCGTACACCCTTGGGAAGGTGACATTCTCACCCTCTAAGGGTTCTCTATGCCTTTTGTACATACTGGTGTGATATATAATTGGATGAGGTTTAAGGTGTATGCCGGATTCATTTGGTTTATGGAATTGGTTGAACTTATATTATTTATTTTTAATGCTTAAGATGGTGATCAGTTACAATATCTGCGTATATGTTGCAGGATGGACGCCGAGTGCATGTGATTGAAAGAGACTTGACTGAGCCAGATAGAATTGTTGGTGAACTGCTACAACCTGGGGCTTATCTGAGATTAATTGATTTGGGCCTTGAGGGTAAGCAATGAATTTATGCATGTATTATAGTCTCAAGAATGAACCTTAAGACTCACATGATTTGCATAATTTGTTTGTAATTTCTGCAGGTTGTAAAGTGGTTTCATTATCTTTTTCCTCTTTTCGTTAGATATGTATGCTGATCGCTAATATGTGTATGTGGCTGAATTAGATTGTGTCAAGGAGATTGATGCTCAGCGAGTCTTTGGATTTTCTGTTTACAAGGATGGGAAAAAAACCAAGTTACCATATCCTTTGAAAAACTTCCATCCAGATGTGGTTGGGATGGGCTTTCATCATGGGCGTTTCATTCAAAGAATGCTCAAAAAAGCTTCAAATCTCCCCAAGTATTCTTCCCTTCAAACACTCCCAAATTAGTCTGCTTTGAAATTGTAGGCTTGTAGCCTAGAAATTGAAGAAAACACTACTTTATAAATAGTTGGAACATGTAAGACATGCATAATAATCACTAGCCTGGCATTGTGTACAATATTGCTGAACTCATACCTCCTATAGAAGGATTCCAACTACATAGATGAGGCCCATGTGAGTCCCGAATGTTCAGTGTCATTATAAATATGGTACATGTCGCATTACTCATATATCTTCAAACTGGTAGCCAACTTGAAAACTTGGACTTTCTCTCTACATGGGTCCTTAATTTTTCAATTCATGTTATGATTTGATTTCTGAATGTTTCTAGTTTCTACCATACAAAGATGGTTCAATATTACAAGATAAGATTTGCATACTTTAAATTCATGTCTTCCTTCAATATTTTGACATCAGTGTAAGGTTGGAACAAGGAACAGTGACATCTCTGCTTGACGACAACGGTAATATCAAGGGAATGCAGTATAAATGCAAAGGTAGTCATCAGGAGATCACTGCACATGCCCCCCTCACAATTGTATGTGACGGGTGCTGTTCAAACTTGCAACACTCTCTCTTCGATCCTGAGGTGAAAATTTCATGTCAATCTTGTTAAATAACAAGAAAACATAAATAGATTGACATATATATGTATATTTGAATTTTCACATACCAAATCAACCCTGGTCGTTGTTATTTCTGCATGTTGATATTCCTTCTTGTTCTGTTGGTTTGGTTCTTGAGCATTGTCAGCTTCCATAAGCAAATCATGCACGTAATTTTAGCGGATCCTTCACCCATAATGTTTTATCCTATCAGCAGCACTGAGATCCACTGTCTCGTTGATATTCCAGGCCAGAAAGTACCTTATGTTTCTAGCGGTGAAATGGCTTACTACTTGAAAACAAAGGTGGCACCCCAGGTATGTATGTATAGGGTGTACTTGGCAGCTACACAAGGTGCTTATCTGACCCTTTGGACTAATCAATCGGGTTGTATAATTCTCAGGTTCCTCCTGAGCTGTATAATGCTTTTTTGGCTGCCACTGAGAAAGGAAATATAAAATCAATGCCCAATAGGAGCATGCCTGCTGCTTCTCATCCCACCCTAGGTGCCCTTCTAATGGGGGATGCAGTCAACATGTTGCATCCTATAACTGGAGGAGGCATGACTGCGGCTCTATCAGACGTTGTTGTAAGGAATCTTCTAAGATTTCTGCGCAATCTCAATGATTCACCCTCCCTTTGCAAATTGCTTGAGTCCTTCTATACCCAACGTAAGGTAAGCAGCCTATGCCTATTTAATACTTTTTTTGTGCATTTTGTCTTCACAGAACATCCTTAACATCATTTCAATGAGAAATTATATGAAAGTTCTTAAAGAGGCCTATGGGTCTTGATTTTGTGCTCAACTTTAGTGGTAACTTTACACAGATAATTCTTGGTTTTGCTGCAGCAAGTGGCTTTCACCATAAACACATTGGCAGGTGCCGCATACAAGGTGTTATGTGCATCCCCTGATCCAGCAAGGAAGGAAATGCGCCAAGCATGCTTCGACTATTTGAGCCTTGGATGCACCTTTTCAAATGGATCTCTTGCTCTTCTCTCTGGTCTAAAACTTTGTCCATTGAGCTTGATTTTCCAGGTCTTCGTTGTGGGTCTTTATGCTGTTGGACGCTCGTTACTTCCATTTCCTTCACCAAGCCGCATCTGGAGTGTAGCCAGAATGATCTTGGTGAGTATCTCTATTGGAAAAAAACAAAATGCTGCAAAACCCTAATATTTTCCTAAATTTTTTTGCAACCCACATGACAATCATTCTAGTCCTCCATCGGTCCCAACACAAAATTATGAGCCCTATGTTAGAGAGTATAGAAACATTTGGATTGTTAACTTGTAACACAAGACATCATGACTTTTACTCACATGTAAAGCCTGTCAATTTCCTAATTTATAACTAAATGAACAACCTTATATCTCTTAGTTTTTCCCATTTTGCAGGGTGGATTAGGAATCATTTTCCCCATAATCAACGCTGAAGGAGTAAGACAAATGTTCTGCCCTGTAGCCGCCCTGCAATCATATCTCAGAGGTCCTCCTATCATTTGACATTACGAAAACAACATACCCAGAGAAACAAAAAAAAAGAATGGTGAAACACAGCTTTTCAACCTTTTAAGATAAGCTAATTTGTATGAAGACAGATTCTCCCTTGTAAAAATTTCAGGTGGAAATTCATGCCTGAGTTTTTATTTTTTATTTTTCTTAAAGTGTACTTAAAAATATATCATTCAATACACTACATGATCTGTAATTTCTATCATATCCAAAGAAAATAAAAAATTATTTATTCAATTAAACAAATACATATTGACCCAGCAGCCACCTTTCTGACATATTATTCTAAGTCATAATAATATGCTGTACTTTGTTTACAGAATCAGAGAAGTTATTTTCTTCCTCCCTACCTTTTTCTGTTTTAATTAACACTACAAGTTGTCACCCCCTGTTTGGCACCCATGGTTTTTAAAACCCAGGAAAAATATATATTGACCTTGCATTGCATGGCTGGAATATTAATAATTTGCACTAAACATATCATCCATCTCACACCTTACCAACCCCTCTCTTGACTACATCAAGTCTTAATTGGAGAACTCACTCACTCACTTACCATGGACATAAAATCTTGTACTGCTTAACTCCAAAAATCCAAGACCTCCAAACATTGACAATTTGAGATTCATATTTTGCCACTACATGATGGAAAATTGTCCTTAAATTTCCTATGCATTCATATACAAATGATTTACTTTGTCTTCTTCTAATTTGGCCTAGTAAACAACCCCTTTACAATGGTGGGCGCATGACTTTTCCACGTTTCTATCACAAAAATTTACAATGCCGAAAAACCGTTTTTGAACTTTGGCTCACTCTATATAAAGGCGCCAAGTTTAGTCTCAGCACAAACTCAAACACTTGAACCTGAAAAAAAACTTAAATTCAGAGAGTGCCACCATAGTCTTCTTTAACCCTTTTTGCAGCAATCTTTGGAGATGGTTTACCAGAATATATTTGGTGCAGTCATAGCTTCACTGCTGGGGTTTGCTTTCTTGTACAGACTAAGAGGGAAGAAGGCGGCCAGAGCTATAGTGAAGACTGATCAGAATGGGAACTGTTTGAAGAGCTCTGAAAATGGAATTTGTGAGGCGAAGATAAGTACAAGTACGGACATTATCATTGTTGGTGCTGGGGTTGTTGGTTCGGCGCTTGCTTACACTCTTGGGAAGGTGACATTCTCTAACTCCCGTAGGGGCTCATGCCTGTTTCTATATTGGTTTGAATTTGATACATAACTTGTTGAGGTTTAAGGTTTTATGGAATTCAATGGTTAAACTTTTATGTGTTCAAGATCAGGATGGTCATTAAGTTCATGAAAGGTATGTAATAATAGTTTCATTTTTCTATGGGATTCTATTTCTGCTTGATTTAGAAGAAATAATAAGAACTCTAGAAGACTTTGAGATCTGTTTGGGGTCTCCCAGATCAGCTGAATTTGGATAATTTGGAAAACATTTTAATAAAATTTTGTTAGCTTGTATGTATTAACATCAAGATTGAGATTGCAATTTCACTGTTCTAAATTATCACGTCTTGTCTTTGTTCCTCAAATTTTCTTGGTTTGGGCCTAATGATAAATGGGATACAGATCTTATATATTAGTGTTGCAGACCAAAAAATATATTGTAATGTTTCATTTACAATGTCTGCGTATTGCAGGAAGGGCGCCGAGTGCATGTGATTGAAAGAGACTTGGCTGAGCCAGATAGAATCGTTGGTGAACTTCTACAACCAGGGGGCTACCTGAAATTAATTGAGTTGGGCCTTGAGGGTAAGCAAGGAGTTCAGGCATATAGCACTTATAATTCCTGCAGGTTCTAAATTAGTTGAACTTTCTTTATCCTTTTCATCTTTGAATTTAGGCTAATTGCTTATATGCCTTTTTGGTTGAAGATTGTGTGAGTGAGATTGATGCTCAGCGGGTTTTTGGATATGCTCTTTACAAGGATGGGAAAAGTACCAAGTTGCCATATCCTTTGGAAAACTTCCATCCAGATGTGGCTGGGAGAAGCTTTCACCATGGGCGTTTCATTCAAAGGATGCGTCAAAAAGCTTCATCTCTTCCCAAGTATTCTTCCTCCCCTTAAATGCTTTCAAACTATTCTGCTTTCACTAGGCTGGCCGTCTGTTTTGTAATCCAAAAGCTGTAGAGAACTTGAAAACGTGGAGGTTTCTCTCTGCTTGATGCTTCAGTCATTTCTTTTAAGTACTGTTATAACATGATTTTTGGTATGTCAAACTTTCTATCAAGAGTTTTACATAATCTGCTGGAAATCTAATTCCTGTCCATTTTTTTTTAAAATTTCAACATCAGTGTAAGATTGGAACAAGGAACAGTGACATCTTTGATTGAAGAAAAAGGTACTATCAAGGGGGTGCAGTATAAATCCAAAGGTGGTGACCTAGAACTCACTGCACATGCTCCTCTCACGATAGTATGCGATGGATGCTACTCAAACCTGCGGCGCTCTCTCTGCGATCCTAAGGTGAAGATAACATGACAATCTTGTAAAATAACAAAAACAAGAAAGAATAATTGATTGAGATACACATGAACTCTTGAAAAGCAATTCATTTTCATTTTATTTCTGCAGGTTGATATTCCTTCATGTTTTGTTGGTTTGGTTCTGGAGAATTGCCAACTTCCATACACAAACTACGGGCATGTAATTTTGGCAGATCCTTCACCGATACTGTTTTATCCTATCAGCAGCACAGAGATTCGGTGTCTGGTTGATGTACCAGGCCAAAAAGTACCTTCCATTTCTGGTGGTGAAATGGCTCACTACTTGAAAACCAAAGTGGCACCCCAGGTATGTAAATTGTATTTCACAGTCTGTTTTGGAATAAAACTATTTGGACCACATTTACTGACCATTTTGCAAGGTGACCAGTAAATGTGATATAAATACCAAAACCCTCTTTGTTATGATGTCTAAGGGGTAAATTGAATACCTCAGGTTCCTCCTGAGATGTATGCCACTTTCATGGCTGCTACTGATAAAGGAAACATAAAATCCATGCCCAATAGGAGCATGCCTGCTGCTCCTCATCCTACACCTGGTGCCCTTCTAATGGGGGATGCTGTTAACATGAGGCATCCTTTAACTGGAGGAGGCATGACTGTGGCTCTGTCGGACATTGTTGTTCTGAGGAACCTTCTGAGACCTCTGCACAATCTGAATGATGCACCTGCCCTTTGCAAATACCTCGAATCCTTCTATACCCTTCGCAAGGTAAGCCTCCTATGCCCACCATGCATTTTAATAAGAAAGTACTTAAAAATACTTAATGAGGCCAATGCTGATTTGGTTTGGTGCAGCCTGTGGCTTCTACCATAAACACATTGGCAGGTGCACTATACAAGGTGTTCTGTGCATCCCCTGACCCGGCAAGGAAGGAAATGCGCCAAGCATGCTTCGACTACTTGAACCTTGGAGGCGTTTTCTCAAACGGACCTCTGGCAATTCTCTCCGGTCTAAACCCTCGTCCATTGAGCTTGGTTCTTCACTTTTTTGCTGTGGCTGTCTATGCTGTTGGGCGCTTGTTGATTCCATTTCCTTCACCCAAACGCATGTGGGTTGGAGCTAGACTGATTTTGGTGTGTAAATATCTCCATTCATTGTGACTTTTAGTTGCATCTAACAATGCCCTTCTTATAATTATTTTGATTTTTCTCAATCTTTTGCAGGGTGCATCAGGGATCATATTCCCCATAATCAACTCTGAAGGAGTAAGACAAATGTTCTTCCCTGTGACAGTGCTATCATATTACAGAGCTCCTCCGGTTAATTAATTGAAAAGATTAAGACAAATATATGTTTTAGCACAGCTTTAGGAATGCAGATTCTTCCATGTAACAATTTCAGCTGGTCATCCATGCTTTAAAAAATAAAACAGTGTACCAAGAACAAATCATTCTTCGCACTCTATGCTCTCTTCACTTCTTGATGTTGACTTGCAATTCAAAATAAATGACTGACTCCCTCCAAATTGGGCCATTGAAGATTTGTACATATACACCTTCAAAAATGGACCAAATCATCCAATGATTGGAGCAGACATTGAAAAAAAGAAAAATGTAAAAGATATTTATATATGCATCTGTGTAGACATATACCGATATTAGTTTTACTTGTTATGTGTTGTTGAAGTCTTGAAGAGACAATAACAGTTAAATTAAATTCAGAGGGTGACACTATGGCACTATCATCTTCATTACTCATTTTGCGCCATCACCTTCACATTATTTTACTTTTTTAATTGTTACGTTTACCAGCATCTATAGAATGGTGTAGTCATACAACTTTGGGGGGTCATGTTTTCAATGAAGACTCAAAAACGTGAACTCCTTGCAAAACTCTGTGAATGCAAGGTACCTGCAACCAGACATAGGTGCAACCTCAGCACCAACGACGGACATTAGCATTGTTGGTGCTGGGGTTGTGGGTTCAGCACTCACACTATTGAGAAGGTCACATTCTCTCACTCAATAATATGAGGGCTCTACCTGTATTTAAGATAATGGTTAAATTTTATTAATCTACAGAATCTGGTACTTGGTCAATATTTTGTCGATACTTTTATCGATAACTCTATATTGTAAATTGGTATTCGGTACTAGTCAATCACTCCCCGTCATTTAAATGATTATTTTAGGATGTAGAAAGGTGTTCCTAAGGATAGAAGTGATGACTAGTAAAATAATCTGACGGGAGTGTGATTGACGGGAGTGTCACTCCCCTTTGCTTATCTATAATGTAATTGAACGTAATCTATAGAAGTGATGACTCTGAAAATGCAGCGGACTCTTTTGGAACACCTTTGCCCACTACTCATAATTAGGATGCTTCCGCTGAGAGTCTTTAAAGACTTTAATTCATCTTTAGTGTATGGCCAACTTTTTAATCAAGGCATTTTTCATGGTATACTCTCTCTCCATCTCCATATTAAACAAGTTTGCTGATTTGAAAATATAAGGGCTATATGGTTTCTGGTGTGTGTGTGTGTGTGTGTGTGTGTGAGAGAGAGAGAGAGAGAGAGAGAGAGAGAGAGAGAGAACAAGTTTGGATGCTTGCCTGTAATGGCTTTGCAATTGGAAAGTACTTGTTTCAGCAGTCCTCGATTTGAAGATGCATGTTTTTGTGCACATCTTACAAACGTGTACATTCTGACAATCTGTCCAAATTGGTTTCAACAACAGACACATGTTAGTCAGTAGTTAGTACAGATCTCTTACCAAATTGTGAAATTCAGTTATGTAAAATCATAATTACTATGTTCGATTTGTTGCATTGATGCAGGTTGATGGAGGCTTTGCTGCTGTATTTTGCAACGTGCAGCTGGGTTTTTGATTTTGCTATTTTTGTTTCATTTGTTTGAAGTTTAAACTTTGCTATGCTTTGTAATGGTTTGTAATTATAAGTTAGGCCTTCATATTTAGTTTAGAAATTTAAAAAAAAAAATAATTGAAATAAAAGAAATTTGAAGAAAATCTACAATAGTGTGCCTTGTGTGTGCTTTTGAAAAAGAAAAAAAAAAAGATTTTGGGCCTTATATGTTACTAGAGCCCAACACAAACAAAAGCGGGAAAAAATAATGAATTGGCCCAAATTGAAGAACCAAAAAACCAGACCGGAAATAACCAATTCCGGTTGGTCCGAATACATCAGGTTAGGGTTAATTATTAATGATAAACCCCCCCCCCCCCCAATTCCCCCAATCATTCTTAATCCCCCCCCCCCCCCACCCCTCCCTCACCCCACCTCGCCAAAACCAAAAATTAGGGATTTTGAATTGAAAATCTCTCTCTGTCTCTCTCTACAAATGGCTAGGATCTCTGAACTGATGTGTGCCGATCATCACATCAACGATCTCCTTCATCGAGGGCGCCTGGCAGCACATGATGTTCGACATTGTGCATAGAATATGGGAAACCACGTCAGTTTGACCATCACACGAGACATTGAATTGGAAGCAGCACTAGAATTCAAGAAAGCAAAACTGGAGTAGAGGCATGTCAGAGTTTGGGTCTGCGCTATAATCCAGAGGAGAATCGCCGCATGAAGAGAAAGCTCCTCCCCGCTGGCCTCAGGAGCAATGACTTTCCGATGGCCATTGATTTTGTGGCAAGTCATCCCACTTTTTCAGCATATGTGGATTTCTTTGCTACAAATAAATCGGCAACTCGCTCACTCCAAGAAGCCAAGCAAGAGAAGGCCAACATCTCTATCCGCCTCCAATAGGTAGAATGGGTTATCGTGACGAGCCCAACGGAGCTGTGTTGGAATTGGCTCAAATTTGATGGCATTGAAGTTGCACCCACATGTGTTGGTGGTTTCTTCATAGTGGTTGCCTCACTTTGTGGCTTTGACATTATTTTATTTGGTGGAAGGCAACAACCTTTGTAAGAAGAAATCAGATTTTGTGTTGTGTGTGCAGCAAATCACATGGGAAAGGTTTGGCTTTTGGAGGAAGTCATGTTGCATTAATGAAGGTTGAAATTGAAGACATTTAGGTCTTCACGTGGGCTGCCGACATTGGTATAGAGTATGAGAAAAGTCTTGCTTTTCACATTGATCAAATGGCCTATTAATATACAGCAAGTAAGGAGTGGAGCATGCAAGAGGGGTGGGCATTTGTGCCGCATTTGAAGGTGCCATGAGCACCATTGTTCAGAGAGGCCAAAACATAAGTGAGGCACTTCCACACAGAGAGAAATACTAGAGAACATCACCATGATGGTGGAGATAAACTCCTTTTTGGCTACACGAGATGTTGAAGGAAGATCAAGACATTTCAAAGGTTGAGTCTTCTTCATTTGTTCCTTGTGTTTGTGGGAGGTTTATTTCTTTGTATTGTTCTTAGTGTGTTCTTTCCTAGTGAGCAAGATCAATTTATGTGTTTTTGGTTCTTGTGTGTGGTTAGCCAGAGAGTGACTTGGATGTATTTGGGATTTAGGCTGTGAGAGTTAAACTCTATAATTTCTAGGGTAAGTGAGATGGTTAATCTCCTTTGGTTGTAATCTCTTTTGGGATACTAGTGGAATTTATCGCTGTCTTCAAACTGGAGGTAAGCTATACACGGGATGAACCAGTATAATCCTTATGTCTCTTGGATTTCTGTATTTCATATTTTGCTCTTGTTGTTTCAACGGTTTCATATCCACTATTCCATGTGCAATCTGCTTCCGCTGCACACAAAAGTGGTATCAGAGCTCTAGTTTTCGATATGGTGGAGTTTTGTGTTCATGATGATGAAACCAGGAGACGTGTTGAGGAGATATGAAATTACTTTGATGGGAGAAAAATTCCAGACTTTGGTGTTGAAGATGGGAGCCTTGTTAGTGTAACAGGGGCTGCGCAAGAGGCACTAAAGGGTATCTAAGCATGGCCAGCAACGTGTACCAACGATAAGGAAGGATGATGTCTTGAATCAAGTACTCACTGCGATTGGATTACAGTTAGTGAACGGTGTTCTTCATGAGGTTGCCGATGAGACTACATATGCTGGGCTATGGCTGAAATGGTGGAGAATACATATATGACCAAATCATTTTCAATCGGTTGTATGCCAAACAACGATTGTACACTCAGTGGTATGGCAGAAGGTAAACTTAGTCAAAACTATCTTGTTGAGTATAATAAGATTTTCATGAATGTGTAGGTCATGAATATGAAAATAGGATGATAAGGATCGAGTAGTAATGGAGGAAAGTAACATTCCAAGGCGAATGTTCGGGAGGACAAATACAACTTTTTCACAAGGACATGCATTGGAGATTTGATTTCCCATAAATCAAGGAAAGAGAAGAGTCTAATAATTCCTCTTGCAAGTGCTTTTGTGGATGTCGTAGGGAGGATAATCATTATGTTCCTCCTATGATCAACGATTCCGGTGTGCCGTGCTTGGGGTGTGATTTTTACTTGTCTGTGGTTACTTTTGAAATTTTCTTTCATAGTGGAATTTCATGAGTTTTTCATGGGTGTTCCTTATGGGTAGTGTGTAGTTTGTTGCTTTGATTTTCTCTATGTACTTCGGGTAGTATTGTTTATGGCTACATGGGTTTTTTCCTTTAATAATTAGATTTTAAAGTAAGGTTTTTTTTATATTGTAAAGGGTTATCTTTCGGGAGGATGATTCCCTCCTATGGCAGCTGAAATTGTTCGTTCTGCTACTTGGTCACCTGGGCTATGCGTGTATCGTAGCAGAAGAAGCTTGAGGTTCAAGCGTTTAAGGTTTGTGCAGTTTATGCACGTACATTCAGCTTGTGTGGCTTGGTTATGAGGATGACATTGAAAAAGTTCTTCTGTTGGGGTCATTTGGTTCGATCTAAGCACACATTTTTTGTTGCAAGTTCAAGGAGTGCTTGAGCTTGATTTGGTAAGAGGAAGATGGGCGATAGAAAGTTCTACTGTGGCTTGGTAAATTTGTGCCAAGGTGGAGATTGTTGGAATTGGCTCAAATTTGATGGCATTGATGGCATGTGATCCAGCAACCATTGTTGACTTTGTTGGCTCAAATTGCACCCACATGTGTCGGTGGTTTCTTCATAGTGACTGCTACACTTGGTATAAAAGAATGTGGTTTTGACATTATTTTATTTGGTGGAGTGCAGCAACCTTTGTAAAAAGAAATTAGATTTTGGGTTGTGTGTGCAGCAAATCAAGTGGGAAAGGTTTGACTTTTGGAGGAAGTCATGTTGTATTAAATGATAGGTTGAAATTGAAGACATTTAGGTCTTCACGTGGGCTGCCGACATTAGTGTAGAGTATGAGAAAAGTCTTGCTTTCCACATTGAGCCAATGACCTATTAATATACAGCAATCAAGGAGTGGAGCATGCAAGAGGGGTGGGCATTTGTGCCGCACCATTTAGAGGTGCCGTGAGCACCATTGTTTAGAGAGGCCAAAACAAAAGTGAGGCACTTCCACAAATAGAGAAATACTAGAGAGCATCACCATGATGGTGGAGAGAAACTCCTCTTTGGCTACACGAGATGTTGAAGGAATATTAAGACATTTCAAAGGTTGAGTCTTCTTCATTTGTTCCTTGTGTTTGTGGGAGGTTTATTTCTTTGTATTGTTCTTAGTGTGTTCTTTCCTAGTAAGCAAGAACAATTCCTGTGTTTTTGTCTCTTGTGTGTGGTTAGCCAGAGAGTGACTTGGGTGTATTTGGGATTTGGGCTGTGAGAGTTAAACTCTGTAATTCTTAGGGTAGGTGAAATGGTTAATCTCTTTTGGTTGTAATCTCTTTTGAGATACTAGTGGAATTTCTCGCTGTCTTCGAACTGGATGTAGGCTACACATGGGCTGAACTATTATAAATCCTTATGTTTCTTGGATTTCTGTATTTCATATTTTGCTCTTGTTGTTTCAACAGTTTCATATCCACCATTCTATGTGCAATCTGCTTCCTCTGCACACAACAAGTTGCAGTACTTTCTCGATGTTAGTCTTTACCATGGCTGGAATGACTAGCGCCGGATTCACGTTCCTAAAAGAAAGGTTTGGCAAGATCACGCAACCAAGATTTCTATGAATGCAATTGCTGCTGGGCTAAGCATCGGCTATGGATAAGTAAGTCACTGGGGTTTATCCATTTCTTTTGGTAATCAAGTTGATATATCCAGGCATGATCATGACCTCAAATCCAAATGCTATTTGTGAATTCATGGCTATGTGTGAATTTGTAATTCTGTGTTGGATGGCTAATTTGAATCCGAAGGCTACTAATTCTTCTGATTTTTGTTATTTGTGAATTTGAGGCTATGTGTGGATTTGTTCAAATTCTGTGTTGCATGGCTAATTTGAATCCAAATGCTATTGATTTTTGATTTTTTTGATTTGTGAATTTAGGGCTATGTTGAATTTGTAATTCTGTGTTGTATGGCTAATTTGAATATAAATGCTACTGATTCTTCTGATTTTTGTTATTTGTTCATTTAGGCTTATGTGTGAATTTGTTCAAATTTTGTGTTGTATGGCTAATTTGAATCCAAATGCTACTGATTCTTTGATTTTTGTGATTTGTGAATTTAGGTCTATGTGTGAATTTGTTCTAATGACTAATTCGATTATGTGCAGCGGTGGCAAAAACAAAGGAAAGGAAAGAAAAAAGATTCTGTGATGTCTCTTCTGGCCTTTTTCTCTCCCCAATATAACCTCTCTGTGTATGTGTGTGGATATGATGGTAGTGTTGTTCAAGTTTCTAATTGTAGAGAATATTATAGCGTACACGTAATCGGTCATGCTTCTAATTGTAGAGAATATCATATGTTCCTCATTTGTTGTACACATAATCAGTACTGTTCACTTCTACTTTGATTGACTATTGCTAAATATGGATGAATTGTTTACTAAAAAATAAGAATTGTTACATATGGATGAATTGTTACATTGTTACATTTGGATGAATTGTTACATTGTTACGTAAGAATTGTTACATATGAATGAATTATTACATTGTTACATATGGATGAATTTTTACATTGACTATTGTTACATATGGATGAATTGTTACATTGTTATATAAGAATTGTTACAAAGGATGCATTCTTACATTGACTATTGTTACATATGAATGAATTGAGGGCTATGTGTGCATTTTTTCAAATGTTGCGTTGTATGGCTAATTTGAATCCAAATGCTACTGATTCTTTGATTTTTGTGATTTGTGAATTTAGGGCTATGTGTGAATTTGTTCTAATGGCTAATTTGATTTTGTGCAGTGGTGGCAAAAACAAAGGAAAGAAAATAAAAAAGAGAAAAAAGATTATGTGATGTCTCTTCTGGCCTTTTTCTCTCCCCAACATAACCTCTTTGTGTATGTGTGTGGATATGATGGTAGTGTTATTCAAGTTTATAATTGTAGAGAATATTATAGCGTACACGTAATCGGTCCTGCTTCTAATTGTAGAGAATATCATATGTTCCTTATTTGTTGTACACATAATCAGTAATGTTCACTTCCATTTTGATTGACTATTTGTTATATATGGATGAATTGTTTACTAAAAAAATAAGAATTGTTACATATGAATGAATTGTAACATTGACTATTGTTACATATAGATGAATTGTTACATTGACTATTGTTACGTACGGATGAATTGTTACATTGACTATTATTACATATGGATGAATTGTTACATTGACTATTGTTACATAAGAATTGTTACATATGGATGAATTGTTACATTGACTTTTGTTACACATGGATGAATTGTTACATTGACTATTGTTACGTTTGGTCAATTTTAGTTGCTTTACTAATTTTCGTTCTCTATAATTTTAGTTCTTCACAGTGATACATATTAAAAGTAGAAATAAAAAAAATAGCCCTTTTAAAAATATTTTTTTATAAAAAAAATAGTATTGGCTGCAACATTCATGTAAGTGCAACCAAACCCAAAGTGATAACATGTAGTGGGACCCAAAATAATTTAACTAGATCATTAATCGAGAATTTGGTCTCAACTCAAATGAACCAGCCCAGCCCAATATGATTTAGGCACTTGTTAAATTTAGATTTAACCAAATCTTGTAAAGCTAAATGAGTCTTAACGTGTAAGGAGTTGAGTGTTTTCATTTTGATAATGGCTGTGAAATCACTCTCGAATCATTTTTCTAAGGTCAAATTTTAAATTATTATAATTTTCGAAGAGAGAGAACTCAAGTGCAAGGAGACAGACATATCTAGAACTAGCCTAACTCATATGTACAACCGTTTGAATTGTTTAAACATGCAAAAGAAACCAATTCAGCCTATATTTTAGTTTTAACATTAAAATGTGTAACTTTTATATCCAATTTGAACCAAATCGCAATTAGTTTTGATAGATTCGGTTTGATTTGACATATTTAAAAAACCGCCTAACTTGTACAAAACCGCATATTTTACTTTTCTTCAACACTTGACATTTTCTTATTAGTTATCACCGTTTACTATCATATTTTATATTACACATTGATATAAACCATTTAATACTAAAACCCCCTAACTCATTCGAATTTGATGTCTCTCTCAAAATTTCTCCATCTTCAATAGTGAGAAGTTTCCTTTTGATATATAAGAAAATACAAAATATATGGAATAACCGAACCAAGCGGGTCAACAAATGATTTCGATTAGTTCAGTTGTGTTACCAGTTTGAGGTCTAAACATTAGTTCCATGTGTAATTTGAGACCTAAACCAAATCGGATTGCCTCGACTCACGTGATCATTGAAATACATACAACACATCACGAGTACACATAGTATTTTTAAATTCTCTTGCTGGGCCATGATTTCTTCCACTTTTTGGGTGTGTTAACATCTCTCTTTTAATGTGAATTTTTATTTACTTTTACTTGATGAAGTCGTTAACTTTCTGATAAGAAAAACATATGCAGCTTTATGCGGATAATTATGCAGGAAGGCATCCTGAGAATAATGTTGGTTGGTGGTGGTGCAGAGACCAGGAAGTTTTTCCTAAATTGTTTATGCCTTCTATTGGGGCGTTTTGACCGTAAGAAATTTGAGACCGTAGTATCAGGATATCACATACTCTTTTACCACAGGTAGTAATTCTTGCATCCAATCTTGATATAATACTCATAAGGATAACTAAGGTTGATTTTTTAATACCAATAATATTAGAGTTGCCATTGGAAGGCCTTTTTTCGTGTTTGTGATTTTACTAACATTAAATTTTATTACTTTATGAAGCTCCATTCTTCTGATGACGATGTGGTAGACGGGGTTGTTTGCATACTCAAAGCAGTCATTTTTAAGCCAAACTCATCTGGAAGCAGTCTCACTGACACCAGAGAGGTGGATGCTATGCTACCATTGCTGATTCACCTTCTAGTCTGTTTGATGTATTTTTCTTATTTACTTCTTTTTATCTTTTGGTGCTTGGAAGCGCAAATCAAACATATTATATCTCCGTTTGTTTTCGGTTACTTGATTGTCAATTTGGTATAAATGGTTCACCAGGAGCAAAGACAGTCATTGCTTTAAAGAAGTTCTGGAATGCCTTACTTCTAGAAATGTTCAACAAATGACGAATGCCCTTGTGTTATATCAGAACTCATTTGTGTGTCGTCAGATTCAAAGGACAAACTTTCCCAGTTATCATGGTATGCAAAATGCTCCATCAACTTTTATTACTTTGTCATCACGCTTTTGCCCTTCTTTATCTTTTCCCTATGATAATTGCAACCAAGATACTGCAAACCACTTGCTTGAGCGACTTGAAGATGAAGAAATTGCAATTCGGAAACATACATCCACTTTGCTTCCAATGATTGGTTCGTTTACAGTTTAAATTATTTCATGCCAAATCTCGTTATACATTTTCCAGATTCTTTGCTATGTACTCTTTTAAACCATAGTAAACTGTAAGATACTTATCTTTTGGGATGTAGAAGATCGTTCTCCCTTATACTTGAGTAGAATAATAGTTTTAGGTTGAGGCGTGTCATTCACTGTCCTTAAGAGTAGATTTCGCCCCTCGGAGACAATGTCTCAATGTAGCAAGGTTGTATGGCGCCCTACCCTCTAGGATACAACAACCTATGACCCTCATAAGGGTACGCTCACAATCCTTAGGTCGAATGAACAACTCAAATCTTTCCCTCAAGGTTTATATTACAGGAAAATAACCTTATATCTTATTTTGTACTAAAGAGAATGGGCTTAAATATATAGTTAGTTACCTCAACAAGAAGCTAAGGCATTAAAAGAAATAGTAATAAAACAACATAATTTTCTGCCCGTTTTCACAAACTTAGGGCTCGTTTGGGAGTACTTCTTCCCGAAGCGCTTATGCCAGTAGCACTTATGTTAGTAGCGCTTATGACATAAGCGCTTCTACAAAGAAGCAGTTTGTTGTTTGGATGTCACATTTAAAAGTACTTTTATACTACATAAAAGCGCTTTTGATATTTTGTTGAGTGTTTGGTTGACACAGTAAAAGTGCTTTATAGCATTGGCAACCCTTCCCAGTATAATCTCTCACAAAGCCATATATGTTTTCCATTAATGCATCTGTCTTTTTCCTTTTCATTCAATTTCAATCAAAATATATGGAAAGTATATATGTGCTGAAATTTGAAAGTAGTGAGCGACGGAGGCAACAAACAGACAAACAAGCCATAAATTTAAGCAAAAGGGAAAACACCATGACAGTGTGAAAAGCTCTGTCTTTTGTCTCTCTGTCTGTATGAAAAGCTCAAGTGGGTGGGTTCTGTCTTTCTGGGTTGCTTGCTCCTTTCTCGTTCTTTCCTTCCTTTCTGTCTTGGGTTGCTGTGTTTTTGGTATATTTCAAGGCTAATGAAGCTAAACTGAAGCTGTTTATTGATGGGAAGATAATAGATGCAGGCAGATATGATCACAACATTTTTCAAGGCTTTGTGTTTATATAGGGAGTTTTCTTTTGCGATTTTTTCAAAGTTCTGGCTTAGTCTAGAAGTTTGGGAACTGGAAAGGGTGGAAAAAGGTCTGAGAAGAAGAAGGTAGAAGAAGAAGAAGGGTGTTGCTGAAGGGTGCTAAGGCTGAAGCTCCGTTGCCGACCAGAGTTAACAGTGTGTGTGAGAGAGATGAAATAGAAGTTGTGTTTTCGTCTGATAGGTTTTGGCGTCTTTGGGCTTTTCGTGGGTAGCGTTTTAATTTTAATAGGAGAGAAAAAGATAGAGAGAAAAAAAAAGGAAAAAAGGGTATTTTGGCATTTAAAAAAATTAAATATGGGCATTTTCGGCATTTTAAAAGTTTCATTAAAGGGAGCCAAGTGTTTCCCGTGTTTTGTCTTGCAGCGCTTTTAAGAAGAAGCACATCTCAAGTGCTTCTTCCAAAACCACTCCAAGTGCTTTTGGATCTCACCCAAAGAGCTTTTGCAATTTTTGCCAAACACCATTTTAAAAGATAGAAGCGCTTTTCGCTGCTCCAAAAGCACTCCTAAACAAGCCCTTAATAGCTATAAAATCACCAAATAATGACAAAACAAAGTAGCAATTGCAAAATAGAAATTAGTCAACCATAACTGACGCAAATGAATTTGAATTCAAATCTTTAAATGCCAAAGGCATTGAAAAACAATTAAGTTCGTATGAAATTGCCACACCAAAGCTTTTAGAATAAAGCTGCATATAAAGACTTTAAAACAAATCATTAATTATCCCAATTGAAGACTAGAATTGTTCCAATTAAAAACTCGCGCAAATAAACTTTTGAAATCAAAATTAATATATACAATCAGAACATAACACTCAATTCATATAATAAATTTACAAAATAAATTCAGTATAAACTTGTAATTAAACCACACAAAGTTTGGAAACATAAAATAAATAATAAAATAAATTTTGTATTTTGAAATACTCACAAAAATTCCAACAATCCCCCACATATTTCAAAATACAAAAGGTCTCAAAGGAAAGTGAAAATTCAATGCATAAGGGCTATGGTATTCATTAAGAACATAAGTTCAACCTTAAGCGTTGCAGTATTGCACTATTTACACCATAGGGAGGGACTCTCAAGAATATAAATTGATAGTGCACGCCCAATCACCCAATGACTTGTTCTTACCCATATGAACTCACTTCCTGGGATCTCCATTCGCATAAGTTGGGTTACCATCACTGTTGACTGTTGATATAGACATAAGTCTCATCCCCCTCGATGTATTCCATTTTAGTTGTCACCATGGTTTTGTCAAAGAATTGGCCAAAGTAAACTTCGACATCTCACAATTTAGGGATATAACCCTGTTCTCAAGAAGTTGCAACACAACATAATATCAAATGAATATATTCATAGTTCTGGCTCTCAAAACTAGATCACAATAGACACTTGAAAGTTTGTCTCTTCCATCATGGGATATAGCCAAGAGGTTTTAAGCTACTTGGCCTCAAATTCATCAGGTGTGTCTATTAGAAATATTTTCTAGGACATTGACCACAAATGGTTAGTTGATTTCATCTCAACATAATTAGAGATCACACATGCATTGGTATACATTAAAGTATAACGGAAATCCAACATATATTAAATCTTATGATCAAGAGTACCTCTCATTTCTTTGGTACTCATATATGAGTCTCGATGGTCCATAAAGCTTTAAGTGCAGCTGCTGAAGTCCCTATTTGTGCACTCCAAATGGCTGAAACCATGATTGTATATCCAAGTTGACACTGTATCTTCTCGATTCTCAATAGGAACCTCTTTAAGACAATAAGAAGTCTCCACCAAAATTTTACACCAAGACCATCACAGCTCGCACCCATTTTTATCATGTCAAAATCTACGTCCAATTAATCAGAACACGGTACTTAATAAATAAGTGCACTTATTACTTTAAGTATTGTATGTACTCACTACAGGCATACAAATTTAACATTTGAAGGCAATTTTAATTTAACGAGTTGCATGGCATGCTCTCTTGCCTTCGCTTCCTCAATGACTTCTTTACTTCCCCTATCCATTTCACTAGGATACTTTTCAATAGGATACTTCCAACGCCGGACAGGATCAATAACAATTTTCTCTAACGCAGTAGCACTCTTTATTAAGAACTTTATATGTTCAACAGCAGAAGCACAAGCACGATAGCCTACTATTTCTACTAGCTTGAGGTAATGATGGGGGCATGTAGCAGCTTTCTTTATTTTTCTACCGTCTATGTGTAGGGAGAAATCCAACTGCAACAAGAAAACAATTTAGTGTACAGCACAACAAGAAACATAACAATAATTTCTATTAGCAAGTTTCATCACACAACTAAATTTTCCTTTTTTTGTTGTACTTTTCGTTCTTCAAAATTGTTAATGGAACGAAAAGAACATGAACGAAATCACCAAAAGTGCACATACAAAGACCTACATATAGTTTTACTCAGTAATCTACGAGTACAAACATATACCTTCAACGCGAGTCTTTGCAAGAAAGGAGATGCTTTCAGAAAAGAAGTTAAATGATGAAGAGCCAGACGGTACTCCGCAAAAAGTATTAATTCCAAATGCTTGAGATTTGCTAGTGTAGGAAACACATGTTCCTGATCGTAAACCTGAAAGCCAAACAAGGAGCAATAATGAGCTACATATCCCTGAATGAAGAAAAGAAAACCAACACAAATCGTAATTACATATATACTAACCGATCCGGTGATATCCAGCATGAGAATCTCCAACTGAGAAAGATAACATGAAAGTTGGCTAGAGTAAAGCTTTATGGATGCAGGGTGCAGGGAAATATGGGAAAGGGACACCTCCACAAGCAATGGTACATTACTGAGAAGCAGGTTCATCACAACACCCCGATACATAAATGAAATAATGTTTGCCCCTGAAATCTCAATGCTTTTAAGGGCACAACAATATTTTATCACTAAATGCTTCAACGTAACCGATGGATGAACAACTCTTATATTAACCAAACTTTTCGTTTCGGACACGGTTAATTGTTCAAGAACTGGACAGTTGGACAATAAGTATTCAAGAACTTCATCAGTCACATCAACACATTTGAAAAGAAGAACTTTAAGGTTGTGAAATCCAATTTTGTATCCACAAGGGCGTAGACTTGGAAGGTGAGAATGCAAGTTCCTCTTTTCGAGACCTAATAGTTTGTGGGGAAATGCATACATCTTTTTTGAACCAACGCTATTTTGTAAAGAAAACTTCAACACGAGTGTTTCAACTCCCTTTTCCATTGCAATCTGAATCCATTTGTCAATGGAACTTCGAAACCGACTATTTAGTTGGAAGCAAACCCTGAATTCTTCAATTTTTGGGCCTTTATGTTGTTCCACCACACGATTCACCCAATTGACATACATACCGCTTTCTAGGTATCTTTTTTCTTTTTTGAGGAGGATGAAGCGGTAGATATTTTTACCAGTATCATAGTTATTAGCAAGAAAGTTGAGAAACGTAGTGGACATCCACACAAACTGCCAACGTCTAGAAAGGATACTAGTAGCGGTTGCCTCCTTTAGCGACAAAAGAGACAATATACTGACAAGAATTTCATCTGGCATCTCACTAATTTTGTCAACCAAGAAGTTGTACACACCTTTTTCTCCCTCATTCTTTCCCTCATTCTTTCCTTCACAACATCTACGTCGCTTCCCTGAGTTCTTTCCTTCACAACATCTGTGTAGCTTTCTTGAGTTACCTACTTCACAACGTCTGTGTCGCTTTCCTGAGTTATTTCCTTCACAACGTCTTAGTCGCTTTCCCAAGTTGCACTCATACTTCTAATAGAAGAAACAGCCCGAATAAAATAAAAAAGAAAAGAGTAAAGAGTGGAGAATTTTACTGGGTAATTATCTCTCTTTAATGTCATGATTCCATCACATTGTTATATTTAATTCACATGAAGAAATAATAAATAAAACAATGACAACCACAATAAAACCAACCATAATGCACCTACATATAAGAGAAAATTAATTATAGTGTGAGAGAGGATTAAAGCATGAAACAGCAGAGATAAAGACTCAACGCCAATGGGTTCCCACCACAGTGTTGGTGGCTTCCCCCTTCCCCCACGGCACCCCAATGTAACAACAAATAAAGACAATCTATAAGAGAGACCATGACACAAGAGAGAAAAAAAAATCATCAACAACGAAGATCACCAATTTTTATAAGGCTAAATGCTAACAGATACCCAAGATATCAGAACTCACCACCACTGGCATCGAGTCAGATTGTTCCATAATCACCAAAAAGCAGCAAGCAGACCAGTTAACAATCCGGGTCCTGTACCAGTTAAATCCACATATAAAGTTTAAAACAAATATGAGAAGAAAAATTAAAAATTAACTCCAGGTTTAAAAGATTGTTGGACATGCTTACCAAATCTCTGAGAGGAAATAGACTACGGCTTGGCTAGGGTTTTCTCTGGGCTCGATAGTTAGGCGAGGGACTGAGAGTCAGGTGTCGCGGAAGGAAGGGAGAGCCTGAGATGCTCGACTGAGGAGGACGACTCCAATGAGTTGATCGAAAAAATAGACAGAGCCCACCCTCCCCACAGCTCTCTTTGCGCTGGAACTTTACACGATTTGCCGTGGTGAATTGAGAGAAGTTGAACGTATGGGGTAAAGCCTCAATTATCATGAGGGCATATTGTATTGATTTATACAGTATTACAGATAGAGTTCTATATCAAATATGATAAGAATACAATGCAATCAGATAACCAAGAAGAATCCCACATGAGATAGACGTAAATACAAGATAGAGTCCTAAGGACAATAGTCATCTAATATGAACAAGGAGCCAAGGGAGAGAAGAGAGAGTCGAATAAAAGAGTTTAAAATACAATTCTCAAACAACAACAAAAAGTTAAAATACACTTTGCATGAGTTGGCATGCCACGTCACTTACTTGCATGTTGGCGGTTGTAACATGAAAGGGCCATTTAAAATTGCACCACATGGTATGTATATTGTGCATCACATAGAGAGGATCAACAAAAAATTCTTGACCTACTTGTGAACCGTGGCTCTATCAGAAATTGTTCTTCTAAAGGAATCGTCTAAGACCCATGCACAGTCTGAATTCCCTTTGCAAATACCTCGAAACCTACGCAACGTTAGCGAACCCTACGCCTATCTAGCTTTTCACTGCGAACCCTGGGCCTGCTGATGTTGCTCAATTAAGAAACATAATCTCTTAGGGCCCGTTCGGTAATGTTTTTAGAGTCTGTTTTCTGTTTTTGTTTCCTGTTTTTCACAAAAACACGTTCGGTGCATCGTTTTCGTTTTCCCTCACAAAACGTTTTCTGAAAACAAATCTGACTTTGTGAACAAAAGTTGAAAATGAAAAAAAGTTGTTTTCAGTGATTTCATTTTCAGTGTTTTCCGAAGACACAAGAATGCATCCCATCAACAACTTTAGCTCTCTCTTTTGACAACCGATAAACCCACCAACAGGAACAACACCCATCTTCTCTGACCCAAAATAAAAGATCTGCAAATTAAGAAAAAAAAATACAGAGGAAGAAGAAGAAAAAAAAACAGAGACAAGAAGAAGAACCACCACATACCCAACTCAACCACCATCATCACCCAATCAAACCATCACAACCATTAATTAGTGGATCAAGAGAGAGAGAGAGAGAGAGAGAGAGAGAGAGAGAGATGGGTGGGTGTATGGGATTCATGCCATGGAAGGAAGGAGGAGTGGGTGTAGCCTGGGAAGGAAAGGAAGAAGAAAAGAGGAAGAAAATGAGAAAAAAGAAACGGCCTGGGGAAGGAAAGGAAGAAGAAAAGGGGAAGAAAGTAGGAAAGAGGAAGAAAAAGAGAAAAAAGAAGCAGCCATGTGAAGGAAAAGAAGAAGAAAAGAGGAGGAAAGAGAGAAAAGGAGAAAAAGAAGAAAAAGGAAAAAAAGAAAAAAAGGAGATAAGATAGTTTTTTAGCTTAAATTTTTTTCATTGTTTACAATAATTTTAGCCTCTAAAAATATCAGAATTAAAAAAAATTAGAACTGAAATTAGCAAAAATACACCTGAAAAACAATTGTTCTACCAGACACGTTTTCATTGTTTTTGTTTTCTAAAGATGTTTTCTAATTAATCTACCAGACGCATTTTCATTTCCTGAAAATGCAAATTTGTTTTCTTGTTTTCATTCTCTGAAAATATTCTCAGAAAACATTCTCCGAAAACGTTACCAGACGGGCCCTTAATAAACACTCATCATTTTAATTTTTAACTCAATCTTTTATTATTTTCTCCCAATGTATACTTTCATTTCTAAAAAAACTATAGAAACAGTAAGTACCCAAACAAAACTTGGTCATTAGATTTTAAGTTCATAATTTTAGCTAACCCACCTATTGAAAAATTCTTAGTTATGCCCTTATTCATATGTGACTATGTTAGATGAGTCGATGTATGTATTGTATATATTTATATTATGTTAAACTTAGATGTGAATTAACAACATTACGTGATTACACTTAAAAACTTCACTTTAAATAATTTGATTTGGAATACACTCGAACCCAAAATAAAGTATAGTTTGTGTGAACTACTCTTTGACTGATTTCACCTACGAGCAAAAATAATGAAGATGTGATTTAACACAACATACTAGAGGGAGAAAAAAACTTGTCTTTTAATGTTGATACGATGGATGTTATATGAATTGTTAAAGAATTATCAGCTAATGGGCTTGGATCCAAATTGGCCGATCGGATCCAAATTTTGACCCGGATTAAAACGTGCATTGGATCAGATTGGATCCGAATTTTTGCTCGGGTCAAAACTGGCGGTTCAACATGGCCGTTGTGAACTCTCAGCGTCTCTGAAACCCCACCCAAGTGAGGTTTTAGAACAGTTCCGCCATAGCTAAAGCTACGAGACCTAATCTCGTTCTCAAATTCTCAATCCAATGGAACCAACCCAACAGTTTCTATGGAAATCGGACTTTTCGGAGCCATCAGAATCCTCTTCGCAGTCAATGATGTCAGTGACGCTTGGTAGAGCAATGACCGCTCTGCTCTCCGCTCGCCCCAGAAAGCTAAACGACGCCGTTTCTCGACTCTCCCCTCACCCCCTCAACTCAATCGGTCACATCTCCATTTCAGCTTCTCTCGATGACTCCCTGCGGTTCTTGCACAAGTACCTAAACGACGCCGCTGAGAAGAACGAGCCCCTCCACGAAATTCTCATCCCCATGCTTGAAAATGTACCCAGTTTCATTTTTCTTCGCATTTTTCATTCGTTCACAATGCAATTGCTTTTGGGTTTCTCAAAATTTTAAAATTATTTTTATTATTTCCAAATTCAGTCATTGCGGTACAAGGACACGAAGAACGGTGGCCAATCCATGGTGCTTTTGAACTGGCTTTTTCAAGACGATTTTCTCTTCCAAGCTATTGCAACGGACTTGGCTAAAGTTATTTCGACGAAAGATGATCGCTTTATAGCGCTTGGCTGGTGTACCCTTGTGCGTGCTCTTTTGGACCACGAGACTGCTATGACCCAGTTTCCCATGAATGGTAAGAAAGCCTAATGTGGAGTTTTTGAAGTGAAATTAGTTTGAAAGCCGTTGCTTTAATTATCTAACACCGGAATTTGAGGTTTTACCGCTTGAAATGACAGGAATAATGGAGAGGTACGGTGATTTGTTGAAGATACTCTCTTCGTGTATTCCGCACCTGTCGCATATTGTCGAAAAAGGAAGGTATTTGATTACTTGATGCAAATTGAGTGCACATCTTGTATGGTTTTTGTTATATGACTTATGTTTTGGTTTACTTGTCATATTCAGATTTATAAGGATTTGAATATCATGCATGTCGTGTTTGAATTAGTTTTAATTTCTTGTATAACAAAATTAGGCAAACAATTTTAATGTATTATGTGACAGATCACAATAAATGCAATGCTTATTTTTGGTTTTATTTGGTCGTATTTTTGGCCTCTTGTTTTTGTAGCACTTTGCAGGAAGGACATGAACTGCCATCTCGGCTTGCTGTCTCTGCTGCTGATTGTTTTTTAGCTCTCACAAAAGCATTGACAAAAAAAGCAAAGGTTGCAAGTAACAAGCCCAAATTGTCAGATTCAAATGCACCAAAACGACAGCTTACTTTAGTGGCCATTGACAGTGGAGATAAGAAAGCAAAACCAGCTTCTGAATCTTTAGTAACCTCAAATATGGAAATGGAATATATACTCTGGGATCATTTAGAGGAACTTATTTGTCTCGTGCAGAAACTCCTTGCTGTAAGTTCTTGTGACTTTGTTACATTCATATATTCAAACACCTCAAATCTCAAACTTTTAATTTGGTGATGTTGCTATTTTCAAAATAAGTGAATAATTAGTATGCACATCCCTATTAGTTATAAATTGTAAAAACTAGGAGTTTCTATCAGCAGTTCATATATTCTTTTACCAAATATTTCCTTGTAGTTTTAGAAGCATATTTAGATATTTATGATTAGTCTTGGTTTCACTATTTCTGTATTATATGTAACTTGTTTCAAACATGAACGTTGTTACATTTTGTCACCTACTGCAGTGGAGCAGAAAAAGCCGATCTTTACATGCCAAAGGATTGGAGCAAGTGCTTCAGTGGTTACTGGAGATAAAAGGGCATTATCGCCACTTTGAAGTTGAGGCAGGTCCTCTACCCATTCTTTTATTAAATATCACGCCTCTAATGGTGTCTAATTTTTTATGGGTCATGGCTTCCTTGTTTGTAACATGAAAGACAGGTTCGAAGGTTATCAAAACTGGAGCATTGCTACTGTCTTCTTGTTGGAAGCATTATGGCATGCTAATGCACTTGGAAGATCAGAAATTTTCCCATCATTACAAAGAATTATTGGACCAATACTTAGCAGGCATACAGGTTATATTTTCTCAGCATTACAAACACCTAATTTCATTAATATAATCCAGGACTATATGAACGTGACTTTTAATTATTTTAAATTGCAAAATAATAAGAACTGTTGTTTGTTACGGTATATTTTTAAATTCTCATGCTGGGCCATGATTTCTTCCACTTTTGGGTGCGTCAACATCTCTCTTTTAATGTGAATTTTTATTTACTTTTACTTGATGCAATTGTTAACTTTCTGATAAGAAAAACATATGCAGCTTTATGCAGATAATTATGCAGGAGGGCATCCTGAGAATAAGGATGGTGGTGCGGAGACCAGAAAGTTTTTCCTAAATTGTTTTATGCCTTCTATTGGGGCGTTTTGACTGCAAGAAATTTGAGACCATAGTATCAGAATATGGGATGAGGATATCACATGCTCTTTTACCACAGGTAGTAATTCTTGCATCCAATCTTGATATAATACCCATAAGGATAACTAAGATTGATTCTTTAATACCCATAATATTAGAGTTGCCATTGGAAGCCCCTTTTTTTTTTTTTTTTGGTCATTTTACTAACATTACATTTTATTACATTATGAAGCTCCATTCTTCTGATGATGATGTGGTAGACGGGGTTGTTTGCATACTCAAAGCAGTCATTTTTAAGCCAAAATCATCTGGAAGCAGTCTCACTGACACTAGAGAGGTGGATGCTATGCTACCATTGCTGATTCACCTTCTAGATGAACGGGATGGCACAGCTAGAGCTGTTGTTATGCTTATAGCAGAATATTGTTTGATGTATTTTTCTTATTTACTTCTTTTTATCTTTTGGTGCTTGGAAGCGCAAATCAATTATGTTATCTCTCCGTTTGTTTTTGGGTACCTGATTGTCAATTTGGTATAAATGGTTCACCAGGAGCAAAGACAGTCATTGCTTTGAAGAAGTTCTGGAGCGCCTTACTTCTGGAAATGTTCAACAGAGGACGAATGCCCTTGATGTTATATCAGACCTCATTTGTATGTCGTCAGATTCAAAGGACAAACTTTCCCAGTTATCATGGTATGCAAAATGCTCCATCAGCTTTTATTATTTTGTCATATTATGGTGTTTTCACCATTCTGCCCTTCTTTATCTTTTCCCTATGATAATTGCAGGCAAGATATTGCAAACCATTTGCTTGAGCGACTTGAAGATGAAGAAATTGCAATTCGGAAACAAACATCCACTTTGCTTCCAATGATTGGTTCGTTTGGTGCATAATGGCATTTGGTGGCTTGTTTTTCTTCATGAATTATTATCTTTTTATTTTGATATATGGAATAGTTATAATATGATTAACAGTTTAAGGTAGATATTATTTATCATCCACTAAAATTCTTGGGTTGCAGATACATTTCAACACTTCAAATAAATAAATAAAATATAAGATTAGTTTGTGGGAAGAGGATGAGCCAAAAACTTAGCTGTTCCCTTTATATTTTAGTATGGATCTTTTTTTCCTCCTTCATCTTCTTTGAGTAAAAGTGATATCCACTCTAACTTCTTTAGCACTACCATTAGCAGTAAAGATTGACATTTTGATTTCAGTACTTTGCATTGATGAATTACACATACCTGTTCTTGCAGACCCTTCATTAGTTTTGCCTTCTTTAGTTCATCTAATTTACTCATCGGATGAAAGATTGCGATCAACTGCAAGTGATGCCTGTGTTGGGGTGCTCAAATATCATAGCCAGAATGCTGAAGTTATATGTATGCTGCTTGACTGTCTTAGGTATTTACCTTTTCATTTCATTGTTTTCTCCTCCTGTTCTCAAAGTTTAATTTGTTTATCTTGCTATGAATATGTCTGTTGAAAACTTTGTTTCTTTTTTTTGGGTTTGGGTTAGAGAAATGTCTATTGAGCTGAAGCTGCTAATTATGTATATATTCAACAGCAGAAAACAGTTTTCCCATTTATTATTTATTCTTGTTTGCAGCAACCTCAGCCAAAGCATAGATCTTCAGACCACTGCAGGGGTTGTAGGTATGTAACTGTTTTGATGTCACCACTTGCCAGATGACATCTTTTCCCTCTAATTGCATAACCAAATTTGTGTCTTTTATGTCTTATATCCACTGTTCTTTAATTATCTATATGATGATGTCTGGACTATAATGTTCAAATGACTTACAACAATAGAGCAAATTTTACTTGGGAGAATTAAACTGTAAAGATCTTAATTTTCTTCGGTTTCTTCATTTCTTTAAAGACCAAATGGAACAATGAGTATAGCAACTATAAATCTAACATAAATTCTGCATCTTTAGAACACGGTTCTTCTACATCATACACTGACAGAGTTTCTTTTGGATGCTTAATATTAAATGCTTTCATTTCCTTTATGCTTTTTTTTTCCCTGTGGATTTTAATGGACCAAAGATTTGGAAGTTCGTAATAGTAATGAGGTAGTTTTGAAGCGTAGTTTTGTTTTCCTCTTCCATTTTTGTGGTGAGCAACTGAGCATCAAGTATTCATAGTTAAAATTTCTAATTGATTAATTCTATTATTGCCAAATACTATTTCGAAATTGAGCTCTTCCATTTGCAACTTGCAGGATCGAAATTTGATAGTGATCGAGTGCTTAGGCTGATCCCAGAGTGGTCTAAAAGTGTAAGATTGATTTTACCACAATATGTTTTATATCTCTTTCATGCTTTTTAAATGAAACCTCAAATTTTGGTCGTTTCGTCATTTGTTTCGTACAAAGTTTCAGCTGGATGATCCTTTTGTTATCTATTGAATTATCTCAGGTTCAAAGCTGGGACGTCTTGATTGGACTGTTGATTGAGAAGATGTTTGCAGAGCCATCAAATGCAACAATTGTCAAGTTTTTGAGTTATATAAGTGAGCACTTGGCAGAAGCTGCTGATGCAGTCCTCTCTTGTGTTCTATTGCATGCTAAGCGACCGAAAGAGTAAGTACATTATGTTATATAGCATTTATCAAATATAAGGCTTGTATCCTTATTAATAGTTAGCCGTCTGCAGTTTATACTAGTACCTAGTGATTATACAGTGACTTCCTGTATCTTTCTCTTTACTTTTCAGCTTATTTGAAGACTTTTTTCAACTTTCTATGCTAAAGTTTTCTTCTTTAATTTGTTCTGTCTTTTCTCTCTTTCAGGACTGATGAAAACAGCTTTTCTGGAAGGGAGTGTCAAACCTATAGAAGTGATGACTCTGAAAAAATGCAGCAGACCCTTTTTGAACACCTTTGCCCACTACTCATAATTAGGATGCTTCCACTGAGAGTCTTTAATGACCTTAATTCATCCATAGTGTATGGACAACTTTTCAATCAAGGCATTTTTCACGGTATACTCTTTCTCCATCTCCATATTAAACAAGTTTACTGATTTGAAAACCTAAGAGGTATATGGTTTCTGGTGGGTGGGTGTGTGTGTGTTTGTGAGAGAGAGAGAGAGATCTGATCTGTCTCTCTACAAACAACTGAAAAGTATTTGACACGTGTTAGTCAGTAGTTAGTACAGATCTCTTACCACATTGTGAAATTCAGTTATGTAAAATCATAATTACTATTTTTCCAATAGCTGCATGATTTTTGTGAAACATCTATAAAAATTCTCTAGACGCACTTCTGGTTTTAACCAATTTCTGTTTAATTTCAGACTGTGGAGATATCAATGCCATCAGTGAGGATTGTGTTACCATTCTTCTTTTGAAAAGGTTAGTCCATCAATGTTAGAAAGATTCATTCATATGACTGGAATCTGACTTCTTCATTTTTTATTCTGGTTACATTTTTATTTCAGGACATTTTGTGAGTTTGAATTCAACGATGTACGGAAACTTGCTGCTGAGCTCTGTGGGCGTCTTCATCCCAAAGTATATAACAGTGACTTTTATTACCTACTCTTTATTATGACTGCATCTTCCATTACGTGTTCCAGGAAGACTGATTTGTGCCTTCATGGATATATATATTCTCAAATAAGGTTTTCAACTTGGTTATGTGATCATATGCATGTTAGCATCCATAAACAAACTATTCAGAGCTTTAAAATGTGAGGCCTCTGTGGATCGCAACTGCAGTTTCTGCTTGTTATGCCAGCATGCCTTTAACATTAAGTGAGCAAAGCATTTATCTCTGTGGAACTACACGAGTACACTTTTATGCTTTTCTTATCAGTTATGTAAGATTTTCTTTCAACTGGACTAGCAGCCGTTGGTCTAAAGCAGTGCCAATGCTACTATATCAGGATTCCAAATCTATCAATGTGTGGTACTAACTAGCAAATAAATATGTGACCGAAATTTGTTTTAAAAATGTATTGGCACTATTGCATGTCTATCCACCTGCCTACTTCTCTGTTAACTTTCACACTGACCATTAAAGAAGCTCATTGTTGTTTCTTGTAATTAGTCAGTATGGTTATTTATATCATTTCGACTCTAAAATAAGTTGGGTTATGAACATATAGATTGGATGTGCCAACTTATAGCGTTAGCTAAGATCCATTTGGGAATCCATCTGCTTTTCAGAAAGAATTCTCTGATTTTGGATCCTTGGAAATTTCGTTTATTGGTCTGTTAGTTTTGTACTGTCAATTGGGTTTCATCCATTTTCAATGCTCAAGAATGATTCCAGAATGTTTGCTCATCAGCTTGCATTTCATTTTTCCATAAAGGATATCAACTATACCCACGCATCTTATTTGTGGTAGCAATTACAAATTAAAATCTACCTCCAATGTGATTGTGGAAGTTAAGAAGTCGAATTCATATATCCATATGAAACGTTTTATATCAAGAAGATGAACCAGTTTGTACTTCGGTATTGGGTTATTGCTTTCTAATTTCTTGTTGATTGTGCTTCTGTATGTGTTGTACTGGATAAAATACCTATATTTTAATATGTACCTGCCATTTCATATTGTAGGTGCTAATTCCAGTTGTCAGCTCCCAGCTAGAAATTGCTACAGGTTCTCAGGATATACTAAAGATTAAAGCTTGTCTGTTTTCAGTTTGCACTTCCCTTGTGGTAATTATTTTTTATGGTGAATATCTTGGCAGAGTTTTGTGCTTTATTCTTCTGCCACAACCTCAGGCATCTTTTGTTTTATTTGCATTGATCTAATGTTGAGGTTCCTGTCATGGATAGGTCAGAGGCAGGGAATCACTTTCTCATCCTTTAATGCTCAAAATCAGAAAAACATTGGAGACAATGCTTTTATGGCCTTCTGTTGATGGGGATGAAGGTGTGTGATAAGTACAGTTTCTCAAACACGTATCCATTTTGTTTCTATTGGTTAAGTTTGATGCTGATAGGTTTCTATCCCCTCAGTATCTAAAGCACAGCATGGGTGCATTGATTCCCTGGCACTGATGATATGTGCTGAGCTGCAAGATCCAGAATCATTTAGCATTGTTGGGGAGAAAGGTGATCTTGGTTATTGCATTATCCTAAGTATGAACTTAAATTTCGTAGGGCACATGTGACTTTTATGATCCATAATGCAGGTGATGCTTCATCAGGAAACTCCGTCCTCACCTATGTGATCAATAAACTTATACAAGATAACCACCAACCTGTTTTATCATCCAACTTGGATGATGTGAAATGCTCGTCTGAGGTGCCAGTTACACTCTCATTTTATATGTGCATGGCTAATGTTCTCATCAGTGCTTGCCAAAAGATATTGGACTCAGGAAAAAAGCCTTTTGTTCGAAAAACTCTTCCATGTCTCATCCATTCTGTTAAGGTATTTTGATTATTTATTTCACTATCAGTAGATTATCATGTTATCGAAATCTATTGTGGCTCATAAAGTCATGCTTTGTCTCACTTCATTCTTAAATGTGGAGTCAAATACCTGCAGGTCATGACGAACTCAGAGATAAGAGCTGCATGCATTCAGGTTCTCTTTTCATCTGTGTACCATCTGAAATCTACAGTTCTTCCTTACTCAGCTGATCTTCTTGAAGTCTCATTAAAAGCTCTTAGAAAAGGATCAGAGAAGGTATTGAGCACAGTTTTGATATAGTAGTTACTGTCTCTATGCCTTGGCATTCACAAACACCCAATTTGTGAACTGATGGCCTTTATTGTTCTTCAGGAAAGGATGGCAGGTGCAAAGCTATTGGGGTCTCTTATGGCTAGTGATGATGCAATCTTGGAAACTATATCAGGAAGATTAGTAGAAGCAAGATCCGTACTGTCAAGTATATCTTCGACAGATCCTTCAATTGAGCTACGGCAAGTCTGCGGAAAGTTGCTAGCATGCCTAATCTCTTGAGATGGTGCCTAGCAGAGTACAGCATAAGTTTATCTGCTTCATTTTTCATTTTGGGTGATGTACAGATGTATAGTTACTTTTTCTGTATTTAAATTGACAAGTTTTCGTGATGATAGTTGTATAAATGTGCAAATAGGTTGCAAATCAAAAGTAGTATGGTTTTTAGGACTTCAGTTCATTAGAAATTTCAAGTATATTACGAAGGAGAATTAGCATGGTTTCAAAAGACATTTGCATCAGCACGAAATTTGGAATCTCTTATTGCGATGGTTATCTATGACTGCTAATTCAAATAATCTTCTAGAAAATTAAGGATTACTCATTGTCTTTAAGATTTTAGTAATTAAGGTTCAAAATGTGTTTAGCTTTTGGATTTCTAATGAACCACTAGATTAGAAGTCAAGCATAGCCAAAACAAGAGACGGCTGTTGGCAGTTTGAGTAGACAATAAGAAATAATACCGAAATCCATCTCTTCTCAACGGATGAAAGGTATAAAACCACTCAACAAAAGTTATGAAAAGTTTTAAAAAGTTCAGTGTTGGTTTAGGCCACAACACTTAGAAAAAATCAAAGAATTTAGCTCCAGAATTTGGATCTAAGAAAATTGTGTTCCTAGATTTCCCACTCAGCTAAACACATTTGAATTACATATATCAGGATCCAGAAACTTCAGATAATTAGCACAAAGAATCTTCCGGTAATTGCAATTTATTATTCGTTTAACATTCTTTAATCCTGTTTAGCTGATAATAGAAATCAAAGCAATAAAGATTCCCTCCAAAAAGATATTCCCATATCGATCAAAAGAGAAAATATATTCCCACTAATGAGATCAGCCCAGGTAGCAGATGCTACCTGCTATCAAATAATGTGTAAACTACAAACATGACCCACATTATTCTCTCAACTTCAAATTGTTGCCAACTTGCTATCCTAGCAATGCATGCATTCCAACAAGTAATGTTACTGAAACAAAATTCTCCCAACATCTAAACAGAGCATAGAATTCATGTGGCCCCATTGGGTGGAGAATGCGTTGCATCAAGTTCATAAACTTGAAAAATTACTTCCATCCCAAAAAACAAATCTCCCAATATAGAAGGGAATTCCTCCGGCACCAGAAGCTCCGTATTACTTCTGGTAGTTTGAACATCATCTGGAATCTAAAGGAAAGAAATATTGTGATGATTATTTGTAAATGAGTGCATCACGACCAGGCCCCACACCAATGTAATGGATGGGTACGCCGACAAGTTCTTCTATCCTTTCCACATACTGGCGTGCTGCCTTTGGAAGGTCAGAATAGTTTCTGACTGAAGATATATCAGACTTCCATCCAGGCAATACTTCATATTCCACCTAAACATAGAAAAAAAAATAGCATCAACAAGAGTGTGTTTTCCAAGATATAAAAAAATAGCCACCAAAACTTAGAAAAACAATAGCATCAACTAGAGTTAACACAAAGTTTTTCTTTTAAGATATCAAATATAACGAGAGATTTGATTACTAAGAAAAAATTAGTATAAATTATCCAACTGAAAATTTAGCAAAACTATAAACAGCATATCCAAATAGAAGGGAGAGGAGAGAACATGCCTTTAACTGCTCAAGATCACGAAGGTCTGCAGGGAATGATCTGATTGGTGTACCATCAGTTTTTTTGTAGGCAACACCCAACTGAATTTCAGGAAGATCCGACAAAACATCAAGTTTGGTGAGATTGAGAGAAGAAAAACCATTAATCTGACAGCAGTATCTCAATGCTGCTATATCAAGCCAACCACAACGACGAGGGCGGCCAGTAGTTGTGCCAAACTCCTGACCAGCAAACCTAAGGAGGTCACCCCCATTACCCAAGATTTCTGTGGGAAAAGGACCAGAACCAACTCTTGTAGTGTATGCTTTCACCTGCAGAGACGAAGTTCAAGTTAGCAACATTACTTCACCATCTCAATTGACCTTTGTACTAACTGCAAGAATACATGTCATGACCAATACTGCCATATGGTGTTCTGTCTCCTTTGAAGACATTTCAACCAGACAACTCCTAGATACATATTCCATTAGTAAAGCCAAAATTATATGCAAGGAGAAAGCATAGCAAGAAACAAATAATATAAAAGACCTGTTTGAAAAAATAGATTTAGTTGGAGATACTGTTTGTTCATGTAATTGATCTCTCCAATCCCATTTCATTGAGGCAAGGCAAGGATGACAATGATGACATCAGTCGAATGAAAATCAATTCAGCAACTACAAGAGTAACATTCTACTTACCACTCCAACCAGATCACCTAGAACTCTGGGAGCAATGCCAAGGCCAGTGCAAATCCCACCGGCTGAAGGACTAGAGGATGTTACAAAGGGGTAAGTTCCAAAGTCAATATCCAACATTGTTGCCTGGCCCCCTTCGACCAAAATCTTTTTCTTCTCAGAGATAGCTTCATTCACGACAAGCACAGTATCGGCAATGAAGGGTTCCAATCTCTCAGCAAATCGCTTGTACTTTTCAACTTCTTCTTTGAGCACATAGGGCCCATAGTCAAAACCTCGGAATCTTGCTGCAGCATCTGATAATAGAAGATCTAGCTTTTGAGGAAATGTATCCATGTACCTCAAGTCGCTAACTCGAATACCATTTCGGATAACCTTGTTAGAATAACAAGGTCCAATACCTCTCTTGGTAGTGCCAATGAAAGATTTAGCAAGCTCGGATTCTTGAAGCCCATCCACTACTTGGTGGAAATCAAATAAGAGGTGCGCACGATCAGAGACCAAAATCCTTCCCTTGCAAGAGACTCCATTAGATTCGAGGCCATCAATCTCCTTAAAGAGCCCTGGAAGATGCACCACAACTCCATTCCCAATAACACAAAGAGTCTCTTCATTAAGGATACCTGAGGGAACAAGGTGAAGTGCAAACTTCTTTCCCTCTGCATTGTAAATGGTATGTCCAGCATTTGCTCCACCCTAAAAAGATACAAGAATTAATCAGGAAATTACAAAATTTGGTTATAGACGTGAGAGTTTTCTATTACCTGACAACGAGCAACAATGTTAAAGTGTTGGGCCAAGATGTCGACGAGTTTGCCTTTTCCTTCATCTCCCCACTGGCAGCCCAACACACCCGAGACCTGGGTTAGCGACTCAATTCGACTTAACCCCTGGTTAGGGGACCCAAACACACTTAGAGGTGAGGGAGTGGCAATTGAGGGCTTCACTGAGCATACGACAACATTTCTAGGGCCCTGAAGGTGAATGGGCCCGTGGAGGTAAGGACCAAATGAGCGAGGCATAGAGAGCGGATTGGAGTCGAGAGTTGTGAAGGACAAGAGGTTGTTCATGGTGAACTGCTGAATGAGAAAGAAAATGTTTAATCAATGACCATTCAAACTTAGAAGACTGTTTTTGAGCAATTGGAGAAAACACCCATACCATAAAACCAAAAATGCTAACTACCATTATTAGGCCGAGAATAGATCAGTAGAACACAAGAAGTACATATATTGCTCTAAACAAGAAGAAAACATAAAAAAATTGCAATCCCCTATCTTTTTGTTGGGGGTGAGAGAAGACTTAACATTTAGTATGATAAACAGTTAACAATACAACATTCAATTTGCATTATGAATCGTTACAGTTAGCCAGACTAGTAAATTTACCAAGACCAGAATTACAACAACAACAACAAAGAGGACAGCAAGAATGAAACAAAAAGCAAAATTTTCATACTCAGAGTACAAAACTCATTTTGTTATACACAAACTACATTTTAGTAAGCAACCAACTCATCAATCATGACTTAACATTTTGCTAATTAATTCTAAAAACTTCGCACTAACGAACAGAGCTGAGTGGGCCAAAGTTGGCTGGTTAGTTTGTTTTACAACAAAAATTTCTGCAATTATTAGTCATGCCAATGAATCTCTCAATCGAATAGATAAACCCTAAACATCACTACTGCAAATACATGAGCAATAATAAATTAACACTAAACTTTCAGCAGAGAAATTAGAAGATTAGACAATGAAAAGGAAGTACCTTTTGGCCCTTTGAGCACTGAGTTGAGCAAACCCCTCCTAAACCCAAACTTGGACTGTGAGAGGACTGTGTGAAAAACAAGAGGGTTAGAAGAAAAGCGAAGGCAGGAGGAAGAGGAAGGAGGAGAATAAGGAAGCAATGAAGAAAAACTAGGGGTAGCAGGAGCGAAGAACCAAAAGGGTGGCTGCTGCATGCTATGTGCTCTCTGCGTAAATGGTAAGTTTGGGGGGTAATTTGACAGAAAAGGACAACTTTCTCCTCTCAATTTCTTTTTCTTTTTCGACACGAATAAGATCCATTGTACACGAATGTAATAAGAAAATAATAATAATGGCTGTTGTAAAAGTAAAGAATATGGAAATATTTGGGAGAATTGAGATTGTGTTTTTCCATTCTGATTAAGCTCTTAATTTTTAAAAATATATATCAATTGTGACAAAAATTAAACAAATTTATCTCTTTCCATCTCCTCCTCTTTCACCTTCCTAAAGCAAAAACTCGATGCAGGGATATCTTGTTCATCAAATTGCGATTGTGGGCATTTCCCAAATTTGGGCCCGTCTGAATCCTTTGTTGGAGATGGTTTCGGGCTATATTTCACCCAAATTTGGGTTTGGCACCCAGGCCTCCCAGAGATGATCTTAGTATTAAATCAATAATGCTACGGGCACCAACTTGTTTACCAAATTTTGGATACCAACACATGTGGCACATGACATGGCAACCCATGTCATCTGCCACCTCATCTATTTTAATTACATAATTTATTATATAAATAAAAGAATTTAATTATTTTTTATATTTAACTATTTTTGTTTTCGGTGAGAAATTCTTTTATTTATATAATAAATTATGTAATTAAAATAGATGAGATGGCAAATGACATGGGTTGCCATTTCATGTGCCACATGTGTTGGTATCCAAAAGTTGGTAAACAAGTTGGTGCCCGTAGCGTTATTGGTATTAAATTTGGGTTTCGGTTCTCAAAATAAAAATAATTAAAATTTGAGTTTCGAAACTCGAATACATTCGTCCGTCCGTGTCAATGAGTTCCAATGACGAAAATACCCATCTTTGGTAGCCGAAATGTCAAAATATTCCAAATGTGACCTAATCAACCCTAATCTTTTGTCAGAATACCATCAGAGTTCTCGCCCTTTCTCTCTCCTCTCTCTGATGTCGAAATCCCCACTGCCTCGATCTTGCTCTGTCAAGCTTTGATCTTTGATTTCCTGGTTCTGCTTTCAAACGTCAGTTATGCGAACTTCATTCTTTCGTTAACATGTATGTATATATTTGTATGTATGAGGGGTGAATGAATTGCTCTGTTTTCTATTTGATTCTGACCTTAGAAAATACGAGTTGCAGATCTTAGCTGCAAACCCAAAATATGGTTTGAATGTATAAATATACTTTATTTTTGCTGTATTTTTTATTTTTATAAATTGGGTATGGCATATTTGTTGTGATGATAATTGGATTTTATCTTAATTACAGAGCCTATTTGTTTGAAATTTCGTTTATTTTTTTACCGACAATGGAAAAATCTTTCAACTTGTACGGTATTTTGAAGCCAAATGATCAGCCAACGTGCCCCAGTTAGTACAGCTGGTTAGTATGAAATTTTTAGAATTAATGAGCGTCATTTGTGCACTTAACTAAAGAGAGAGAATTGTTGAAATATATGAGCACATTTTGTTATATAATTGTTGTCAATCCATTGATATGAATCATATAGAGAGCATCGTAGACATTCGAGTCTTTTTTGTTTTTAAGGATGAAAACAATGATTTCAATTGTATGATTTTAAATATGATTGCTTGGCTTCTTGTAGGCTTTTTGCGATGAGAATGTCCCTCAGGGAGTTTCCAGTCAGATGCAACAAAATGACAGTCGTATTCTTCATCTCTTTTTTCGCTTCCCAGGAAGCTAAACATTGGAATAGTTGACGATTGCGTTGAAGGAAATTTCAACAAGCTGATTAGATTGTCAGCTTTTGATTGTTTTTGTTTGCCACATGGAGGGCCAGACGTTTGTTGTTGGTCAAGAGTTCCCTGATGTCAAGGCCTTCAGGAATGCAATTAAAGAAGCTGCAATTGCTCAACACTTCGAGCTTCGTATCATAAAAAGTGACCTTATCCGCTACTTTGCGAAGTGTGCAACAGATGGATGTCCATGGCGCATCCGTGCTGTGAAGCTTCCTAATGCCCCAACCTTTACAATAAGAAGCCTTGAGGGGACACACACTTGTGGTAGAAATGCACACAATGGGCACCACCAGGCTTCCGTTGATTGGATTGTCAGTTTTATAGAAGAACGTCTGCGGGATAACATTAATTACAAACCAAAGGATATATTGCATGATATCCATAAGCAATATGGGATAACTATACCGTATAAGCAAGCTTGGCGTGCTAAGGAACGAGGACTTGCTGCGATTTATGGCTCTTCTGAGGAAGGATATTGCCTTCTTCCGTCATATTGTGAGCAAATAAAGAAGACCAACCCTGGAAGCATTGCAGAGGTGTTTACCACTGGTGTGGATCATCGGTTCCAGCGGTTGTTTGTGTCCTTTTATGCGTCCATTTGTGGTTTTTTGAATGGTTGCTTGCCCATCATTGGGCTCGGTGGAATCCAGCTTAAAAGCAAATATCTTGGTACCTTACTCTCTGCAACTTCTTTTGATGCTGATGGTGGGTTATTTCCGCTAGCATTTGGTGTTGTTGATGTAGAAACTGATGAGAGCTGGATGTGGTTCTTGTCAGAGTTGCATAAGGCGCTGCAGATGAACACTGAGAATATGCCGGAGCTCACATTTTTATCTGATGGGCACAAGGGCATTGCAGATGCAGTAAGAAGAAAATTCCCCAATTCATTACATGCTTTTTGCATGCGCCACTTGAGTGAAAGTATTGGAAAAGAGTTTAAGAACTCTAGACTTGTTCATCTTCTATGGAATGCTGCATATGCCACTACCATGTTTGGCTTTAAAGAAAAAATGGCTGAAATAGAGGAGGTATCTCCGGAGGCTGCAAAATGGCTACAACAATTCCATCCTTCCCTCTGGGCATTAGTGTATTTTGAAGGAACACGTTATGGTCATCTCTCATCAAATATTGAGGAGTTCAATACGTGGATTCTCGAAGCTCGTGAGCTGCCCATAATCCAGGTGATTGCGACGATTCATATTAGATTGATGGCTGAGTTTGAAGAACGGCGTTTTAAGAGTAATTCTTGGTTTTCTGTACTTGCTCCATCCGCTGAGAAGCATATTTTAGAAGCCATCGGCCATGCATCCACATATCAGGTCCTTCGTTCTGATCAAGTAGAATTTGAGGTTCTCTCAGCTGACCGATCAGACATTGTGAATATTGGTACCCGTTGTTGTTCCTGCCGTGATTGGCAGCTATATGGGATACCATGTTCCCATGCTGTGGCTGCCTTCATCTCCTGTCGAAAAGATGTATACGCCTTTACAGAGAAATGTTTTACTGTTGCAAGTTACCGTGAGGCATATGCTGAACAGATATACCCTATCCCTGGAAAAGTTGAATGGAGAAAGGCAGATGAGGCTTGTGTGGATGATGATACTCGAGTTGTGCGACCTCCTAAGTTTCGTAGACCACCAGGACGCCCAGAAAAGAAACGAATTTGTGTAGAGGACCTGAATCGTGAGAAACATACTGTGCATTGTAGTCGGTGTAACCAAACTGGACATTACAAGACAACTTGCAAAGCAGAGACTTGCAAAGCAGAGATTATGGATAGTATCGAACAGTTCTAGGTGTCTAATTTTGTATTCTAGAGATCACCTCCTGAACGTTTACTATATTTATATTACCCTAGTGTAGAATAGTTTCCTGTAATTATGCCATACTAGTTATTCAGATCATGTAAAGTAGGTTTTGTCCATTGTACTATTATACGTACGTGTAATTGGAAGGACTTCTGAAAATGGAGATGTTTCTTGCTATAATGAAGTGTTAAAAACCGGCGTATTTTTATCCCCTTGTCAGTGTGATTCTCAGTTTGGAATTTAGCCTTTGCGGTTTTTTCCTGCAGCTGTGTTTTCTAAAAGTACAAAAAAATACCCATTTTGGAGTGCTAGATCTTGATTTGCAGGAGAGGAAGTATCTGCCCTTTATTTTGAAAAAACAACTCGGCAACCAAAATAAGTTAGAAATCAAGTTTCTGATCTTAATGCAAGCATTACATCAGTAAAGTGTAACATGTACACGCTGCTGATTAAATCGAATTCTGCAATAACATCTAAATAATGACGTGCAACTTTCAGAAGTTCACTAGTGCACACAACATAGAACAGAAATGAAGGCAGATGTCGAGATCTCCGATTCAAATAGAAGGCTGCGGATACCACTCTAGAGTCACTTCACTTGTATAATTGCTTGAATCTTTCAGAGGCTTCTAAAACATTTCTCCTGTGACCAAAGGCACTAACCCTGATGAAACCTTCACCACCAGGTCCAAAACCAATCCCAGGTATGGTAACCACATGAATCTTCTCAAGAATCTCATTGAATACATCCCATGAGCTTCGGCCCGGGAAGTGAATCCACACATATGGTGCATTCTTTCCTCCATACACCTTAAAGCCAAGAGACTCAATTGTGTCCACTATTATTCTAGTATTTTCTTTGTAGAAACTAATCACATCATGCATAGCCTACAAGGAGTTGAAATCAAACAAATGTAAGCCAAGCTTGTAACAAGTTAACAACACATGCAGGTGGGTTTCAAGTATGAAACTTCAGAATCAATCGAGATACAGAAGAACGGACCTTAATGCCTTCCGGTGAAAGGCAAGCCAGACCACCAGCTTGGGCAATGTTTGATGCACCACTGAAGCAAGTGCATACAATGCGGTTGAAGTCCTTGGCGACAGGAAATCCATCTGAAAAGAGCAACTGCTTTGGGACCGCCGTCCACCCCAGACGAACTCCAGTGAATCCAGCATACTTACTGAATGATGATGTCTCAATTGCAACCTGCAATGTTGATACAGAAACATAAAACATACGAGTTAGATGTGGTATGCTCCTATATATTAGGCTTCTTATCCACCACAATGCATATAAATCCTCCAATTTATTATCCATTCCATACATAAATCTTCAACAAAACTATGAATCAAGAACCTTGCAAACAAATTATCGATTGCAGACTTGCCTCTTTGGCTCCCGGGATTTCGAAGATTGAGCGAGGATTGTCATCTGACATATACATGGCATATGCAGAATCATAGACTATGATTGAACCATTATCCTTAGCAAACTGTACTAGTTGTGTCAGTTGCTCTCTGGTTGCAGCCAAACCAGTAGGGTTGTTTGGTGAGCAGAAAAATATGATATCTGTTCGAGCAACATTGAGTAAATCAGGAAAAAATCCATTCTCAGGAGTGCAGGTCATGTACTCAATATTTCCAAACTTTTCAACATCTTTCTGATATTGTGCAGTCTGGCCCATAACAACACTCGATTGCACATAAGCCTGCAGATAAAGAAGAAAAAAAGGAAAATCATCCCAAGTTTTAAGCAATGAGAGAGAGAGAGAGAGAGAGAGGCAATATAAAAGGCAAGTAAAGATCAAAAGCAAATTACCGGATAAGATGGACTTTGCACTGCCATTGTAACATTAGACCCGAAAACAAGCTATCACAATGTAAAAACAAGGCAGAGACAATTTAAATACAGTTTATAGTTCTGAATCAATCAAGACAATTATCATGAAAAACAAAAAAATATCAACAGATTAACAAAAATATGAAAACCTGAAGGCGGGAAATGTCACATTTGGCACCATCAGAAACAAATATGTCATCTTCCTCTATGCCAAGGTTGTCATAAAATGTTGAAGCAATTGCAGCTCTCAATGGCTGTATAGATAACAATATGTTTTAACTCTTCACAATTTCTTGAATAAGGAATGTCAATACAGAAAACAAAGGCATGACTATTTGCTACATGTTTTGCCCCTAACAGCTAATCAGATATTGAGAAGGCCAAATACCTTTTCACCTTGCGCAGGTCCATAACCACTGTAACCCTCTAGGGTGGACAAAGCTTGTGATCTCTGCCAAATTAGAAACAATTTAAAGATGGATCAGCAAGACAGGACAACTCACAAACCACAATTACTACAAATTCTCTTTTCAAAAGGTAAGATACATTATAATGCATGTGTTACAGTATGTACAAGTTCTGGACATAAAAATGCACAGCATAGTCCAAATTCACAGTCTGGCAAGAGAACATTTCCGAATATCACGGTTTCTATGTCAAAAGGTACATCGATTAAACACGAAAGCAAAGAAGGCTGCCTTTTCCATTGCAGAGGTTATAACTTCTGGAATGGGCTCAGTGGTGTCACCATGCCCAAGGCTAATCACTTGTGCATCAGGGTACTTCTGCAAGTGTGCATCCCTTCTTCTAGCAATCTAAAACAACATAAACCAAACTCAAAAACTTTACAAGTAAGCGTCTTTAACCCTCAAGTAAATTTTAATGAGTTAATTATGATTTAGTTGAACAAGTAAATTAAAAGGTTGTGCAAAATGCCATATTTGAGAGACACAAACTGAGCAACTTAACATGAAGGCCAACTATAGAGCAAGCGAAGGACATTGCAGACCTCTGAAAAAATATACGCGGCTTGAAATTTGGCCATGTTTGCATTGCGAGCCACCTGGGTCTTGTATGCTTTACATTGAAAAAATGTATATGAATCAGATTTTGTTTTTTCAAAGAAAGATTTATAAGTTCATCCAAAAAAAATAAGTTAAAAGCAAGAAACCAGTCTTCTCTTTTTGCTTGAAGGGAGACATTCTGAGCTCGGAAAAACAGTTGATAATGTAAGCTGGGAGAGTGAAAGGTGTTTGGTTGCTAAGAAAATGGACCAGCCTTTCTTCTGTCCACAACCAACCTCTCGGAAGTCTTTAGAATGACGCACCAACATTTTGTAAGCACATATAGCCACTAATAAGTTGGTTGCCTAGTGTAGTAAATGTAGCTTCCTAGTTTTCTCAAATATGCATCTTTGCTTCTTGTTTTTTCTTTCATTCATGTTCCTCCCTTATTCATATAATATCAACATTTGTTTGACCCACTAACGTTGTCCCACTTGGTGCCCTTTTTAGACACGACATAAATGTTTTGCCGACATTAGGTATATGGCATTTATTATGAATAATTTGAATTGTGTTGAGTGCAATATAAAAAGTATCTGTTGAATATACCAAAGGGGTTTGGTCTAGCGGATACTGGCTAGTTCCTGCAGTTGGGCGAAGGAAGTTCAAAATCCAGCATGTGAACAACACCCCCCCGCAGTTGGGGGAACGAAGTTCAAAATCCAGCATGTGAAAAACACCCCCCCGCAGTTGGGGGAACGATGTTCAAAATCCAGCATGTGAAAAACACCCCCTTAGGAGAGCTTTACCGTAGACAGTCCCAGCTTGGAGTGGTAGCACACTTTGGTTCACCAAAGAAAAAAAGTATCTGTTGAATAATGTATGTTTTTGTTATGTGGTGTTTAATTAGGATTTTTAAAGATTCTAGGTAAGGGAGTGTTTACACTACTAATAGGACCGAGACCTTTTGCTATAAATATAATTGAGTGTTTCCACTACTAATTGCATCCATAAATTGTTTTCAAGTTAAGTTTAAAATACTTTCCATTCTTTTTCCTGATGAAGTTAGTAGGGGCAACATTTAAATGAAGCAAAACTGATGGGATGAACATGCTGAAATGCCAATTTGGCTGCCAAGAGAACGGAAACAAAACCAGAAACTTTTATATCAGCTTCTAGGTTCTAGCCTTCTACAGCTCTGAAATCAAGGACCCAAAAAGGGAACGTGGCCAGTACCCCCCTTAAAAAAAAAAAAAAAAAAAAAAAAAAAAAAAAAAAAAAAAAAAAAAAAAGGTGCGTCTGGACTGCATGATCTCGACGGATTTGCAGGCTACGAATTACTGCAACTTTATTTAGATAACTTTTAGGCAACATAACAATTAGAAATCAAGCTTCTAATCTTAATAGAAACTTTACAGCAGCCAAGTGTAGCATCTAAAAATTCAATCATTTTCTGCGACAGCCAAAATGATTTGCATTTCTAAAAATAGAATCCACAAACCAATACGACAAGGAACTTGCTGAAACTAGCGCACAACTGACAAACATAAGGCGTGGAGGCAAATGTTGATCATCTTTGGTTCAGATACGAGGCTGCAGATACTAATCTACAAGTCTGATACTCTCGTTCACTTGTACAATTGCTTGAATCTTTTACAGGCTTCTAATACATTAGTCCTGTGACCAAAGGCGCTAACCCTGACGAAACCTTCACCACCAGGTCCAAAACCACTCCCCGGTGTGGTAACCACATGAGTCTTCTCAAGAATCTCACTGAATACATCCCATGAACTTCGGCCAGGGAAGTGGACCCACACATATGGTGCATTCTTCCCTCCATAAACCTTAAAGCCTAGAGACTCAAATGTCTCCACTATTATATTAGTATTTTCTTTGTAGAAGCCAATCACCTCATGCATTGCCTACAATGAGATGAAATCAAATAAATGTAATAAAAGCTTGTAACAACACATGCAGGTGGACTTTTAGCTTGAAAATTCAGCAATCAATCAAGAGACATTAGAACGGACCTTAAGACCTTCTGGTGAAAGGCAAGCAAGACCACCAGCTTGGGAAATATTTGATGCACCATTAAAGCAAGTACAAACGATGCGGTTGAAGTCCTTGGCAACAGGAAATCCATCTGAAAAGAGCAACTGCTTTGGGACAACAGTCCACCCCAAACGAACTCCGGTGAATCCAGCATACTTACTGAATGATGATGTCTCAATTGCAACCTGCAATGTCCATACAGAAACATAGAACATAAATGTTAGCTCTTGTATATTCACAGCGATAGGAGTGCAACGGGGTTCTCATGAAAGGTGAAATGGCAACCCAAGGAAAATTCAAAATTTACAATGCATATATGCTTGTGCCAGCCAATCTGGGCCAAGTCTGAAGGGTTTTTATAGTGTAGATGAACTTTGAGAACCCAAACTGTGTGAATAGAATTATTCTCTAACAAACCTTTAATAGAGACAGCCAGCAGGTAAAGATAAAGGTTTCAAGAAAACAAAGAATCAAGAGCCTTGCCAAGATACAAGTTAAAGTTATAGATTGCGGACTTACCTCTTTGGCTCCAGGGATTTCAAAGATTGAGCGTGGATTGTCATCTGACATATACATGGCATATGCAGAATCATAGACTATGATTGACCCATTATCTTTTGCAAACTGCACCAGTTGTGTCAGCTGCTCCCTCGTTGCAGCAGAACCAGTAGGGTTGTTTGGTGAGCAGAAAAATATGATATCTGTTCGAGCAACAGTGCGTAAATCAGGGAAAAATCCATTCTCAGGAGTACACCTCATGTACTCAATATTTCCGAACTTTTCCACAGCTTTCTGATACTCTCCAGTTTGGCCCATAATAACACTTGAATCTACATAAGCCTGCGGATAAGAAAATAGCTTTACACTTGAGTCTACATTTGAAAAGATGGCACACCACCATTAACTCAACAAGATGGTCCTTTTTTTTTCCCCAATCTTTGTTGCTTTATTTATTTTTCCAAAAATCTTCAATCAGAATGTAATCCTGTGCATTTCTAAACATTCCTTTTTATAGCAAAAAACCCTACCTAATATAGCAACAACAACAAAATCCTGCCAAAGGTAACAATTATCATGAGAGAAATGAGACATGACATAAAAGGCAACTACATAATAAAAACAAAGATTACCGGATAAGATGGATCTTGAACTGCCATTGTAACATTAGACCCAAAAACAACCTGCCACAAAGTAAAAACAAGCAAACCCAATATAAGTACGGTTATAGTTATGAATCAATTGTGTCAATTAACACGAAAAGCAAAAAATCACAATTGATACAAAAAAAGTAATAAATAAAAAACCTGAAGGCGGGATATGTCACATTTTGCACCATCAGAAACAAAGATGTCATCTTCCTCTATGTCAAGGTTGTCATAAAAGGTCGAAGCAATTGCAGCTCTCAATGGCTGAACAGATTAACAATATGTTTTATTCTTCATTATCACTAAAAATATTTCATCTTAGTCATCTAAAACCTCAAAGAAACTGGTGAAAATTGAAAGGTACAAATCAAGAACTAGCACTTGATTTTGAACAAGAAAAAAGATGGTAGAAAGTGAAAGGATATATTTGCATTGCATAAAATAACTTAAAGCTCATCAACTTCGTCCCTGAAAATAGCTGACCCCCTTACCTTTTCACCTTGTTCAGCTCCGTAACCACTGTAACCCTCTAGGGTAGACAACGCATGTGATCTCTGAAAATTGGAAACAACTTAAAGATGGATTAGAAAGACATGACAATTGACGAACGATTATATACTACACATTCTCCTTTGATAAGGTAATAAACATATAATGCGTGGGTTAGAATGTGTGATGCTCAGAATGCATGGATTATTTACCACAAAAATAAGTACTTTTGCTTCTCAATAAATTTAAATTTAAAAAAAATATATATATATATTTTTGGGTTGGATAAAGAACCTATATATTTTAAGGATACATATTTTTACAAGATAATCCACTGGATGTGGTCTGAAAATAATTTCCAATCACTAGATTAATTTACTCGGTTTTCCCTGATCAAAGGGTTGGCTACTTGACTGTCTCAACAATTCCAACTCAACCAAAAACAAGCTCATAATTTAAGTTTACATCTGACGATGAACTTGGCTTAGTTGGCTAGCAGAACCAAAAATAAATTAATCATAAAATAACAAGAGGTCAAGAATTTAACAAGAAAAAGGGTCTCAAGTAAAGGCAACCCATGCTTATTGATTTTACTACTTTCACATTGACATTCAGGCCGGTTAGGTTGATGTCAATTGCCCTCAAAGAAACACCAGTAAACAGGCAAGTTTTACATAAAAATAGGAACAGATGGGAAACAGAAACAAAGCAACATCACCAACCATTTAAGGAGGATACTTTCATATGTGGTTGTCCTGTTGTGGTAATTGAAAGGAGCAAGTTGGTTATATTTGGTTCGCTTCACTCCTTGATTTGCATATGAATAATTTTACACATTACAAACAAGTGTGCTTATACATACAATCAACAAAAGAAAAAAAATGCCTTTTTCATTTGAACCAATCGTGGCTGGGATACCACAATAATAAACGTGACAAAAAAGGTCCATTCCTGTTGGGTAGTAACAGAATCGATTAAAGAGGAAGGCAAAGACGTACCTTTGCCATTGCAGAGGTTATAACTTCTGGAATGGGCTCAGTAGTGTCACCAATCCCAAGGCTAATCACTTGTGCATCAGGGTACTTTTGCAAGTGTGCAGCCCTTCTTCTAGCAATCTGTATAATATATTGAAAAGTAAAATCACAAATCAAACCAAAAACAGAAATTGATATATGAATACAGTACAGCAGTAAATAAATATATATATATACCACACAAAGCAAACCCCAAAGCTTTAACATTTAGCCTAGAGTAAAATTTAAAGAGTAATCTTTCTTACTTATTTATAAACCAACTTTTTATCTGGGATTATATTAGAGATGTAGATAGATAGCTCGACATGAGCATAGTTGAAGAAGTAAATCAAAATGGTATGCCACCTTTGAGAGACCCAACTGAGCAACTTAACACTATGCCCAAAAACATCAAGTGAAAGACATCACAAACCTCTGGAAAGAGATACCCAGCTTGAAGTTTGGCTATATTGACATTGCGAGACACCTGGGTCTTGAACGCTTCACATTGAAAAAATGTACACAAAATAATTAGAACAAAATAAAAGATTAAATCAATAAATTCAGAAAATAAATAAATAAATAAGCACAGAGACCTGTCTTCTCTGATTGTGGAGTGGCGACGCATGTACAGACGCCCACGGGTTTTGCTGGAAGAGAGACATTCTGAGCTCTGCCAAACAGTGATAATGTCAGCTGCGAGAGTCGATGGTGTTTGGCGGCTGAAAAATAGAAAGGAAAAAAGAGAAGAGAGTGGGAGATTAACTAATACCTGCTGTTGAAGTTGATTTTGGTGTTGGCGAAGAAAGCAGATGAAGACGAAGAGATTGAAGCCTGCAACAGAGAAGAAGAAGACATTTTTGGGTTTTGAAGAAACGAAAGAAATGAGCTTCAACTTGGATACGAGGGAGCTCGACGGCGCTAAAAATCAGAGACTCTTTGAGCCTGCGTGTGAGGGCAAAAGACGTTGCCTTTTTCGTTTGGGTGCGTAAAAGGGTATTTTGGTCCGAACAATCATTAATTTTCGTTTTAAGTTGGGTTGACGTGGAAACCGTGGGTTATGTTTTGCGTTAGGGGAAAAAGACTCATTTCTCCTCTCTTTCTCTCTCTACCCCTCAGTCTGACTCTCTCTCATCACCGCCAGGAGAAGCAAACAAAGACGCTGTTACGGCGGAAGGTACGCCATCACCGGGTAAGCCACCGCCACCAAGTAATTTTTCAATTATAATTTTCGATGTTTTGGATGTTTTTCTGTTGAGATTAAATTATTGGAAAGAATACGAATGAGATTCTAGGGTTTTCGTTAACACATATTTGAGTTTGGGATTCCGATTGAGTTTGATTTCTCATGATCACCACTGGGACCAAAATTTTATCGTGTATGTCTTTCAAAAGCCCCTATTTTTAACTTGCTTTTCTGTTTAATTTGGTGAAATCTTGTGATTCAGATTGGTCTCTTTGTGTTTCATCTTTTTGCTTTTAAAATTTTAAATTTCTGATATTGGGTTGTCTTGATTCTCTGTAATTTTTTTTGGTCTGTTATGAAGTTTTGTAATTTTGATTGGTTTGTGTATGATTCAATTTGAATTCTGGTGAGGGTTTGGTTTGTTTTCTGCGGAGATATGTTTGGATGATCAGTTACTGTCATGCATTTGTCCCTGGGAATTTGTTTGCATCGTTCTGCATATTTTTTAGCGCAAATCAACGTAAGTATTATAATGTTCCCTGCATTAAATGTAAGACGTTTTGTTTCAGGTTGAGGACTTGCAAAAGGAAGTTTGAGAATCCAATAAAGTACAGTTTCTACACGGTAATTTCCTTCAGCTATGCCTTCAGTTTACAACTTTACATTATAGATGCACTATTTAGAAAGTTCATTGTGATTCCTAACTTGTTTCTTTCATTGATGCACTATTTGATCGGGATTCTTTTCTTTGTTTTTTTTTCCCTAGGAAGTTGCATAACAGGGATAGGATGGATCTTGAGACGGAAAACAGAATAGCTGCGATTCTTATGAAAGAAGCTGCTGAATTGCGGCGCCAAGCTGAGAAGGAAGGTGTGCATGCTTATCTTCGACAACCTCAAACACGGTTTAGGCCAAATTCACGGTTCCTCAGCGCTACTGTTCTTGGCGTGCAACAAGGTCAGTTACCATACTGGTGTATTAATAATCTAGTACTTGCATTGTTCTCTCTGTGATATGACCTCATAATTCCTTGTTGTATAAAAATCATCCTAATGAGTTCAAGAGTTCCTTTTAAGAAAAGGCAGTCACTGTAATATGTCATCTCGCCGTTTTGTTGATGAACTGATGTGCATATTCAATATTTAGGCACATCATACTAGTGCCTTAAAAAGGGTACCAGTTTGGATCACGCACTGTTGCCTTTCTTAGGTTGCATAAAATGAAAATTAATTTATATGCAGTTTTTTAACTAGAAATATATGATGAGCCCATTATGTTTTGATTAGCATATGTGAGGTTCTGTTGCTTTTGCATTAAAGCGTAACCAAAATTGCCATACACACCCATATTTTATTTGTTTGGTGAATATTGTGTCGTTCAGCTGAAGTTCTGATTTTATTTCTGTTTTCTTCAGCAAATCGAGCTGTGGAAGTGAATGAAATGTGGAGACTCCGGCAGAAAGAGATAGAATTGGACAATAGGCTTAAAGGAAAGATGAAGGATGAGAGCAGAAATGACAGGAGTCGAAGAGACAGTAACTGTTCGAGAAGCAGCAGTAAGGGGCATGATGTCACGGATGACAATGCTAGTCCTACTTGCTCATCAAGGAAAAGGGAATATGATAGCTGCCATTCAAGGGAAGAAAATGGTCTAAGAGATGAAGAACTTGAAGAATTTTTACATTCAAGGCATCTCTCTCTCCCCTTCTCTTTCCCCATCTCTCTCTCCCTCCCCCCCCCCTCACGCAGGGTATAATGTACGACTGATTGACATGATTCATGAATTTCTTGCTATGGCAGGGTCAAGCGTGGCAGAGGTGCTGTTGGATCAAGGATGGATGAAGCGGGTCCATATATTCCCCATGGTTCAGACTCCAAGGACGAGCTGCTAGTGAGCCCCGGTGTACAAGAACGCCGTGTGTATGGACCAGAGAAGCCTTCACGGAAGTTATGTGATTCTTCCGAAGAGGAGCTTGACTATGACAGGAAGAAATCAAAAAAAGTTAAGGCTGCTAGCTCGAAGAAGCACAAATCCAAGGATAAATCAAAAGAGAAGAAGAAGAAGAAGAGGAAGGAAGAGAGAAGAAGTAAATACCTTACTTGAGTGGTGTTTTGCATTGCCTTGCTGCTGATTTAAAAAAATCTTATCCTGTGGGATGTTAGCGAACGATTTTCATTCTTCAAAAGGGTCATATGTTACTCTGAAGGGTCATCCTAGTTTTTGCAGAGGTGAATCTTTATGTTGCTTACAGTTCCAGGAAAGATCTGGAAAACAATTGAACTTGAAAGCAAAATCTGGAACACAATGAAATGTGCTATTTTCTTCCTAAACCCTAGTTTGACTAGGATAGTCTAACCAAGCTGAAGGAAGATTCTTTCAGGCCTGTATGGAGTTGATGCACAACCACTGTTGATGAGAAGTGCATGAAAACAAAAGCAGAATTGTAATTTTATTCTATGTCAGAATCAGATTCTCTTTTTGGTCCTCAAGTTGGAAATTATATTCATTTAGCTGCCTCTTTGATGCTCTATTTTTCATCTGATTTTTATTGAAATTCTGTTCTACAACTGCCAACTAAGAAAAGCTTTTGCACATCATGAGTTTGATTTCCAGGTTTAACATTTGTGAAATCAACATCCAAGTGATAACTTCTATGTTGTTGACTGCCGACTATCGAGGCTGCTTGGGTTTCTCATGTCTGCCAGCCCCAAAAACTTGGGGGCCTGTTGTGGTTAATTATTTTTAACAATTCATTTTCAATTCATTGTAAACAGTACAAGGTCGTGTTCTGATGAAGATTACAATAGGAATAGAGAAGAGTAAATTACTTTACCATCCTTAATTTTCAAAATTTGTATTTAGATTATTCAGGAAAATGAGTAAACAGTATAAAAGAAAGAAAAAAAAAGTTAAGCATGCTGGCTAATCTAATCTTGATCGACCGTGACGTGACCGTAATCACCATGGGAAAAACATGAAAAGAAAAGAGGGGACGAGAAGAACGGGACTGTTAAAAGTAGAATTATACAACAGAAAACAGTGCGACGCGTGAGTGAGTTCTCAAAAACTGTTGTCAAAGTCATTTCAATAATATTAAGATTGAAATTCAATTTGCTCACAATTTTTATGCAACATATGAAATTAAACGTCTTGTACGGTCAAGGTCTATCATAAGTTCAGAAGGCAGCGCACTCAAAGATCATGTGCTCAACCTCTCTTTCTTTAACAAATTAGCCTGGAGAAAAATTTGACATTCATCTCGAACACACACAGCCAGCTACTAATACTAGAGTACAACAAATTACACACATCTAATCACTTCTCAACTGCATGAATTTTCAATACAGTTTCCGTACAGTACTACAAACTATGTTAACTCTACAAGACAAAAAAGAAATGACTGAAACAAGTTTCACTAATTTTCTGTGATCATATGTACGGCAAGATGAAGACACTTTGCTTCCTAGAAAAGACCAGTGTTATGAGTCGTCAAACTGATGATCAGTCTCATCGAAAATCTCCTCCTACATTAACAAATATTTGATATCAGGATACGAGGCCTCCTAGAAGAAATGGTGGACAGAAGGGAATGAAAATAGAAATACAGCTTGAAAATGAAAAACAAGCGAGTACCTGTAACAGTTCTTCGATAACATCTTCCATTGTTATAATGCCAACAGCCTCTTCCTCTTCAGGGAGCTTGGGGAGTGGCTCACCGCCATCAATCTGCAGGATGTCTGAATATATCTCCTTTGTCCATTTCTTGCTTCTGGAACCGGTCCTATATGAATTATTTGCACTGTTTGTGTTGGGAAAGCTCTTCCACTTCTGCAGTGATCTTTTGCTCTTCAAAATCTTCTCTTGAAGAGGCTTTTCACCATCAATGTCAACTTTCACTTCCTTCACTGGATCTATTGAGAGAGACATAAAGAACAGCTACTATGTCTATCACAAAAATAAAAACAAAAAGTCCCCTCATAGAGTTTGAAGGGGCAGGCAGACGGGGAAATTTTGGGGAAATTTTTTCAAGGCATTATACAGTAGGAAGTTGGTGCTTACTGTCAGCAGGATCACCGTTGGTCTGATCCACATTCTTATTGCATCGTCTTACAACAATAGCCATGTGGCTGTGACCTTTCTGAAACTCATTCAATATGTCATATAACGGCAATGTTTCTGGAACCCTATCAAACAAATAGGAATCGAGCATCAGGTTATGATTAAGATGATGTAAGGCATCCTAAATTTGTACTGTAATTAAACCTATAACAAAATGTAATATCCCTTTAACCAACGCCAAATACCTTGGAATCCTGCGTACAGTGACACTCTTTACAGGCACTTCCTCTTCTGGATTAACCGTCAACAAATTTTTGACCTAAGATTTGAATGAAAATAGTTGAGAAAAGTATGTCACCAAGAAAAATAAAGCAACCAACTAATATGAAGACAAATCAGATGGAATGAAATTGGAAAACAAAATACATAAGAATGATCATCGTGCTCAAAATTTATGCTCCAATTAATCCAACATGATTGTGGACTCCAATTATTTTAGGAACCTTGTTTAAGTTTTATGGCATACTTGTCTATGCGCAAATATTTTTCAGATCCAATGTTGACAGACACATATTTAAGCCGAGTTAATTCTGATTTACATTGGTTTTAACACCTGTAGGTTGGGAACTTGGGAGTTATATTTAAAAAAGGCCACGTTAAGATAGCAGTAATCTGGCAACATGCCAGATCCTGTGGTTAAATAGAAAATTAATTTCATAAAGAATTATTTTGAATTGCACTGAAAAATAGCTAAAGAGTTTACCAGGACGAGTCCAATTATGTTTGTAGGCTCCTCATAATAAACAGGAACTCTGCTATGTCCTTTCTCCAATATTAGGTTCATCAAATTCCTGTGTGTGTGATTAGCATAAGTTAGGGTTGCAAATTGAAACATTAGATATATAGTCAAAAGAAGGTGACTATTTTGTTCTAATGCTGAAAGCATAATAAACCTGTCAAGCTTGGCATTGATATCAATTGCAAAAGTTTCGGCTATAGGCGTCATGGCATCACTAGCTGTTTTCTCGGAGAGCTCAAGTGCTCCGGCAATAATTGTTGTCTCATCATGTGTTAACTCTCCACCTTTTCCAGCCTAAACAAGACAGTCATATGGTTTTAGGATAGATGGTATGTACTGTAAGCAAAAGTGAGAAGAAAGGTCCAGAAGAAAGAATTTTGGAATGATAGATTCCCGGCCAAAAAAAAAGCAGATGAGATTGGAAAAGACAAGAGTTTGACATAGAGAAAAGTTCGACTTGACAGTTGACAATGAAACTGTATGAGAGCTGTCAAACGCACCTCATTACCATGCATATCTACAAGTGTTTTCAACTCAGCTCTGCGAAATAGAGCTACATGTCCATGGCCCAGCAGAAAGTCCAATAGCTGGAAACCACATAGAACATATAAATAGTCAGAGAAAAGGCATAAGAAATTGAAAAGAAAAAGGCAAGTGCTAAATCAATATATCATACCTTGCTAATTGGATATGCAACAGGAATGCAAATCCAGACAAGAATGCGCACAACTGGAGCCACTGTTGCACCTATCGCCAAACCATATCGGGAACAAATAGATTGTGGTATAATCTGCTCCCATAGGTGAATAGAAGTTAGTGACACACACACATCATGCTTGACACCATTACTGGCTTGAAGAATACATGTGACAGGGTATTTCAAAATAGCCACACTAAAAGTTACTTCATTTTTTCCAAGTCATTTTTTTCCTGACAAAATGATGGACAAAAATGCAAGGCTCTGGATCCATCCACTCAATGTTGCCATCCTCAAAGAGCTACTTAGTTCAAAAATATTATTAAAAACATTCACACAGATTTAAAAAGTCCAACTATATATCGTGAATTGTCCATGCTTCAATACAAACAAAATGTAAGATATATCACTAACCTCACCAAACAGAAGAATCAGTGTCACTGAAATTAGGATCGCACCCCAAGCTGTTACCAGACCATCTAGGAAAATAGGAAGTGTCTGAAAGAGCAGTGGCCATTTCAATATTGTCATTATTTTGTATATAAGACTAGTATTTTTTTCAATAAGCATCAATAACATGTACCTCCATTGCAGCAGCATTGCAAATTAGTAGGGTGCAGAGCAGCAGATGCTGATTTTTTACAACAGGCAATATCTTCGCTGTAATAAATAACAGAATGCATACAAACAGATGCAATGATTAATCAAAAGAAATTTACAAAGCAATATCATAATAAACCAGTACAACCATAATCCATCATTACAAAGCTAAAGTCCCTTGCACAAGTTCTTTCCTCTTAATGCCAGTTAATTTACAGAGTCATGAAAAGCCAAAACATCTAAAAAAATTAAAATGCATAACAAACAATAAGCACCGGTATTAATCCTCTAGGAAGATGTTGCAACATCAATTTTGCAAAATCACTCTTCATTCTTTAATACCAATCGCGTGCCTTTTCTCCGTTCATAATCCTACTTTTTATGCAAATGAAGAAGGTTGGACTATATTTCAACAAATAAAACATTAATTTTCACCAAATAAGAAAATAGAGCCATGAACTATATTCCCACCAATACAAACACATCATATTTGGACAAATTACTTCAACAAACTCAATAATTTTCTTAAGCTGGTCAATCCAAGCATTCATTTAATAGCTCCTATAATCAAGCAAAAATTTAGTTTCCAAATAAAAACATTAACCTGATCATTCTAACGAAAATTAACATTATATTGGGCCCCACACTTTTTTCTTTCCTCATTTTCTCACAGTTTCCGAGCAGCCAAACAGAGCATAAAGTTCCAAACAAAACCAGAGGACACAAGAAAGAAAGGCAAAATTGTACCGGCGTATTTGCGATCCTTGGGGGTGCCGGACTTGGCGAGGACCTCGAGATCGACGAGGCTCATGGACATGAGCCCCAAGGTGAGGCCAGACATTAGCCCAGCGAACAGCACCAACAGCACGATCAGCGCTATATGAATGAAGAACCCGCTACTGCAACATTCGTATTCCACCGCCATTAGAAAAAAGCAAGCTTTTCTTCAGCCTCAGCTCTCAATCAATCGATTAAGCAACTCTCTCTCGTCCTCCAAAGTTTCCAAATTTACAGACAAAGCTTCAATCTAGCTCCCTCTCAGAGACACACCTCCATTGCCGCTGATTGTTCGAGCTTCTCCCCAACCAAACACTGACTCAGCAATTGAGAGAGAGAGAAGAGAGAGAGAGAGAGATAGAGAGAGAATTCCAGAGAATGGTGGGAACTGAGAATTTATATCTCTGTAGCGTTGAGCATCACCTTTTCCACTCTTTTACAATATATTTTTTTTTAATTTATATCAATTTTTGCGTTGTAATAATGGTTTACAAAATAAAACAAAAAACAGTTTTCAAATAGTTTTTAGTTTTAATCTTCATATCTGTTAATTTTTCTTCTTCATTCTCCGCTTTTCTTTCATGGCTATATTTCTTGAACTCATAACAGAAAACAAACAAAAAAAACTAATTAGAAAGAGTTTGAACAAGAAAAATTAAAAAAATGGTTATGTCTGGTGTTGGCTTGTAGATTTGGTGGTTGAAAGTATTTTACTCTTACATCCGAGGTCAAATGTTCGAGTCTTTACATCCTATTCACACTTCTTCGTAACAAAAAAAAAGGAAAAATTGTTAGAGCATCCACAGTGGGGGGATGTAAATTCGAGAGTGTAAAGCTACTTTTACATCCCCTTTACACATCCAGAGGGTGTAAATATGTTTTTTGCTCCAATGGAGATGTGTAAATTCAAGGATGTAGTCGTGGGTCCCAACCTTTTATGTTGACTTTTCTTCATTTTTCTTCTCTTTTCTCAGGTGGGTCCCACTTGCAAGGGATATAAAAATAGATGTAAATGTACATTTTATTTTACATCCCCATGGTAGTGATGTATATTTACATCCATTTACATCTCATCATTAGAGACGATTCCGGTGATTCGGGGTGTATATTTAACATACACCTCCATATACACCCCTCCACTGTGGATGCTATTATATCAAAGGTCCTCTAAAGGTATTTGTATTAAACAACAAATATATTGGCAGAAAAAATACTCATATCTAAGTGATGTGAAAATAAATGAAAACTTAAGTGACATAATTAAGATGGAAAATATCATCAAAGCTTAAGTTCTCCTTCAAACAAACGTTATAAGATAATGAGTGAACCTCACCAGGCAAGCGACTGGATGAGGATGAGTGAGGAAAAAGAAAGGATTAGAGTGGGTGATCCAATTGATACTTTACACTGTGAAAAGAGAAAAAGAAAATTGAGAGTGAAAAGCTTACTCTTTAGAATTATCTAATTCCAAGATCCCTAATTGATCTAATTCCAAGATCCCTAACTTTCCCTATTTCTCCTTATAAGTAAGGGTCATGCTAGGGAGACCAACTTTATATACTAATTTGTGTACCAACTCTCTAATAGAGGTGGAACCCACCAATACAATGGGTCCCACACTCTATTAGAGAGTTGGTACACAAGTTGGTATCTAAAGTTGGTCTCCCTAGCATTTTCCTATAAGTAAATTTGGTACACATGAAGCCCGTGCTTTCATAAAGTAAATAAAACATTTGGAAAATTACAGAGTAAATTTTTTTATTTTTTTTTATTTTATTAGGGTCGTTGTTTTTCTAATTATAATAAGCGAAACAATAAAATATAGTGCTGTTAACAATCAAAGTGAAAGGGGTTGAAAGGGGATTTGATAGTAGCTGGTATTCGGTCGACATTGTGTAGGGGTGACGTGTTATACAATGGTGTATTGAGCTAGTGGTCAATTTGGAGAGGCCCGAATATGCGGCTTTGATCTCAGTCTCTCTAACCGATTTCGTCGTCATCACCGACATCTATTTTGGCAGGCTGCTGATTGGGAGAGAGATTTTGCTTTGTGCCGTACACTATTCCTTCACTCACCCTGTAGATGATTTGCTGTCCCATCTCTTTCCCTTTGATGTGATTTTTTTGTTTAATATAGAAAAATACATTAACCAGAAGCAAAGGCTCCCTAGCTAAAAGTAGCTTTCCTACCAAATATCTAACGGCAGATGACGGATACGCTGATGAAAAAGGAAAGTAATTAGAGGAGAACGACGCTCCAACACGAAGGATATGATTCACAATTGGAGTCATTCTTTTAGTATTGTCTTTATATTGTCTCGTCTAACACCCAAAAGAAAAAAAAACGAAAAGTCTCACACAAGATTTACATTTTTTTTTTACGGCCAAAATCCAAAGTCATTTTTGGTCTCTGTAGTTTGGCAATTCAATCATTTTTTACCATGTAGTTTTAATTTCATCAATTTTTCTATTGTAGTTTCGTATTTGTAGCAATGCAATGACAATTTAGTATTCTTGTCAATCTCTTTAACGATGCAATGAGCAGTTTCGTCAACCCAAAACCCTTGAGCTTAAAAACTTATCTGAAATTCTTCCCATTTCATATTAGGGCTCGAAATTCAACCACTAATTCCAATTTTTTGATGAACCTTAAACCCAAATGACAAATTTCAACCCTTTTAGTTTGTGGACAATTTATAGAGGTCAATATCTTCGCCTCCAATGATAAATTTGACCTACTATGATGATGGTAATTAATCAAATCAAACTAAAAACTAACAGCATGTATGAAAGCTGATATTGCAAATCTGAATCTGAACATTATAAAAAATAAAAGAAATAACAAAAGCTCGCAAATCATACACCCAATAATTTTCCCTGCCATGCAACTATAATATAATCCGGACGTAATCCCAAGATACCTTTTTATTCCAGGGACAAGAATAACTAATCCTGGATAACCTTTTGGCACTGATCAATCTTATGACCAACCTTTCAACTTTAAGCTTAATTAATTAATACTTTTTGTTCTTTTTTCTTCTTAAAAGATAAGGCAGGATACAAGAAAAACTGGTCATTTCAGATATTTATATATTCAGAACTCTATTACAGTGAGCCTCATTTTAAAGTCCTCGTATATGATTAGCAACGAACGATGATCTTGATAAGCATGATGATCTCATATGGTCAAAGTGAAGCCGGATAAATATCTTAGAGGGAGTGAGTAAAGTGTCTATATTTGTCCATTTCATACACATAAATGTGGGAGTGGAGCCACGCTTCGGAGAGAAACTCTAATATAACATGAATATATCTCGGTCAATAACACGTGAGATAACTTTTTTACGTGTTATTATATTATCGGCTAGAGATAATAAAACAATGTTATCCCTGTTATAAATAAGTTTTTTTCCATGCTTCGACCCCAAGTGGCCATGCCCCCGAAACTCAAGCATTTCACGTAGAATTTATATTAAACTTTTGTAATTATTTGGGAAATATTGAAAAATCTCTGTTGTTTTCCTCCCAAAGTAATACATCTGTTGGCCCCAATAAAATTATAGAGAGATAAAATTTATTTTCTCAATAACAAAAGAGAAGAGGACACAAAAACAAAAATGTGTGGAAATAAATAATTAATTAATAACGGCCAACGAGTTCAGTGCGAGTTAGGTTAATAATAATATGATATGTAAAGTATAATAAACAGAGTGAAATTCTGACGACTGATGCCACTATTCATGGTGTGGAATGAGACATACCTCACACTCTTCTTTTCAATTTATATGTCCCAATCCCACCATTCTTTTGTTTATACCAGTTTCATAGCTTCTAGTCAGCAACAAAATTAATACAACCGAAGTCATCAACGCATTCCTGAGCAATTGACAACGGCTAATCAATATAATTAATATCATTGACAATGATACTTACTTCAATCAATAGTTTATAGTGGTATATGTGTACTCGTGATGTGTTGTATGTATTTCCTTGATCACGGGAAATGTAATTAGGAATAGACTCGATTCGATTTGGTTTAGGTCTCAAATTACACATGGAACTAATATTTAGACCTCAAACTAGTAACACAACTGAACTAATCGAAATCATTTGTTGACCGGCTTGATTCGGTTATTGCATATATTTTGTATTTTCTTATATATATATCAAAAGGGAAACTTCTCATTATTGAAGATGGAGAAATTTTGAGAGAGAAGTTTTAGGGATTTCAGCCTTTAGTATTAAATGGTTTATATCAACGTGTGAGATAAAATATGATAGTAAACGGTGATAACTAATAAGAAAATGTCAAGTGTTGAAGAAAAGTAAAATATGCAGTTTCGTACAAGTTAGGCGGTTTTTTTAAATATGTCAAATCAAACTGAATCTATCCAAAATTAATTGCGATTTGGTTCAAATTGGATATAAAAGTTACACATTTTAATGGTAAAACTAAAATGTGGGCTGAATTGGTTTCTTTGGCATGTTTAAACAATTTGAACTTGAGTTAGGCTAGTTGTAACTTGTACATGTGTTTGCTCCCTTGTACTTGAGTTCTCTCTCTTAGAAGATTATAGTAATCAGGGGCGAAGCCACACGCAGGCCTGCCATGACCATGGCCCCCCCAAACTCCATGAAAAGCCCATTATTTCTTAAGCATAAACTACAATATTAGTTAAAATATAACTCTATATAATCTTGCATCTGTAGTACTGGCCCCTCACAGATTAGCTTCTAGCTCCACCACTGATTGTAATTTAGAATATCACCTTAGAAAAATGATTCGAGAGTGATTTTGGCTCCCCCCTAACTGCAACTATTGGAAATTAATGATTCCAATTCCTCAATATGAGAGCATTTCACAGCCATGATCAAAATGAAAACACTTTCTTACATGTTAAGAGTCATTTTGCTTTACAGGACCATCACAATTTAACAAGTGCATGAATCATATTGGGCAGGGCTGGTTCAATTGAGTTGAGACCAAATTCTCGTTTAATGATCTGGTTAAATCATATTAAATGCAACCCAATTAAATAAATCATATAGACCTATTTTTTATATTTCTACTTTTAATTTTCAAATATTTTTAATTAATTGGGTTGCATTTGATTTTTTTCAGTTTAAACTTGCAATAAGAAAAAAGTACTGCTACTTTTACCATATTTGTATACCACATTCTCATATCACCTTATGTGGCAGATGAAGTGGACATCCACATCAATTAAAAAGTGTCAATAAATCATAAAAGAAAAGAAATGTTAAATTACTTTTAATTGATGTGGTTGTCCACCTCATCTGCCACATAAGATGGTAAGAAAATGTGATATACAAGAGTATGTGTTAAGAGTAGCATTATTCAAAAGTAAACGGTAAGAAAAAGCCAAATAAGTCATACATGATTGACCTTGAGATATGTATGCTAAGCTGACAAAAATATATCAATTTTCTCAAATTGTTTATGATAAAAAATCGGATATGATTTCTCCACTTTCTTTTTCTCCACTTACACTCCCTTTTGCTTTTCAATTTTGTTCTTTCTTTTTCCTATACTACCCTTACCGTACATTAATTTTTTTTTACTTCACTTTTATATTAGTTCTTTTTCTTTTATAATTAATTTTTCAACTTGCACTCCATTTTTAGTTTTTTTTTCCTTTAATCGAGTAAGAAATTAAGTTTTTTCCCCCCCTTAAATACTGAAAATGAAGTGTAAGTTGGAAAATTAAGTATACGGAAAAATAAATAATATAAAAGTGAAGTAAAAAAGAAATTAATGTAGGGTAAGGATAAAATAGGAAAGAGAAAGAACAAAATTGATTAAAAAGTATTAAAAAGCAAAAGGGAGTGTAAGTGGAAAAGGGGAGCAGAGAAATCAGCTCCATTAAAAAAAGTGCTCAAATTATTTTCCATGATACTTATTTTTATCTTTTACTTTTGCGAAAATTTTAAAAACAACATTTATAATAATATGTAAAAAAAATTGTATATATACGAGTGATATTGAAGGAGAGGAAATTCAAACGCATGATCTCAAATCCAAAAATTTATAAAAATAAATAGATACCTCTTATTTATTTTCTTCTTTCGAATAAGAGCTTTATTTCTTTTAAACACACAAGTTGTATAGAGGGTCGGTGCATATTAAATTACTGTTTTTGGTGAAATGGGTTTATTGAATTATTTAATATAGATGTGTACTTGTAGTGGTGTAGGACCTGCAAGTGTATGGCACTGACAACTAGAAACTAAATCGGTTCCAAACACACTCTCTACGAGCTAAAGAGTAAAACCAGGGCTCCCGCACAGATCTGAATCGCGCTCTAGATCTCCTATCCCAGCTTTTCCCGCTGCATTCTCCTGAGGTTACTCTCTCTCTCTCTCTCTCTCTCTCTCTCTCTCTCTCTCTCTCTTACTTCTCTTACTATTGCTCTTTGCTCTGCTTTTTTCAGCTCTTAGATCCATTTCTTTGAATGGGACAGAGTGATTTATCCACAAATTAAGTTTCTTTACTGCTTTATCGATCTGAATTTGAATTCTTGTCTTCATTTTCTTTTCGAAGATTGGCTTTTTGTGATTGTGTTTTTGAGTTCTTATTGATTCCGTGGCTGTTTGGATATCTGGGTTGGTCTTATGTTCACAAATTTTGAGCTGTACATGCGTGTTTCACTGGAATTTTGCTCAATCATGCCAGCTTTTTGAGTAGTAATGATAAATTCGTTAAGATGGTATTTGAAATGCAGAAGAAAAAGGGTTTATGGGTTTGGTAGATTTATGTATGAGTTTGAATTGACGTTTGGAAAGAAGATCTCTTTGTGGCATTGTCATGATGGTTGATGCCAATTTAATTGGATTATATGAAAATTTTGAGATCAATGAGTTGAGGACAGTTAGAAAAATGATTCAACACAAGGCTTTTGGAAACACTGCTAATTGAAGTTTTGTTTCAACTTATGCTAGATTTTGCAGGCTCACTACTTAATAAAATCATGTCAAGGAGGCCAGTAAATCCTGCTAGACGCATTGGCGACGGTGGAAGCATCCCATTTGTGGGTGTTGTGCAGTCCAAAGCACGCTCATCGCCACTACTGTCTATAGGGCTTGTGCTTGTGGTACTTTCCATTACCATTCTACTTCCATTGCATCGGTATTCTTTAGGAGCATGGTGTTAACATTGATAATCCTAGCATAACCAAAAAATAATACTTGGTAGTTAAGCACGAACTGATATGACTAAATCGTGTGATTCCATCGTAGAAATGAATTATGTTAGTAATATTGTCACGGAACAAGATTGCACTAACCGGTTTAGCTTCAATACGAAACTAACAAGTGTGAACTTTGAAATTTCAGGAATGAATTCTCTTAGTAATGCCGTCACTGAACATAATTACACAAACAGGTTTCGTTTTGATACGAAAGTACTGAGTATTAACTTTTAAATTTCAGGGTGCAATTCTTCTTGTCTGCTATGCTTTCAGCGGGTCAGGTGGACGGAGCAGTAAAGAGGCTGTGATTAAACTTGAAGGTATATTTCCTGACCTGTTCTTTTGTCCAGTCTCCATTTCTCTAAAACATTTTGGTTATTGAATGCAATAGTTTGCGTGATTTATTAACATGGGTTGTTAGAATTCTATATTGTCTTTCCAAAATTCTCAACATCTCCGAGCTTATATATCCCTGTATGGTTAAATTGAGTGGATCTATCAAATTTTGTGGTATGAATTCAGTTGTTTCAAACTATGTGAATGTTATGCATTGCGAACTTTTTGCGATGAGAGATTGGTGGTTCCCTCAATTTTTTTATTTTACTGTTAGCATGCAGGTTTTCTGAGGTAGAGGAACTTTTTACAGTTTGACAATCTCTCATATTTACATGCAGGTGGTGCTTCGTGCACATTCGAAGTTCAGAGAGCAATACCTATACTAAAGAAAGCATATGGTGATAGCATGAAGAAGGTGTTGCATGTGGGCCCTGACACCTGTTCAGTGGTATCTAAATTATTAAAAGAGGAGGATACAGAAGCCTGGGGTGTGGAACCATTTGACTTAGAAGATGCTGATGCAAATTGCAAGAGTCTTGTGAGCAAAGGCATTGTGCGTGCTGCTGATATAAAGTTTTCTCTGCCTTATCGGCCAAAATCATTTTCTCTCGTAATAGCATCAGATGCGTTAGATTACTTGTCTCCAAAATACCTCAACAAAACTCTTCCAGAGCTAGCAAGGGTATCTGCTGATGGTGTTGTTATATTTACTGGTAAATGATCCTGCCCTTAATAGATTATACAAACCATACTTGATAGTAACCGATCTCTAGGAATTTTTATGTACTTGTCATTTCCATTTTGTAGGTTATCCAGGTCAGCATAAAGCTAAAGTTGCAGAGCTATCCAAATTTGGCCGTCCAGTAAGTGATTAACGTTTATTATATTCCGAATTTTCTTAGTTTCCCAGTCATTGATGACAATTGATACATATAAACTAAATTTTGATTCTCAGTTTTCATTTGCTTGCTTTGGTTGTATGGATCTGGCAAGTTTAACTTCCTAATGTATAGCTTTACAAAGTTAAATATAGAGAAATGATGCAATGATTTTCTTTTAAAGGCCAAATTGCGAAGCTCGTCCTGGTGGATAAGGTACTTTGTTCAAACTAGCTTAGAAGAGAATGAAGTAGCCTCAAAGAAGTTTGAACAGGCTGCACTAAAGAAATCTTACACGCCTGCTTGCCAAGTTTTCCACCTCAAGTCATACCGTTAAGAATCACAGCTTTGTAACTTTGTTCGATCAGCCTGTTGGTGAAACATCGGCTATATACGTCTTCAGTGCCCAAAGGGTAAGTTCATATTTTGTGGGAACATAGAGCCCCATTGTGTGATCGATTATGACACAGGATCTTCTGACTTATGTGTGTTGGGGAAGTGAGTTCTTGTGAATTGGCTTTTATCCTCACTATGTATTCTTTTACAATGATGTAATTTCTCATTGCTGCTTCTTCTTCTTCTTGTTGGTGGTGTTGCAGTGATATAGATTTGTTAGTACACTAGATCTATTTTTGTTTATTATATTTATAAAACAAAAACAATATCTCAATGATTAATTTAGTTAAGGATTTCATCTTCTGTCTCGTAGATAAATTTGTTGTTAGCCCATCATTTGGCATTTGTACTTGTTGATTATACCGTGTGTGTTGGTGTTAGATTATCTCGAAATTTCAAAATATGCACCGTACTTGCGGAGGAGATGAACGTGTTTAACTAAATCCAAAAACGAGACGCATGAAAATCAATCAAAAGAGCACTATGCCCAAAATAGAGAATGCTCTTTCTCATTACCTCAAAATAGCACGACCTGAACTTGACTTGATCCAATGGCTCGTCGTAACCACCCTGGACCCCAATATAGAATGGCGAATTCTAAACTATTCTTTAGGGTTCTACTGTCTACAAGTGATAATCTAAATGATTCTTTTATAGAAGCGATAATCTAATCTATTATAATCTACGATGGAGGGGTATCGAACTCAATTACATAAGAACAGACATACTATCACGATTCATGACCAATTAGCTTAATTAACGCTTGTACTAAAAAAAGTTTTAGTATTTAAAATAACTTCAAATTGTTGTATAATTGTCATTAAATTGAACACGGTGGTGATATAATTGTCATTAACTTGAAATTACCTAAGGAAATTAATTATAGAGAACACAACAGAAAAAAGAAAAAAAGAAGAAAAAAAGCAACATGAGGTTTTTATGAGTTGCCAGTTAGGCTTCAACCTGCGCCAAAATCATCGACGACAGTGAAGCATGGCCTCAAGAGAACACTCTCAGCACCAAAACCAGACGACAAGGAAAGTTCCACTCTTTCCTCTTCTCTCTCTCGTTTGCTTCATTTCGATCTTCGCCGTCCTCTCCTCCATTAGAAAGACCTCCGTTCCTTCGCGACCTCACAGCACGAGCTTCGAGTTCCGAAGGAGCCCGGGATCCGGCCGGAGGAACCCGGGAGAGTCGTGCGACTTCTCGGATGGAAGGTGGATCTACGACCCGAATCCGCCTGCGAGGTACAACAATACCTGCAAGGAGATCTTCAAGGGCTGGAATTGTATTTCCGGCAACAAATTCAACGGCCGGGAACTCGTCAAGTGGATATGGCAGCCCAAGCATTGTGATCTCCCGCCATTCGATCCGGTTAGGTTTCTTCAGATGTACAGAGACACCAGCATTGGTACTCTCTCTCTCTCTCTCTCTTCCTCTGTTTATGTGCGTGTTGGTTGTTGAAGTTATTTAGTTCATGATGTGAAGTTATTGTCTGTTTGGATGCTGAGATAGCGTGTGAAAACTTACATTTGAAGCTAGAGGAAGTCATAAACATATAGAAATCCGGAATTTTTAACTTTTAATTGACTTGATTGAGTGCAGTGCAGTGCAGACCATTGTTTCCTTGGTTACCCCTTTTTCTAATTGACTTAATTAAGTAAAGGTTTTAGTTTTATTACACACTTAAATTTGGTACTTAGTTTGATTATACCAAATGCGATATGATGAGATGATTTGGAGGACTTTGTGGATCAGTTATAATACTGAATCCTGTGTTGTATATAAGACCTTATGAATGTTCTACAGTGCAGGGTTTGTTGGTGATTCGTTGAACCGGAATATGTTTGTTTCGCTTTTCTGTTCTCTGAAACGAGTGTCAAGTGAGGTTAAGAAGTGGCGACCAGCTGGTGCTGATCGCGGGTTTACATTTCTTCAGTATAATCTTACCCTTGCATATCACCGAACAAACCTTTTGGCCCGTTATGGTAGGTAAGCTATGTTTGCAACTATGTTGATGGCTATTTGCTACTTTATTAGATGAATAGATGGGGAACTGAGTTACATCTTGCACATGTTAAGGTCCGGTGTTCATCTATTTATTTGGACACTTAGGGTTGTTATGTTTTGTTTGATGCAGGTGGTCTGCCAATGCTAACGGTGGGGTGCTGGAATCTCTTGGATATAAAGAGGGTTATAGAGTTGATGTTGACATTCCAGACAGTACATGGGCAGAAGCTCTAAGCTTTCATGACATTCTGATCTTTAACACAGGGCACTGGTACTTACTATGTTGCTTATTCATGAGTTTTTTGAATGTGGCTGGTACCTTTAATTTTTTTTTCTTTTCATGATGTGATTACAATAAGTCTGTGTATCATAGATTCATAGTTAGGGATCACAAGACTAGTATCCTAGTATCAACAATCATGATCCAATTTACTTACACCAATGGAGAGGAAGAAAACTTTAATGTAGGATAACCTTATTAGTAAAATAGAAAAGAACAAGAAATTTGAAAACTTCCTTGGAGTTCGTTAATTTGCTCACAAAAAAAATCAGGAACTAGAGGTTCTATGATCTAACTAATTGTCCAAGTAAATACCAAATACTATTGGAATAGAAACCAGCTGGTTGCTGTCTTCAACAAGTTATGAGCAGCCATTTAAATAGGCTAAAAATCCATAGGTACAAGGTAAGAACACGTTTCGAAAATAAATACCAGACAAGTTAGGAAATTTCATGCCTCTCAATTTTGCTGACTATGCATTTGTTTTCATTTTTTTGGTTCTTATAAACAGGTGGTGGGCTCCTTCAAAGTTTGACCCTACAAAATCACCCATGCTTTTCTTTGAAAAGGGTCAGCCTGTGGTTCCTCCTGTACTCCCTGATGTTGGCCTTGATATGGCTCTGAAACACATGGTTGGTTTAATCTTAAGACGAAATATTTAGATTATTTTTAAAATTTTAAAATTTTATGTTTCATGAGAAATTAAGAGGAAGTATTCTCGTGGTCATGTTTTTAATTGATTCGTCCATTGTAGGTAATGTTTGTGGAGAACAGAACACAGCCAGGTGCAATAAAATTCTTTCGCACTCAATCACCTAGGCATTTTGAAGGGGGTGATTGGGACCAAGGTGGTTCTTGTAACCGGGAAAAGCCTTTATTGCCAGTGCAGGTGAGTTGTAGGACACTGTCATGAGCTGATTGAATCTTATGTTTTGTGTATTTGTTTTTTGACACAATGAATGTTCAGTTTAGTTAATTGAGCTAAACTTACATTTCATAAAGCAACGATTGATGTCTGAGCACACACCCCTTTACTTTCTTCTGTTTTGTTTCAATTTTTGTATGTAACATCAATATATATATACATGTTTAAAGTCGTGGTTTGCTTTTCAGGTTGAAAAACTATTCTCTGTGAAGAATAATGGGACAAATGTGGAGGCACGCCTGGTCAATCAACACCTTTATAAGGTCCTCAAGGGGTCGGGTTTCCATATTTTGGACATAACCCACATGAGTGAGTTCAGAGCAGATGCCCATCCATCCGCAGCCGGTGGAAAGAAGCATGACGATTGCATGCACTGGTGCCTACCAGGAATAACAGATACTTGGAATGACTTGTTCATAGAGCAGCTAAATACTATTAAATTTAGAAGTTAATCAATTATTTTCATGTTGCGATTTTTCATTTGAAATGTCAACTTTCACAGCACATACCATCTTATTCTTAATGCTACCCGGTTCAAATCCACATAAATCTTGCATGCAGAGGAGGCAACTGTGGTTAGCTCGTCAGGCCCTGCGGCCACGGGCTTTCCACCCAAGCCATGGTAGCCAGAGCAATGGGTAATTCTATTATCTTGTTTTTAAAATTAATTTTGTTGTAACAATAAATTTATCATTGGGAATTTTATTAAAATGGGGGTGGAGGGAGCAAAGGGTACTTTTATTTGTACCGATTGCATTCTTTTTATAAAAATCAATAGAAAGAGAGAACTCGAACTTGAGATGCCTCCTAACACTGAGAGGAGATATACTACTAGATGACCCCTGATGATAAATCCTTTCCACTATCAACATGGACAAGGTTAACTCAAATCCACCCCTGAATTTGAAAAAAATTATTACCCTCAGACCTCAATTAAGGCTTTATGAGGAGGTTGTGAATGAAAAATATTCTCAAATTATTTTTGGGTTATACTGTTCTTTAAAAATCTTAAGAATCAATCAAATTGCATCACCCTCAAACTACTCATCATCTGAACCGTGGTGTTTTCCCTCAAATAGCTCAACTCTGCAGATATTCGTTCAAATAAGAGCACAGGCCAAAACAAATATTTCTCTCTCAAAACTCATATAGAAACCTAACCATCTAATTCATCTTAAGTAGAGCATCTTTGTTTGCCTCTGGGTTTTGAGGCCAAGGAAGATGGAATTACCACAACAATGAGCAAAACCCTAACAAATGACACTACTAACTATCTAATTAACTGAAGAAAACAAAAAAAGAGAGCAATCTTGTAGGATTCGGCACAAGGAGGGGCTCAATTGATCTCCATGGTCCATCCCTTCTTGTCTTCCAGACGCCCTGTTTGAATTCCGGTTATCGTTTCATACAGTTTATGAGATAGTGCTCCTTTTCCTGTCTTGTATTCAACCCTGTAATGAAGTGACATCCCCAAATTAAAAACCATATGAAGCCTTAGAAGCCATATAGATATTGATCAAGAAAATAAAATTTTGATGCACTTTGTACCTTTTATCTTGATAAGTTACAGCACCAATTGGAGTCACAACCACAGCAGTTCCTGTGCAGAAAGCTTCGTCAGCTTCAAGCAAATCCTCCACTGGGATTACACGTTCCTCCACCTGCTCCGAAAAAGAAGAAGTTGAAAACATGCTTGTTCTAAAAGTCTGTTCTGAAAAATCTACAA